CTTACCTCCGCTTCCATTCATTTGGCGTCGCTTGTCTATGCAGAGCGCACTCTGGGGATGGAGGTTTGAGTCGGAGCAATGGGGGAACCCATACCTAGCAGTCATGCCGGATCTCATGCACCAAGCGGACTTGGGAATTCTCGATCATATCCTCACAGCCTTGCGTGAGATCATACCCGAATCAACACGTGAAGCAATCGATAGGTATGTACTATTGCAATGATGGCAACGTTGGCTCATGTGTAACCCTCCACATCTAAACACCTACTCACTACTTTGTTGTTCTGTCCATGTTTCAGGCGGCTCAAATACCTCAAACATATTTGTAGGTGGGATTCATTACGGCTGCCGTCTGGGCAATACTTCAAGCTAGGTGCTTCCTACCAAGCGTATGAGCATCGTTCAGTGATGCAACTTCTGCCATTTCTCGTCTCCTCGCACATCGCGCAACCGCAAACGGACGCTATCATATCGTACCTTCGTTGGTACACGGAGTGCGCAAAGGCAACAACATACGATGACAACACCCTGAAAGAGTTGCAGGAGCTAGCCGTGAGGTAAGAAAACCTACTTGTTTGCATCAAACGTTGCTGAACTCGGTTCTCTAACGTGTGTTTGTGCTTTCCTTTGTCTGCAGGATGATCGATCAACTAACAACCGCGTTTAAGCAAACTTCAAATTGGAGATTCATCAAGATGCACCTGATAAGCCATTACGTCGAAGCCATCCGTCGTGCGGGCCCACCCATACACTACGATGCCAACATTTCCGAGTTCTTCCACAAGGACCACATAAAACGGCCTTATCGTGCGTCCAACAAACGTGATGTATCAGGGCAACTTGTGCGCGCAGAGGAGACCAAACTTGCAGTGGATTCTCTTGGTGCGTCGGAAGTGACAGAGACGCATTACAACACCGCTATGCGCGAGGTGAGTCAAGGCAATTTGATGCAAATCTCAACAATTGCTTGTGCCATCACTAACGCCTATCGTTTCAATGTGCAGGCAATGGCCACTGGCAGGCGCATCATGGGACGATCGGCATGGCCTTTGACTGTCTTGGGAGGCCGTCGTGAGGCACCGTTCGTAAGTTTCCCAATTCCCTCGAGGGTGCGTGACGAGAGATACGTCACTGCATTGGGTGACGACCTCCGACACCTAAGGCAAGCCCTTAACCGATTCTCAGAGGCCACAAAGAACGCAACTACCATTCATGTGCACAATGAGTTGGCCATGCCTCCTGCTACGCACCCATCGTTTAGACCCATTCCACATCGGTTACGTGCCGTGCCTGTGTTTCACGGACGTGGATGGTTTTCCGACGTAGCCATTCATGGCTCCGGTGAGTGGTACGCGAAGGTGCTCCTCCTGTTTCACATTGGGCATGGGAGGGATCGTTGCGACTATGCGTTTATCAAGTACTACGACGCACTTCCAGAGCCAGACGAGAAGACCCACTGCAAGCAGCTCAAGTGGGCTGCAATGAATCAGAGATATCGGGTGGTAGAGACGACGAGTATACTGCGTGCCGTCCACCTTGTGCAGCCCCAAGCTAGTGAACCTTTGTGGTTGTTGAACCATTTTATATTTTGAAGCGTCATATAATGTAGTTGTACATATTTGATCAAGCATATACAAGACATGCTCCCATAGTTTGCACCACACATCATGAATAATCATGTTATAGTTTTGTTGAGCTATTCCCCATATTTAAAACATCCATAGTGTAGTGCAGATCACAAACAATGCGCCACTTTTGTGAGTTCTATAATGCGCCACGTGGCGGGACCCCTCGAACCGGTCGCTGTGACCACAAAATAGATTCTCTTTGCAGCTCGGGGTGCATCTGTGCAGAACGTTCGATGGTGCGCGGGCCGAGGGATTCGCCAGAATTCGAATCGTGGTTCGCGGTACAGCCTGCGACTCGCACTATTCTGCGATTCGCACGATTCTCCAACGCATTGCTTCATGGTTTGAACAACCAATGAAATCAGTTCGTTAGGTGTGTTGAATCGGCATATATGACTGCTTGTGCGACGGATCAATCGTCGCACACAGTTTTCCAACCAATCCCCCCAATCGTTCCCGCACGCTCAGCATGGCCAATCAGCTCGCTGCCACTGGTGCCCCCCTAACCCAGGCCCGCGTCAATCAGGCTCAAGTTCCTGGTCGTCCTCAACGCCAACTCACGACTTCAGTTCGCCTGGCTGGTCACGACACTAGTGGTTACAAGCCACCAACGAAGAAGACTGGGGGGTCCAGCACTCGCCAGGGTGCTGGTAACAAAGAAATTCCTTGCAACCCTGAGCTGCAAGAAATGTCTCGTGAAGATCTTGCTGCACTGAGGGACAGGCTGAACGCGGAATTGCAGCGACAAGAAGCCAGCACTGCACACCAGTCACTTCCCGACCCAAACATTGCAGAAACAGCCGCGGAGGAGGAGTGTAACAAAAATCCCGCAACAGCAGATGTTGCCGCCAATACGTCTCAGCCTGACGCCGATCCGGAGGATAACCAACTCAACGCTCTAATCGACGAGGGCGAAGGTCCTGGCGAGGGTGAGGAGCAGGACGAGAGTGAGGGACATCCAGACGAGTGCGAGTTAGCCGAAACTCCCGTTGTACTGCCTCAGGACGATCCGGCCGAGGATGACCGTCCTGAGAGCCGAAGGCGCAGCGCCGATGTCGCTGGCCTCATGGGCGCTGACCCAGCGGCTCACGCGTCAGCACGTGGGAAAAAGCCGAAGCAACCAGGTTAGTAACTTCTGTCCGGTTTCTGTATTTTTGCAAATTGACGTTTGTGCCACATAGTTTCGTCCAGGCAACCTACTAACCTACTTTTTTCTGTTCTTCCATTTTGTTTTTTACCTTGCAGCTCGACCGATTCCGGTTAATGAGCAGGTGGCACAAAACCGCGACATGGAGCGGACGATTGCGCAACAGGCCGACACACTCGCGGCCCTCCGTCAGCAGCTGGAAGAACAGGAACAGGAGGCTGCACGAATGCGAGCAGTCGTTGCTGCCCGCCAGCCGCCTGCCCCAGCAACGGGAGGTAGCCCCGGCCCATCATCTTCCAACAGCCGGAGTACCGGAGCTGGCGCTGGTTTGCTGCACGCAACTGCGCAGCGCAGCAGCCCGCCCTCGACCACCAACGCGCCTGGGCCATCGATGGCTCCAGTCGTGCAGGAGGGTGCGGCAATCCCCCCTGTGCTCCTGGACCTATCATTTTTCAAGGTTAGTGTGCTGGGTTTTTAAAGTTCGTACTGTTGACTTTGTATCTCTCATTGACTGACTGACTCGTTTTTAATTCTAACAAATGCCTATTCTTCGTTGTCGTCGTTATGTGCAGCAAAAGTGCAACGACGCGGTCAACTACTTCATAGCGGGAGCTCCAGCGAGAGAGCAGTCATTTTACCCCTCCCTGGCACAGCTTAGGCGCAAAGTGCAGGAGCTGTACGAGGACGTCGGGGTGCCACTTGACATGTTCAACCGGGTGATGGCGGAGAATCCCGAGCGCGAGCGCATCATGCTGCAGAAGATGTCGGAGCGCCGTTGCAACATCTGCGCGGTGGTTAAGCCTTACGCGCATGGCCCTGGTGGCTATATCACCGAGAACAAAGTCGCGATGCTTGCGAGCGAGAACATTGCGCCATCGCGTCGCCGCACGCCTGCAGAGTGGCACGCCCACTTTCGGGATGGTGAGTTTTTTTTTTTTTGTAGCGCTTACTAGCAACAACACCCCTACAGTCTAAAACTCCCGTCCCGTTTAATCCTGGCAGCTGTGTATGGTTCGAATTGGCACTGTGACGGATCTGGCCGCCCTTTTGCCAGCCGACCGTTCGAGCTCGCCATCTGCAAAGGACTTGGCGGCAAGCGCTGCAACCGCTTCAACGTCAAGATCCCTGCTGTGGCAACAATTTGCCATGTGGTAAGTCGTTTTTCTTTTCCTGTTGGTCATTATTTTTTCAATACATATTAGATATGCACTCATGCCTTTGTGGTTTCCTGCAGGTGGAGTGGCCTATGGCAAACCACAATGGCCGTGCCAACCCCTCCCTGGATGCCTCTGATGAGAATAACAGGGCCGCCGTGGCTGCAAAGGTTCTTGTTGTCATCTCTTGGATCAAGGCCCGGCTCGAAGCACGCGAAGCTATTTACTCTGATGAAGCTCCTGCAGGTTTTGTTATGGGCAGTGGAGCTGTGAAAATCCTCATCGAAGGATTTGAGTTTGCATTTGAAGGACTTGTGTAGGGCTACCGCAAGGTTGCTCTGTAGGATAGGTAGCGTTCTGACTCTATGTGTGCCTTCTAATGTAACTGTTTTATGAGAAATATAACGATTAATTCGGGTACTATTTACTGGATGGGTGGTAAATGAATAGGTATGCGAATAAATTCTGTCTCCTTACATAAGGATAATCAACCTGTCCATGACAGTATAGTTTGGGCCAATGTAACACCATTTATGACAGACTTGAATAATGGCACGGCAATTAATAGGGATTTTTGTGCCTCCAATAAGCAGGCAATTATTGCACGCCTTTAACAATCGATAAACTGTGGGCCAGTTTCTAGACATTTGCATGCCATATACAGCCATGAACAAGCATTGAGGTGTACCTGAATATTGGCGTAAACAGCCATTCCGCGCGATACACAGGCGGGGAATTTACGGACCCTAAATGCCTACGAACCTGCCTGTATACAGCCCGCCAGTTTCGGGCCATAAACCTGCCATACAGAGGGCGATTATGGCTTTAAATTGCCATTCTTAAGGTCGACTTTTTTGAGATGGCGGGGCTGAAGGGGCTGGCGGCGGGGGAGGCGGAGGGCGGGAAGGGGTGGGAGGGCGAGAAGCGGTGGGGGGGGGAAGAGGGCGAGGAGGGGCCGGAGGAGGAGGAGGCGATAGTAGACGAGGAGCTGGAGGAGATCGATAAGGAGGTCGTGCAAGGTGCGTGCGGGCTGCTCTGTGTGATCCCTAAGACTGAAGCCATGCGCTTTGGATGTATGAGCCTGTGACGATGGCGAACGAGATGGAGGAGATCGACAAGGAGGTCGCACAAGGTGAGGCGCCGCTCCTATCTCTCTGCACCGCCGTGCCACCTCGCTCACGTTCCGCACACCCGTGTTGCGTCTGCTGTCTGTTGCCTGCCGCTTGCCGCTTGCCTCATACGCTGCGCGCACCCATGCAGCAGGCATGCAGCGGTCTCAACTGGCGCTCGTGTGAACTGCTGCTCTAGTCTCCTCCGTGCGCTGGCGCGTTCTCACCTCCGCACGCATCTCACCTTCCCATTATCCCGCACAACCCTGTGCACCCCCTTGCATCCCTGTGCACCACACTGCACCCCTGTTCCTGATGGGCACGCAGACGTGTTTGACCGCGTGAGCTTCCTGCGGGACCAGGTGCAGCACTACCGCGCTTTGGGGGGCTTCGTGCTGCTGATGGCGCTGTTCGTGGCAATGGTGTATCTGCAGGCCGACTCCTCCCACACCTTCCAAGTCACCTCCGCCCACTCCGTCCTCATCCCCACCGTGAGCCCCCACGCTCTCCCCCCACACCTTCTGATGACCCCTCTATTTTTGCCTGTGGAAGCTGGCTGGACTATAACAGGTTATACCTTATCCGCTTTGCTCCACGCCTCGACCTCTCATCCCGCGTCCTGCTTTGTTGCTCTCCTGCGTTGCATCCCTCATCCCGCGCAGAACTTCGCCCCGGATTCGTCCAACCGCTTCGCAGGAGCGGGCGAGTTCTACTCGTGGCTCAACAACAGCATCTTTCGTGTGCCTCGCCTCGCGTCCCCGCTCTCCGCTGCTCTGCTCTGCCCACCTCTGCCCGCTCCCCTCCGCTCTGCTCCCCTCTGCCTACCGCTGCTCTGCTCCCCTCTACTCTGCTCTTCTTTTGTTTCCCTTTGCTCTGCTCCCGCGCCTCCTCGTAGTAAACCGTCCATTTCTGATGTTTTGCACGCCACATTGCCATATGTGCCATCCGTGGTGGCACACATGTGTGGATTATTCTATGGTGGGTGTTCCGTGCCCGTCTGTACCCATGGATCCTCCTCTCCCCCCCTCTCTGCCTGCAGCAATTCTGGCAAGACCCACCATGCGGAGACGGCACGTGCGACCAGCCATTCGAGTTCCCCGCCTTCGGCCGCTTCGGCTGTGAGGCGGACTGCGGCACGTTCCCCAACCTCACCTCCGTCTCAATCCATTTCACGACGTCATTTTCATCAAATGAGGCCCTGGCGGCGTCCTCATGGAACCTGTGCATGCAGAGCCCCATCTCGCTCTGCTGGCACGCCCTCCCCCAGCCCTTCCTCGTGCTGCACGCCCAGTTCTCCCTCGCCCTCGACATCCCCGACGGCCAATGGGCGCTCCTCATCACCGCGCCCATGGGTGGCGTGCAGGGCGTGCTGCAGGCACAGAAGCCGGGGATCGCCCGTGGCAGTAAGGGAGGTGGCGGGCGTGTTTGTGGATTGCGTCAAGATCTGCCGAGCAGCACCGGCCACCATCCTCCCATACGACACCATGTCATGCCTTCATGTGGGCATGCCGCCATGTCCCTTGACTTGCGATCTACTCCTCAGTTCTTTGATGCTTTTAGAGGGTACTAGGCAAGGTTACCCTAACCACCGAGCGAACATGAATTATTCTATCTGCAAATGCCAATGTGTTGTTACCTGTGTCCTCATCCGTCCATGCCCGTGCATCCATGGTCCATGCCCATCCATGCAGATTGCAGCAGAGGCAACCACAGTCTTTCCCAACTCCATGTGCACAGGTGCGCATCTCGCTGCCTATACCACCATCTTCCCTCCCTTGCCATCTGTCCTCCCATTTTTGAGGTGCCTCGAAAGTCGGCTCCCTTGCCATATGTCCTTCTATTTCAGATAGACTCCCACGCCGTTTTCCCTTCTTTGTGAGCCACCATCCAGTGCTTTTTTTTGGACGCCATTGCCCTCCTGCACAGCTTTCACGTGCCCACCCATCGCCGCCTTTCATTCCCGAAGCCCCCTTTGCATGCTCATCGCCCTCTTCCTCTACCGCCCACTCCTGCAGACAAGGCTTCATATGCCCGCCGAAAAACAAGCGAGGACACGTACAGGCATGGCGGCGAGCATGGATACGAGCATGGGCATGGGCATGGATACGAACATGGGCATGCTCAAGGGCTTGGGGAGGAGGTGCATGGGACGAGGTACCGCTTCCACCAGAGCCGGCACCGTGCATCAGACGCACATGCAGCGGCGGTAGAGGCTGCAGCGGCTGCTGCTGCCGCACATGGGGATGGCAGCGCGCATGACAGGCCTGTGCCATCATTCCATGCGACATCGTACCATTCGGCACACCATGGGCCATCATATCACGAGGGTTACCATGGATCAGCAGCCTATCATGGGCCATTATACCACGAGAGTTACCATGGATCAGCAGCCTACCATGGGTCAGCGTTCCATGCATCATCACTCCAAGGCCTAGAGCAGTACCATGAGCATGCGGCGCACAACCCCCATGCCTCTTCTGCCTACCACAGCCATGCCGCCATGCCTGGGCTCTCCGCCTCTACTGCCGCAACTGCTGGCCTGGCAGCAGCCGGAGGAGCCGTGGGAGCGGTGGGGGTGGGGGGGGAGCGCATGGTGCAGGCAGCTGATCTGTCGGAAGAGACTCTTGGTGAGCGCTGTACTTGCATGTGCAGCACAGCATGGCACGGCACCATGGAACAACTTGCTGTGAAGCATTGCCGTGCATCCGCACCTCCTTTTCCTGATGTTTCCATGGCCATCTGATCTCCCTCTACCCACTCCGCCCCCGACCCCGCTCTGGCCCCCCTGCCACTACTCCCTTCCCCTTCTCTCTCCCCTCCCGCATGCCCAGACCTCCCACATCTCTCCACGGCTGTCAACGTGTGGACACTCCTCGGCTCCACGGACGCGCAGCGAATCAGGAACCTCCAGGTGGTGGTGTCACGCACGCTGTACACGATGATAAAGGACTCGTGTCTGGCGGGGCCGTACGCCATGACGCTCACAGAGAGCTACCGCCGCAAGTTCACCGCCTTCCTCTGCACCATCTTTGGCGGGCCTGCGGAGAGCCTGGAGCTGTGCCGCTTCCGCAACGCCACGGGAAATCAGTTGGTGCAGGCAGAGGAGCTCTACAGGCACCTTAAGAAGGTGCACCTGGGGTGAGTGAGCCTCCCATGTTGGTGTTACTTGTAAGAATTCTCACAAGTGCCAAGGGGCACCAGCTGGTGCTGCATGCGGACGAGCTTTACAGGCACTCAAGAAGGTGCACCTGGGGTGAGTGAGGCTGCTTTAGCCATCTCTTTATTTTCTCTGGTGCATGTGCGCTCCTTTTAATGCCACTCGCTCGTTCCCCGATTTCACCGTCATTGCTCGCAAAGCAACCCTCCAACTGCTCAATCCCGCACCCTGTCCATCAATCCCCCTCCTCGCCCCTTCTTCCCTCATCCCTTCCACCTACCCCCTTTCCCCCCCCCCCCCCCCCCCCCCCCCCCCACAGGGACAGCCTGGTGATAACGTCGCAGCAGCTGCGGTGCTTCATAGACATCCTTATTGCCGCCATGCAGTCCATCACCGCGCTCTCCCCCGACGCCCTGGCGGACCTCTCCTCCTTCTTCCACCGCCTGGACCCGGCCATCGTGAGCACCAGCACGGAGGGGTGCTCGTAGGGCGGCACGTCGCTGCAGAGGCGGGCGGGTGTGAAGCACAACACGACCATCCATGTGGGCGACAAGATCACGTGGGTGTGGGATGACGACCTCCTGCACTCCCTCAGAAGTGAGCTTGCTTCTCTCCTTCACATGCTTCTCGTTATTGCTCTACTTGTTTGTCCTATGCTGTTCCCAATCAACCACTGCTAGCCAGCAGAGTGTTTGTGATTGTCGGTGCCATACATGATCATTGTGAGTGTCGCTGATCCACATCGCGCTTTGAGACGTCTCAAAAATGTGTTAGTCCCTCGTTGTTCCCAGTCAACCACTGCTAGCCAACAGAGTGTTTGCGAGCGTCCATACGTGACCGCTGTGACGTGTCCCTGATCCAGTTTGCACTTCTCCTTCCTCTTTCCCGCCATGCCATCCACCGTCCAGTATCGGGCATGGGAGACAGGCCAAAGCCCTTCTTCGAGGGCTTTGGAGGGCACCGCCTGGCGCTGTCGCGGCGCTTCTTCTGCTCGCCCATGAACGTGGGCGCCAACCCAAGGATGACTATGACGACCCCGTGCCCTGTGTCGTCAGTGAGTACCTCTCACTGTGCCCTGCGTTGTCAGTGAGTAGCTCTTTCGACAACATCTCTTCCGTGCCCTGCCCTTCCCCTCACATACGCCCCTCACATACGCCCCTCACATACGCGCCTCACCGAGCCACCCATCCACCTGCCCGTCCCACCCCAAATCCACATGCCTCTTGCCCTCCTCTCCCCCCGTTTTCCTACTCTCCCCACCCCCCCCCAAGAGCTCGCATTGGACGACAACGCCACATTCACGTGCACCAAGGTCTTCTCCCGCCCGGGCGTGTACCTCTATGAAAGCGACTTATGAGGCGCCTCAAATGTCCTCATGCCCACTCCGCCCCCCCACCCCTATGCCACCTTTCCCACCCTCTGTCCAGAGCTCGCCTCGGACGTCAACGCCACGTTCACGTACACCAAGGTCTTCACGCGCCCGGGCGTGTACCTCTATGAGAGCGGCAACGACGTCGGCGAGATCGGGAGTGCAGGGCCCTCCGCCTCCTCTTCCTTTGCCTCCTCCTCTACGTCCTCCTCTGCCTCCTCCTCTGCGTCTTCCTCAACAGGCTCCTCCTCGTCCATGTCGGGGATGGTTACCGTGCTCGCTCCGCCTCCTGAGCCTCAAGGTCAGTGCTCAACGGTGTTCGCCGCTCTGTGCGCCCTGATGTGGGCAGCGCTCACATGAGGAGCCCGCGTGCCACCTGGGCCGCTCGCTGGTGGCAGATGAGAAGGTCGTTAGGTCCTGCGGAGATAACTACTACAACGGGAGCTAGACTACGGGCTAGGCACGGGTGCTCGTTTGATCTCTGCGTTTGTTGGTCCTTAGTCGTTTTCCTAGTGCACACGCTGCTTGCTAGTTCACGGGGAGAATTGGCAAGAGTTTCACTAGAGAAAGTTGACAAAAATGCTACAAAGAAGTTGGCATAGCAAGACTACATCAGAGCTAGCATTCAGGTCGGTCGAATGCCAGAACAGCATGGTCGACCGTGTCCAGCACGCCTTGGTCGACCGCGCTCCAGCAGTGCAAAGTCGACGGCGTGCCAACGCTGCAGGTCGACTGCGTGCCAGCGTAGCTCCCGCAGTACAGCATCGCAAAAGCTTCGCAGGTGCTCGCAAATGATTGGTGTGCTGAGCCTTGTCACCTGCACAGCGCACACACCAAGTAAACCTGGCACTGACGACTACATCTGATCAGCTACGTCGACCTCGGGATACCACCACCAAGGTCGGACTCGCCAACTTTGCCTAGGCGTCTGTCACACTCCTCCGCAGAAGCTCGTCACCCAGGTAACCTGGTCGACTAGGCAACCACGTTGACCTGCTGCTCCCGTATGTGCCCGTCGACCTCCCAAGTCGACGGCCACCTCCAAGTCGACCTCACCAGGTCGACCATGCCCCTGGTCGACCAGCTCCAGGTCAACGTCACTTCTGGTCGACCAGCTCCTCGTCGACTAGCGCAGTTGTGAGCCGACCTCCCAAGTCGGCTGCTCGAAGTCGGCGTCACCAAGTTGACGCCCTGCTACTCGGCGCCCATCTACTTGGCGTCCTGAGTCGAGGTCGACGTCGGCCCCTCCTTCCTCGACCACCAGGCCAGGTCGACCACCGCAAGTCGACCAGCAGGTCTGGTCGACCAGCCACTAGGTCGACCAGCAGTACTGTCAGCCGACCACCCAAGTCGGCTGCCCCCAAGTTGGCGTCACCAAGTTGACGCCCTCCGCAGGTCGACTTCCCAGGTCGACCCCCCTGAAGTCGGCGCCACCTGGAAGTCGGCACCCGTGCAGTGGCCCCCGTGCAGTCCGACCTCCTCGTCAACCAGCTTGCCCACTGCTGCATGTCGGCTGCTCCCCTCACACCCGACCACGAAGTCGGCTCCGCCCAAGCGAGGACGGGGCCAACACACAACTCCCGTTGACACTCCCCTATCGCGTTCACGCTTGGGCCCCCAGCCCACACGGCAGTTCTCCTCGGAGAATAGCTCATCGACGTGCACCCAACACACAGCACGTCGTCCACCGCACCAGCCACGCGAGAGGGCATGGCACCTACTGCTGCACTTCGTCAACTTTGTCGCCCGCGTCGGCCAAGCGCACTTGGCCGATGGCGACGGAGCACCGGTTGAAGGCCGGATAGTGCAGCGCCTTTGTCAGGAAGTCGGCCGGCTGCTCGGTGGTCGGGATGTACTTTAGCGAGAACTTCCCGCGCCTCACCATGTGCTGCAGCCAGGCCTGTCGCCGCTCCATGTGCTTGAGGTTGCCCGTCAACCCCATGCCTTCGGCGACCGTGATGGCCGACTTGTTGTCCACCCGGAGGACAGTCGCCTTCCCGGCATCCCGCTGCCGGAACTCTGCAAGGAGGAAGCGAATTCGGCGTCCCTCCCTGCCAGCTTTGGTGGCCGCCACGCACTCCGACTCGGTCGACGACAACGTCGCGCACTTGATGCGCTGGCTCGACCAGGAGACTGCGGCCCCTCTGTAGACGAACATGTAGCCGCCCGTGCTCGTCCTGTTCTGCTTGTCATCGGCGTCGTCAGCGTCCACGTAGCCGACCAGCTCCAGCGACTCACGTCTACCACCGAACTCCAGGGCTGTGTCACTGTCAACGGGAGCGTTGTAAGGCCCCGTCCTCGCTTGGGCGAAGCCAACCTTGTGGTCGGATGTGCGGGGGTTGCAGCCGACCTGCAGCAGTGGGCACGGGGGCCACTGCAAGGGCACCAAGCTGGAGGGCGCCTGGCTGGAGGGCGCCGAGCAGGAGGACGCCGCCCTGGACGCCTGGTTGGCGTCCCGGACGCCTAGACGGCGTCCTGGGAAGCTGGACGCCAAGCTGGGCGTCGCCACGACTACCCGGGCGCCTGGTCGACGTCGTGGGCGTTTGCACGGCGTCCGGGGGGTCCGGACGCCGACCTGGGCGTCCCGGGGGGCCCAGACACCGACCTGGGTGTCTGGTCGGCGTCGTGGGAGGAGGGACGCCGCTCTGAAGGTTTGTTCGGCGTCCTGGGCATCTGGACATCGACCTTGGGGTTCGGAAGGCGTCCTGGGCGCCTGGACACCGGACTAGGGGACGCCGGGCATGCGTGGCTGGCTACGGACTGCGTGGGTCGACCAGGCGTGGTTGCCCGGTCGATCGGGATACCCAGGCGACGTGCGCGAGTGTCGCCAGGGTGGAGTATGCGAGGCCGACCTCGGGGGTGGTATCCCGAGGTCGACGTGGCTGGTGGGCGCAGTCGCTGGCGTGGAGTCTGTCAGGCGTCTGCGCTGTGCTAGTGACAAGGTGTAGAGCGCCAACCAGCTGCGCGCACATGCGAAGCAGGTGCACCGTTGTCCTGCGGGTGCAACGCTGTGCAGCCGACTTGGTGCAGCACTGGCACACCGTGGACTTGCAACGTTGGCAAACCGCTACTCTGCTACGCTGGAGCGGTGCGAGCGCTGCTGCGCTGGAGTGCGGTCGACCGTGCTGCGCTGGAGGTCGACCAGCAGCCTAGCTAGCTCTGATGTAGTCAATGCTGCCAATGTTGTTGCTATCATTGTTGTCATGTTTTCCCAGTGAAACTCTTGCCAATTTTCCCCGTGAACTAGCAAGTAGTGTGTGCACAAGGAAACGACCAAGGAACAGAGAACGCAGAGATCACAGGAGCACACGTGCCTAGCCTACAGTCTAGCTCCCGTTGCAGCAGTTATCTCCGCAGTCACGCGTGTTGGCGAGGTAGGCGAGGCAGCGGTCGACCTCGTGCCAGTGTTGGTCGCTCCTCACCGTGAGGCCGCTCCCCAGCTTGCTACAGGCAAAGGCGATGACCGGCCTCGTCGTCGTCGCCGCGAACTACAGCTAGCCAACCTTTTGCCGGTACTCCTCCTGTCGCTCCTGTGCCTCCTTGTCGTCGAAGGTGAGCTCGACGTAGGCGTCGACCGACACCGGCGTCTTCGGGGTGCGCCCGGTCTGCTCTTCGTCGATGAAGCGCCTACCCAGCTTGTCGGCGTAGCCCTGCTGGTGCAGCCACAGCTTCCTCGCCGACCTGTCGCGGACAATCTCCAGCCCGAGGTACTTCTGCACCGGCGAGATCTCACGCAGCTCGAAGGCGGACTCCAGCAGCACCTTTAGGCCCTTCAGCATCTCGGTGCTGCTGCTGGCGGCGAGCAGGTCGTCGACGTAGACCAACACCCAGCAGGCCACTCCGTTGTCGCCGACCTTGAAGTACAGAGCCTCGTCGACCTGGCTCTTCTTCCATCTGGCGCCGACCAGCACGTCTTTGAGTGCCAAGTACCACAGTAGCGGCGTCTGCTTCAGCCCATACAGGCTCTTCAGCAGTTTGCAGACCCGGCCGGTTCCGTCGTTGAAGTAGTCCGGCTGGGACATGTACAGCACCCGGTCGAGCTTGCTCTGCAGAAAGGCGTTCTTCATGTCGAGCTGAATCAGGTTGAGGTTGAGGACGGCGACAATGCTGAGGAAGATCCTCAGCGTGACGTAGCTGCCCACTGGCGCGAACGTCTCGTCATAGTCGGCGCCATACACCTGCGTGAAGCCCTTCACGGCCAGCCTTGCCTTCTCACGCTCGACGGTGTCGTCGATGTGGTACCTCGTCATCAGCACCCACCGGTTCTTCATGATGTTCACTCCCGGCGGGCGTTCGACCAGCTCCCACGTGCCCATGTTGATGAGGCTCCGGATCTCCTCTTCCATGGCGGCCTTCACCGCCTTGCCCTTCCAGCTCGCCAACCCCTCCTTCACCGTCATCGTCGAGATGTCCCAACGGTGTTTGGGGTCGGCCAGCATGTCCGGGTCGAGCTCCGGAAACCCCTCATCCTCCTCGGCGTCGTCGTACAGCAGGTAATCGTCATCCTCCATGTCATACACCGTGGTGAAGGCAGTGGGGACGAAGAAGTCAGACGGCCTCCGGAGTTGACCTAAACGCCGTGGTCCCGGCTGGACCTCCTCGGCGCCCCCTCCATTGTCGCCGTCGTCACTGTCCTCGGCGTCCTGCTGCACCTCAGTCGGCGTCCCAGCCGACTGCTCCCCTGCGGTCGGCTCCCCTGCCGACTGCTCCCCTGCGACCGGCTCCCCTGCTGACTGCCCGGTCGCCGACTGCTCCTTGGTCAGCGTCACTGCTGCCTGCTCCCCTGTCAGCTGCTGTTCCGCAGGCGTCTCCTTCACCGGCTTCACCAAAGTCGGCGGCACCACCTGCTGCCTCCTGGTCAGCGTCTGCTTCGCTCCCACGCCGCTTTGCACAGCATCACATCGGCCACTGGCAGCATCACGTCTGCCACCGGCGATGCTTGGGTCCGGCACCACAGGTGACGCCCCACTCCTCCCCTCATCGGCGGAGACCGACATCGGGGTCAGCCCATGCAAGTTGGTAACAAGGGGAGGGGGAGGGTGAGGGGCAGGGAGAGTGGACATTCTCGGCGTCCTCACCAGAAAGCTCACTGACCTCGGCAAGTAGAGGCAGCGTCGCCGCCGAGGTGTCCGTTGGCGGGTGAACCGGCAGTCGCCCTAACGCCGGCCCGTGCGCCGACTTCCACACCTCCAGCGACATGCTCTCGTAGAACACCACGTCCGACGTGGTGACCACCTGGTTGTCGGGGATGTCGAGGAGCTCCCAGCCCTTGCTCTCGTCCGACACGCCGAGGTGGAGGCCCCACCGGGCCTTCGGCTGCAGCTTCCCGCCACGCTGCTGCTCGGGGACCAGGAACTGCACCATGCAGCCCCACACCTGCGCCAGCGACAAATCGGGCTTCTTCCCGGTGAGCAGCTGGTACGGCGTCGTCCCCGGCGACAGCGCCGACCGCTCAAGGCAGTTGCAGACCCAGACAGCCTCCCGGAGAGCGAGGTGCCACCAGTGGTGCTGCACTCCCATGTGCAGTAGCATCGTGCGCACAGACTCCACCACAGTCCTCATCTCCCGCTCCGCCATGCCATTCTGTTGCGGGGTGTATGGGCAGGTCAGGTCGTGGACGATCCCCTTGCCATTCATGAAGTCGGTGAACTGCTTCCCGAGGAACTCCCCACCTTGGTCAGAGCGCAGCATCAACACCGACTTCTTCGTCTGCCGCTCAGCCACCACCAGCCACTGCACGAACACCGGCAACGCATCTGACTTCTTGGCGACTAGTCGCACCCACATGTAGCGAGTCTTGCAGTCCTTTAGCAGCAAGAATTACAAGCTACCATCCTTGGCAGCCACGCAAAACGGCCCGCACAGGTCGATGTGCACGATGGCCAGCAATTCGTCGGCGTCGGAGCCTTTGTCGGGGAAGGTGTGTCGCGCCAGCTTCCCGCCGACGCACGTAACAGACGGTGAGTCGGCGCCCGACGCCGACTTGAGGTCCAGCCCGGTGGCGACCTTGTGCTTCGCCGAGCTCCGGATGGTGTCCATGCCAATGTGCGCCAGCCTCGCATGCAGCCTGTCCGATGTCGACTTCGTCTTCGAGACGATCGCCCTCAGGGCCACAACCTCCGGTGTGGGTGATGTCGACCTCGTGGGGCAGGGACGCAGGTGAGTGCAGAGGACTCGCCCGGAGTACGTTGCCCGACCAAGCACTTCTCCAGCTGCCGAGACGAGCAGCATTCCATCTCCGTCCTCCTGCAGCTTCACGCCGTGCTCCTTCAACTGGCCGGACGACAGCAGGTTAGCCCCCACATCCGGGACGTACAGCACGTCGGGGATGAGCACCTGCTTCCCGGCCTCTTCTTGCAGGGCGACGGTGCCACGGCCCTGGACGTCCTGCAGAGCCCCATTGAAGCCGCGCACGTGCTTGATGGGGCCACTTGGCTGCAGGTCGACGAAGGCTTCCTTCGTCCCCATCAGGTGGTGGGAGCAGCCGCTGTCGAGCAGGACCACCACCGGGTTCGCCTGCACAGCTGCCACCACCGCCTGGAAGTCCTCTCCGGCCTCCAGCGCCAGAGAGACGGTCGGCTCCACGACGCCGACCAACGAGCACGACCCTGTCTTGTCGTCTCGCGCCTTGCCGCCAGCAGAGGAGTCGGCGTCCTTCGCCGAAGTCGACATCTTGGTCGACTGCTTCTCCTTGCGCGTCTGGTTTCCTCCACGACAAGGACGACGGCTGCCAGACCTCCCACGGCCTCCCTTAGCGTCGTCGTCGTCGTCGGAGTCACTGCGGTTGGGGCACTCGAAGGAGAGATGGTCAGGGTCGCCGCACAGCCAGCACTCCCGACGTCGACTTCCTCCTCCCCGACCGCTGTCCTTGGTCGACTTCTTCTTGTCGACCTCCTTGGCCGGCTTCTAGCCACTGCTACCACCACCGCCAGACTGTCCGCACTGCCCCGGTCGGCCTCCTTGCTTCGCTGAGGCGACGAAGTTCGCCTGCGCCAAGAGCTCCTGGGACCGCTCGGCCTCCTGCATCGCCTCGTCCTGCAGGATGTACGAGGTCAAGTTGTCCTCGTTGAGCGTCGACCTTGTGCTCGGCGCCATCGACAGCCGCTTCAGGAGGTTGTAGCTGCTCGAGAGTCCCTGCATGACGTGGGTGACGTACAACGCTATCGAGTACTGCGCACCAGCCATCTTGATGGTGGCGAGAATTCGCCGGGCTCGGTTGCAGTAGTCGGTCGCCGTCTCCTCGTCGCCCATACGCAGATGCGTCAGCTGTCCCTCCAGCTGGGCGATAAACAAGTCATCGGTGACTTGGTAGGTCGACTCGATGAAGTGCCACGCCCGGTGTCCGGCGTCGAGGTCCTCTTGGCACCACTTCAAGACGATCTGCATGCCCGTCGAGCATCACCGTGAGATGACCGTGAAGGTCAACAGCTGCACGGCGCGAAACTCCGCCCGCAAGTCGGGGTGGTGCTCATCCGGTGTTGCCACGGTCCCTCGGGCAAAGCCGATCAGCCCGGCCATCTCCAGCTGGGGCTCGATGGCTTCCTTCCAGGTGAGTATGTCGGGTCGACCAACAAGCGGCGGGGTGACCAGGATCCTGTCCGGCGTAAACTTGAAGTAGCCATAGCTCGGAGCAATCCCACCCGCCGTCACCTGGGTCGCCGACATCGGCGACAATCCGCTTCGTCGTCCTCCGACGTCGCCCTGCGAGGAGCCTGCAGCCGCCGACGACTGCACCCCTCGCACTTGAACGCCGCCGACTTCATCGGCGTGTATCACACATCTCTGCCTCGACATGCCTCCCGCACTGCTGCCGACTTGACCACCTCCGGCGTTGACGCCCACGTCGACGCTGCCTTCGTTGGTCACCGGTCGAGGAGAAGCCGGTCGAGAAGGGGGATGCTCCGTCGCCCACATGGTGTGGAGTCCAGCCTCGATGACCGCCCAGGGTATCGCCCCATACTCCTGGGCCTCATAGCGTCTCCTCACATCCTCCAGCCGTCCCTCCAGGGTGTCCATCACCTCGGTGTCACCTACGCGCACGCTAGGGACTGTACGGGTGCCGGCCTACGAGCTACTTAGGTAAGTGACCACTACGTCGACCTGACTGAAAGGTAAGTCGTGTGCCGTCCACGCTCACCGCACCATGCGGAGATAACTACTACAACGGGAGCTAGACTACGGGCTAGGCACGGGTGCTCGTGTGATCTCAGCGTTCGTTGGTCCTTGGTCGCTTTCCTAGTGCACACGCTGCTTGCTAGTTCACGAGGAGAATTGGCAAGAGTTTCACTAGAGAAAGTTGACAGCAATGGTACAAAGAAGTTGGCATAGCAAGACTACATCGAAGCTAGCATTCAGGTCAATCCAATGCCAGCATAGCATGGTCGACCGCGTTCCAGCACGACTTGGTCGACTGCGCTCCAGCAGTGCAAAGTCAACGACGTGCCAACGCTGCAGGTCGACTGCGTGCCAGCGTAGCTCCCGCAGTACAGCATCGCACCAGCTTCGCAGGTGCTCGCAAATGATTGGTGTGCTGAGCCTTGTCACCCGCACAGCGCACACACCAAGTCAACCTGGCGCTGACGACTACATCTGATCAGCTACGTCGACCTCGGGATACCACCACCAAGGTCGGACTCGCCAACTTTGCCTAGGCGTCTGTCACACTCCTCCGCAGAAGCTCGTCACCCAGATAACCTGGTCGACTGGGCAACCACGTCGACCAGCTGCTCCCGTATGTGCCCGTCGACCTCCCAAGTCGACGGCCACCTCCAAGTCGACCTCACCAGGTCGACCATGCCCCTGGTCGACTAGCTCCAGGTCAACGTCACTTCTGGTCGACCAGCTCCTCGTCGACCAGCGCAGTTGTCAGCCGACCTCCCAAGTCGGCTGCCCGAAGTCGGCGTCACCAAGTTGACGCCCTGCTACTCGACGCCCATCTACTTGGCGTCCTGAGTCGAGGTCGACGTCGGCCCCTCCTTCCCCGACCACCAGGCCAGGTCCACCACCGCAAGTCGACCAGCAGGTCTGGTCGACCAACCACTAGGTCGATGAGCAGTACTGTCAGCTGACCACCCAAGTCGGCTGCCCCCAAGTTGGCGTCACCAAGTTGACGCCCTCCGCAGGTCGACTTCCCAGGTCGACCTCCCTGAAGACGGCGCCACCTGGAAGTCGGCGCCCGTGCAGTGGCCCCCGTGCAGGTCGACCTCCTCGTCAACCAGCTCGCCCACTGCTGCATGTCGACTGTTCCCCTCACACCCGACCACGAAGTCGGCTCCGCCCAAGCGAGGACGGGGCCAACACACAACTCCCGTTGACAGGTCCTGTACCCACCTCCATGTGTTAGGTCCTGTACCCACCTCCATGTGTTAGGACCTGTACCCACCTCCATGTGTCTCCTCCCACCCTCTCACACATTCTTACCCCCGCCTGCCCTGCATCCCACCGCCGCCCTCCCTCCTTGTGTCCGTCCCCTCCCCACTCACCAGACACGGCCTTCCGCTGCGCGCTAGCATGCTCGCTGCAGCTGATAGGCAACGGGGTGTGCAACCCCGAGTGCAACACGCCCACCTGCGCCTTTGACGGCGGTGACTGCGGGTGCATCGACCCCGTCTTTGGCGTGGGCTTCTGCACCTGCCCTGCCGGCCAGGCCAGGTGCCACGATGGATGTGCGCCCCTCTCCCTCCCTCGCCTTCCTTCCATACCGTGTTTTTTCCCTTTCCCCCTCGCTTGTACCCTCCGCCCTTTTTAACCCTGCCTACCCCTCATCTCTCTGACCCGGCCTCATCCCTTCCTCCTTCCACGCGCTCCGCTCATACTCCCTCTTCCCTTCCTCCCTCCTCTCCATCGATTGCTCGTGTGTGTGCGTGTGAGCAGCATGCTGTGTGTCGGATGCGGTGGGGGACAATCTGAGCTATCCCTTAACGCTGCAGCGCTACGGCCCCAACTTCTGGGAGAGCAACCGTGCCTTAGCTGCTGAGAGGGATGCGCCGCTCACCCGCTTTGTGGCGTCACACAACAGGTAAACGTCTTTATGGGGACGGACTAACCGGGAGAGCTGAATCCTTCATGTCTCCGATGCATGCAGGCCGCTCATCTCATAGGCATTTTCCGCCGCCGCCGCTGGTCTAGTTCTTAGGCGCCAAGGACTTCTGAGAGGGCAGAAGGACCCTCCATCCGCACGCCCTGCTCACTGCTGCCTTGTGTATATCCATCTCCTCCCACTCGCCCCCCCATGGCAGGTTGCTCATCGGCATGTTCCTGCGCCAGCACTGCTGGAGCGTTAAGACGTGCCAAAGCTCCAGGTACGGTCACTCAGTCCACTCACTCCGCACCCCTTCCTGCTACTGCCCTTCCACTTTCCTCTTCATTCCTCTTGCCCTATCCCGCACTCGTCGCAAGCGCTCCCGTCGATTTCCTTTTCTCCTGTCACACCACAACCACACCCACCCACCGCCGCGCACCTCCCAACCTCATCTCACTCAGTTTTCTCCCTGTCTCCATTGCCTCTCTCATTCTCCCCCCCTCTCCTGCGGCCCTGCAGGCTGCATCACCTGGCGGGGTGGTGCAGCAACGGCACGTCACGGCAGCCCTTTGGGGTGAACGCGCACTACCTGCCCTCCTCCTCGCTCTTCAACCCCGTTGCTGCCGCCGCCACTTCCACTGCCACCACCGCCCCCCAGGCGCAGAACGCCTCCTCTCAGGACCAGCTGGTGCTCAACCCGCAGGGGCTGCCTTATGGCTTCGTGTACCCCGTGGTAGGCTCGCCTTGCCTTGCCTCTCCCCATGCTGCAAGTCTTAGGGAGCAGCTGCCTGTTACCACCTCTTTCCTCTCTTGCACAGGGAGGCGATGCCACCACCATTGCTGCTATCAGTGAGGTGTTCAAAGGGCAGTTGTTGCAATCACTGCCTTCCCTGCATCATCCCTTTTTGCTTTCTCCCTTCTCCGTGTGACATGTGCCGTGGTGGAGAGCAAGAGCAGGAGGAGGGGTACGCGCTGGTGTTTGAGGTCAGTCCGGCCTTTGAGGATGCCATGAGCCACCTGCAGTGGAGCTTGGCTGATGGCTTCAAACTCACCACCTTCCACTCCCTCCCTTCCCCATGTCCTGTGACACGCAATGGGCGAGGAGGAGCAGGAGGAGGGGTACCCGTTGGTGTTTGACGTGAACCTGGCGTTCGAGGACGCCATGAGCGGCCTGCACTACCTGGCTGACGACTTCTATATCGACAACGCCACGCGATCCATCGAGGTCTCCTTCATCACCCACAATGGTGAGCCTATTTTCAAGCGCGCCTCAGAAATGAGCCGCCTGCAGTGCGCCTATTTTCAAGCGCGCCTCAGAAATGAGCTGCCTGCAGTGAGCCTATTTTCAAGCGCGCCTCAGAAACGAGCCGCCTGCAGTGAGCCTATTTTCAAGCGCGCCTCAGAAAAGAGCCGCCTGCAGTGAGCCTATTTTCAAGCGCGCCTCAGAAAAGAGCTGCCTGCAGTGAGCCTATTTTCAAGCGCGCCTAAAAAATGAGCTGCCTGCAGTTAGCCTATTTTCAAGCGCGCCTCAGAAATGAGCCGCCTGCAGTGAGCCTATTTTCAAGCGCGCCTCAGAAATGAGCCGCCTACAGTGAGCCTATTTTCAAGCGTTCCTCAGAAATGAGCCGCTTGTAGTGAGCCTATTTTCAAGTGCGCCTCAGAAATGAGCCGCCTGCAGTGAGCCTATTTTCAAGCGCGCCTCAGAAATGAGCTGCCTGTAGTGAGCCTATTTTCAAGCGCGCCTCAGAAATGAGTCGCCTGCAGTGAGCCTATTTTCAAGCGCGCCTCAGAAATGAGCCGCCTGAAGTGAGCCTATTTTCAAGCGCGCCTCAGAAATGAGCCGCCTGTAGTGAGCCTATTTTCAAGCGCGCCTCAGAAATGAGCCGCCTGCAGTGAGCCTATTTTCAAGCGCGCCTCAGAAATGAGCCGCCTGCAGTGAGCCTATATTCAAGCGCGCCTCCGAAATGAGCCGCCTGAAGTGAGCCTATTTTCAAGCGCGCCTCAGAAATGAGCCTCCTGCAGTGAGCCTCTGATTTTTCCCCCCAGCAGTTTCTGGTTACAACCAGGAAGTAAGGCCCCTCTTGTTTCTATACTCACTCCCCTCCCTCTCGCCGTGCCAGGACTCGCATGTGGTGGCGACATCCATAACGCACGACTTCGGCACCATCCTGCGCTACCTCATCAACCGCTCCCTCGGGCGCTTCTCCCCGTACAGTGACAACATGGGGCGGCTGGAGCAGCTGGGCGCGCGCAACAAGCAGCAGGATGAGGCGCACAAGCGCATGCAGCGCTACCAGTCCTTTAAACGCCGCGCCAAGTCATGTCTTGGTGGGAAGGTCTGTGGGGGGGGTGCTGCGGAGGTGGAAAGAGCCAAGACGATGGCGGCGAGTGGGGGGGGAGTGGTGGCGCCGCAGAGGGTGCTGCAGGTGAAGGGGCAGAGCATTGATGACATCTCCCTTGCCATGATCCTGCAGCGCCGCCATGCCCGGGAGGTGAGCTGGGTATGTGTGCGTGCGTTCCATCCAGCAGGCCTTGATTCCGTTTTACCTGCTCCACTGTTCTCTCTAAGTCGACTCAAACGAGAACACAGAAACTCACTCACGCCCTCCCACGGCCCCTTTCCCCCTTTCATCGCACCCACTCACAGGATCCGTCAGCTTCCCTGCCCTCCCCATCATCCGCATCCGTGCTGCAAATCTCACCCGAGTCAGAGCAGCTATCGCACGTGCTGCTGAGGCAGTTTGGTGACCACGTGGTGCGCGACTACAGCCGCCCGCAGCACAAGCCCAAGCATGGGCTGCCACAGGTGCAGAAGGAGCTGGGGAAGGTGCGCGAAGCCATGGACGAGCTTAAAGCCATGGTGCTCGCGCTGCACTCCGCTGTCACTGCAGGGGAGGGTATGCTGCCTGCTGCTGCCGCTGGTGCGGCGGGTGTAGGTGGAAGTGCAGCTGGGGGAGCAAGGGGGTACTGCCCGTTGTTTTCTGCGTCGTCGTCGGCAGCAGCAGTGCTGGCGCGCTCTTCTTTCAGCACCACCTCCTTCTTTTCCACCGCCCAAGGCTGCTTCCTCTCCCCCAACTCCCTCGGCACTCCCCTTGGCACACCCCTCGGCACCTCCCCTGCTAGGGACCCCTTCTCTTCCCCTGCTGCCTCCTCCCTCGCTGCCTCCAGCCCCTTCATCCGTAACCCATTCGCTGCTGGTAACCCACTCGTCGCCGGCCACCCGTTCGCGACTAATAACCCGTTTGCTGGGGGTAACCCGTTTGGCACAGGCAGTCCGCAGCACCACTCGCTGGTTCTGCAGCGGGGGGCTGCGAGGAGGGCAGGGAGTGCGGGGCGGGCGGGGCTGAGGGGGAGCATGGGTCCTAGTAACCTGGGGCGGGGGAACCAGGCGAGCAGGCAGGGGAATGGGCTAATGCTCTCGCGTGTGGAAACCACCCCGCTGCCCCACCGGCATAGTCTTGACGGCGCTGCTTCGGGTCGTCATGGCGGTTCTGGCGCCGATTCCCATGCTGATGGCTCGCAGCAGCTGACTTATGAGAGTGTCGCTTTCGTTCATGCTGACACCATGCCCATGCCCCGAACCCGCACCTCTTCGTTCCCGTATCCTGAACCCGAGCCTCGTGACGCACAGGCAGGTTCGGCGCAGGCTCCTGGGAGCAGTGATGGAGAGAGTGCGGATGGGGATGGCAAGGGGAGTGCCAGCGGTGAGGAGCAGAGTGAGGAGTTGTCGCCGCTGACACAAGCCGCCCGGCGCGTATCATTGTCAGAGATGGAGGAGGAGGGTGGGGGGAGGATGAGGAAGAGAGGTGGAGAGGGTAGCAATGGGAGGGGCGCAAGTGGCGCTGGTGGAAGTTGGTCTGTGCGGAAGAGCGTGGGGTTCCGGGAGGTGTGAGGGAGGAATGTGCTGGACGAGGCTGCACTAATAAGACCGAAATGACAGCAAACTGCAGCATAGAGGAGTTGGTCTGCAATCGCTGGGTGCATGAGGTGGCGGTGACGCTATGTTACCTTGATGAGAGCACCGAACCAGTCCAGTCACAAAGTGCTGATGTTGCCTTCAGATTACCAGGTGAGTGGCAAGGGAGGTGGGGAGAGAGAAGGGGTGGTGGTGGGATAGGGAGAAGGGGTTTGGAGGGTGGAAAAGAAAGAGATGCAACAAAATTAGAAAATCTAATTGTATCTGTTTATTAAGCTCCCCTGGTCCACCTTGTCCCCTTCCTCCATGCAGTTGCTGGTTACTGAATGAACGGTACCGTACATGCTCGGACATATGGATCAGGGTGGTCATCCTTACTTTCATGATCGTGGAGCCGCTCAGCATTGTGGTGGCATCAATTGTGATTGTGTGGTACAGCGTGGTAGCTTGCAGATTGGAGCATGATAGAGAATTGATTAGACCTTTCATGGAATGAGTCGCTGTATTCCTAGGAGCGTGTTCCTACACCTCGTATCAAGAGAGCCTCGTATCAGGCTCACACTGAAAATTCTTGTAAACCCAAAACCTCTCGCTGGTTTTACCAGGCAAAAAGTACATTCTTGATACGAGGTTTCCTGATATGAGGCCGTAGGAACACACCCTAAGTGTATAACCTGCTCAACCTCACCAATGACTGTGGAGCTCAACTGTTTAGTATCTTTGGAATGGCCAAAAGGACAGTCAACCAGCACCCCCCGCACCTTCATAAGGACAACCCGCTTGTGACATATTTTTTTCTTCAATTTTAGCACTCATACCTACGCCAAATCCTACAAAAATCAGGGCATGAGCAAGAGAATGCTTGATTGACCCGTGACCACGGGGTAGGTCGGAAGTGCCAGTGCCTTAAAGCCAGGATCTCAAGTACGCGAATTGTCCTTCAATTGCAAAACACTCTCACATTTTCGCCCCTGGGCTGCGTTCTGCAGGCGCATCAGCTCTGATGCGTCTGAGGCTCGGCCTGGTCCGCACATTGAGAAATTGAGGTTCGGAAATTGTGAATTGGAAATTGAGAAATTGAGGTTTGGACATTTGAAATTGAGGTTTGGGGAATCTGACGAACTTGAGTTGAAGTTAGGAAATTGGACATTCAATTTCTTCACGAATTAAAAATTTGCGAATGTTACAGGTTTCTTAGAAGCTTCTTCGTCGCTGAATTTCGGTTTGGCCAAACTGATTGGCCAATGAGGTTGCAGTGCATCAGCTGATGCGCGCATGATCCGAGGCCCTGTTCTGTTGGCGCATAAGGGGTGCTCAGTCCTAACGTTGAACATTCTCGGAATGCGCATAACAAGGCTTAAAGCCCATGTCGAGCCTCCCAAATCGTTATTGTCTTCCGAACCCCTGGTGCGGGAGTTGTGCGCGCATTACTCATGCGTGCGCAAGAACGCTGAACTCTCTGTGCGCTGAGAAAATTCCACGACCTTGGTTTCTCAGGCAAATTTCCCGCATGGCCTGTGCGAGCCCTATGCGCTCGTCGAGGGGGGATTGAAAAGGCGCACAACAAATAACGGGCAGATATAAACACCCGTTTTGGGGTATTGTTTCGGTGGAATACTCACCCCAAAAACAATCCAACGGCTAACCAGTAAGACTGCCACATCCAGTGCATCGGTTTGCGAAAATTTGACTTTGGAAGAGTGCTAGGGCAGTGTGTAACAACATTTTTTCAGGCACACGCGAGAAAAAAGTTCGTAATGTTGTCGATTAGCAAAGCCTTCGACGAGGCTGCAGGCCCTCTCTTCCTTTCGAGGAAAACGATGTCCGCAGTACTTGTGCGGCAGCTGCGAATGGCCTGTGCGCCAACAGAACAGGGCCCGAGTTTTCGAAGTCGCATGATGCGCGCATCAATGATGCGCCAGCTTGCTAGGAGAGAAAGCTTCTTGGAAAGCGGACACATTACAAATTTCGTAAGCCAAAAAGGCCGTTCTGCAGGCATTCGGTTTTGTTTTCCTTCGGCAGCCATGCGCTTATCGCGAACCTTGATAACCTGTCGGCAGGTTATCGTGGAAAATTCATGGAGCCATGGTAGAACGCATCAATGTACATTGATGCGGGCTGTGTCAGAATCCCAACCACTAGACCATTGGGATAAAAGGGCTTGTTTCAGTAGCGGGTAAGTGCGCCCATAACCCCCCAGGCGAACGCGCCTGTAACCCTCTCCAGGATCAATCGGGCATCCACAGTGCAGATCTACTGACACCCCCCCACACTGGGAGGCCCAGGACTAAGCATAGCGGCAACGGCCTACATGTGCATACACCGGGAATCGAACCCGAGACCGCTCTGATACCATGTCAGAATCCCAACCACTAGACCATTGGGATAAAAGGGCTTGTTTCAGTAGCGGGTAAGTGCGCCCATAACCCCCCAGGCGAACGCGCCTGTAACCCTCTCCAGGATCAATCGGGCATCCACAGTGCAGATCTACTGACAGGCTGATGCGCCTGCAGAACGCAACCCTGGAGCTAATGCGAAACACATTGCTGGTATATGAGATTGTTCGGGTGTGACTAGAAATTGCTGGTGTTGCAGCTTCGTCACCGAACCAGATTCCGTGCCTCCCTGGTTCGGACTCAAACTTGCGATTTGACTTTAGTTCTCACCCCTCGCTTCACCCCTCGTCAAACTATCCACCTCGTTAACCAATCACAGGCAAGCTCCCCTCACCAACTTCCAGCTAATTTTTAAGTGAAAATTTTACCACCGATATACTCGCACTAGATTTCCTTAGAAACTAGATTCGAATTAGCGTTTAGAATTGCAGGCCAGGAGATGGTTTGGGGGTTGTGGGTGGGGTGGAGCAAGCTCGATTGTCTAGGGCGCATCACCTCGGGGCTGGAAGACCCAAATCCGAACATACGTAACGAATTCACTGTACGAACAGTTTCCCGACGAGATCCGAACACCAATTTGAACACCCTGGTGAATGTGACAGCTCGTGACTAGAGGTGACAGCCTGTTCGAACATGCGACGTCGCCAAGTGTTGGACGACTTCGCGAAACGTCGCAAGAAAATAATTCAGTCGTCTGCCATTCAAGTTTGACTCATTTTTCGCCGATCCAGTCAAAATGTCTCTTCGTGCTCTTCTACTAGTGCTCACCTTGTTGTTTCCCAACAACAATGTCCTTTTCGATGAACTTTCTCCTGCATGGCGACATTTGCAATGGTCGCAAACATTCGTGTACGACCCGAAGCCTGCTAACCAATCAAATCAGTCGTCCATGCGGAATCCCTGTCACCAAACCCAACTTTTTTCGAACAACTCTGTTCGAACGTGCGGAATGGAGAGCTTCGTGCCCCGTGTGACAGCTCTGACTAGCGACGTCACAAACACCCATACGAGGAGTGGCTAAAACTGTAACATTTCGCCTGTTCTAACAAACGTGCTGCTCGAACTGAGAGGTGAAGCGCCCTTACTAATCGGAAACCCGACACTGGTAGGAGGGTTGAGGGCCTCGGAGAGAGGAAGCGAAACAAGACCAAATATGAAAGAAAAAGGCTGTTGAAACCTGACAGCAAGTAATCGAGCACGCTTTGTGTCTCCTGGGGGGTTGTTTAGGGCGTGTGCACTAGGCGTTCGAACTTCTGTCTAAGCTCAAACTTTTAGCGAGGTTCTACTCGGTACGATACTAATAAAAAACGTTTTTACACGGTGCAAAGCGGTTAATGTTCGAACTCTGACAGTTTCGCCTCAAGTGCACACGCCCTTAACGTACTTGTTTTATCTAGATTGTACGAAGACTACCAGACCGGTCATTGTAGGCCCACACCAACCACTTCCCCCACCAGCGGTAGTGACAGCACAGTACGAGCTAACACTGTCGGATTGCAGACCCACACTTCTGTGGAGGTCAGGGTACAGTGCTCTACACCCTCGAGTTTGGTTTGTGTCCAGTTTCCATCCAGACACCACCGAACCGAATGATGGCTCGTGTCGCATCCCATCTCATCCATCTGAGTAGCCCTTGAAGCTTACGCCGGTTCCAACCGAAGAAAGGCATCGAAACATCTCCTCCAACCACGTTTCTCGATTTCTTCCTACTCTCCCCTCTGCTCTTACACGCTTGCCTGAATGCTAGAAGAGGAGAAGCAGCAGAGCACGGGGATGAGCTACCACAACACAACACACGTCCAGGCAGCAGGGAACGCGTGCAGCAGAAGCTCCTCCACATTCTCCAAGCGATTTATTTCCTTGACCAGATGCACCACCGCTAGACAGGGGCACCATTAGCAAGAAAGTACGTCACGCATCTTTCGTTGCCCGTATACATGCTCGTTATTAGGAACTATTTCCAGCAGGTCCTGCTTCTCGTTTTTCTCTAGAGTCGGGGATGGCGGAGGCGGCCGCAGTGCTGCGCGCGAAGAAGCAGGCGGAGGGGAAGGAGGGGGGGGAGGTGGATGGTGGCGAGGCGTCGTTTTCGAGGTCGAAGAGTTTGTTGGACGAGCATTTCGAGGCGTACGAGGCGGCCAACTACCGCATGTGGGTTCGCTCCAAATCCGACAATCCATCCAGGTGAACCGACCATCACATTCCGTGCTTGCTTGCACGTGACCGTTAGCGCTTGCTTGCGAACGCGCTTCCCAATGCTGCTTTTTTTCTTCCCCCATTGAACGCACACTCCCGACTTGCTAAACCATTTTCCCTTCCGCTCCGCCCATCCCCAACTCCCCTCGCCCATCCCTCTCGTTTCGAAGCCGCACGCCTTCGGGGTCTCGCAGTCGCAAGCAACACAATCTAGATTTCCTCGATAGCCACGGCAGGTTCACGCCGCAAAATGCGGAGCTCATGGCACGTTTCGCGTCAAGCTCGTCGCCCAATCCGTCCGTTCCCGTCGACGAAGACCGGGCGGGGCAATGTGACGGCGGCGATGAGGATTACGGGGGGATCTGTGCGGAGGGCGGAGCGGAGATGTTGGCGGAGGAAGGGAGAGCTGGCGGAGAGGGTTCGGGGACTGAGGGAGCGCGGGACAGCAGCGGCAACAGCAGCAACGGCAGCAGCCATGGGAGCTCGGCGGACGACGACAGAGGGCTGCGCGGCCTCTTGCGCCATTGCCGCCCGCGGAGCAGGCGCGCAAGCAACACGCGCGCCGACGAGAGCATTGCCAGTGGCGCGGAGGGCGGAGAGGGGAAGGCGACCGCGGCGGGGGCTCCGCTGAAGCGCAGCTTGACAGCAGATGCGACGGGGAAGAGCATGGCGCGGGTTGCGTTCAACAGTTCGACGGCGGAGAGTTTGGCGCGGTCGGCGAGCGATGTGCTGCAGGACGTGGCGATGGACGAGATGGACAGAGAGGTGCTGCAAGGTGCGAACAGGTTTAGAGCGGTGCTCCACTGGCGGGGCGGGGCTGTGGGGCGACACAACACACGCCCCACGCCCACGCCTCTTCCTCGCGTTTCTCTCTGCCGCATTGCTTCTGGCGTTCCGCGCCATCCGCACGGTTCCCGCCGCTGCTCTCTCCCCCCTCCACACCTCAACGCCCCCTTCCCCATTCCCCCCTCCCCCGCCCTCCCCCTTTCGCGTGGCTGGTGGCAGAGGCGTTTGCGCGCGTGGTGGCGCTGCAGCAGCGCGTGCAGCACTACCGCGACCTGGGCGGGTTCATGGTGCTCATGGCGCTCTTCATCACCATCCTCTACCTCCAGGCCGACTCCTCCCGCAGCTACGAAATCACCGCCGCGCACGCAGTGCTCTTCCCCCCCGTATGCTCCCCTACCCCCCGCCGTGCTCGTCCCCCTTGTATGCTCCCCCCTCCCCACCTCGTGCTCTTCTCCCCATGCTCCTCCCCACACCTCCCCCCCTTCGTGCTCTACGCACCTGTATCCTCCCCACTTCCGCAGTCCCCACACCTCTTGCGTTGCATGCATGCACTCCCCCCACACTCCCCCCCGCCTGGGCGAGTCAGGACTCCTCCAGCCGCGTCATTTCCGCTCTGCCCTTGCCCGGCATGTGTCTCTCCGCCCTGCTTGTGTCTCTCTCTCCCCACCATGAGAGCAGGGCATGCAGCAGGACGCCTCCAACACCTTCGCTGGTCCGGATGACTTCTACAGTTGGCTCAACACCAGCATCGTGCAGGTGCGCTCCCCCTCCCTCTCCCTTTCGTCTCTGCATTATTGCTCCTTGTGCACCTGATGCGTATTTCCCTGCACATACTCAAGCCTGCCCACAGCCCACCCATGCGGCATCACACCTCTCTCCTGCCCACATCAAAACCCGCACACTCGTCAGCCCGTGCACTACTCACTGCCTCTCTCTCCTGCCCACCGTCCCTGCAGAGTCTGTGGATGGACCCCACCTGTGGCGACGGCTCGTGTCACCGCCCCTTCCAGTTCCCCGCGTTTGGCCGCTTTGGTTGTGAGGCGGACTGTGGCACGTTCCCCAACCTCACCTCAGTGGTTGTCAGTTTCTCCTCTCACCTCGACATGCATCAGGCTGAGGACGAGTCTTCTTGGAACCTCTGCATGGTCAACCCGGTCTCCCTCTGCTGGTATGCTCGCCCTCTCGTCACACACCTTCCCCGGCTGCACGTGCACCCTCCTCCCGCTTCCCTCTACTCTTCTTGCCGTTCCGTCCTGTGTACTCTCCCCATCCCATCGCATCCCATCCCATCCCGTCCCATCCATCCCATTTCACCCCATCCCACAACATCCCATTCCACCCCACACCACCCCGTGCGGGGCGGCCATGCGGTGCAAGCAGGTACGAGTCATTCCAGCCATTCCCGCGCGGTGATGCGGAGGTGTCAGTGGCGGTGGACATTCCGGACGGCGACTGGGTGGTGGTGCTCAACGCGCCCGCGGGGGGCATCCGCGGCACCGTGCACGCGCCCCCTCCCGGCACGCGCCGCTTCTCCGTCGTCGGCGCCGCCTCCACCATTGAGCTCGCCGCGTGGGGCTACTGTACGCACGACGATGACGTGGATGCAGCCAATCAGGCGCAGCCCAGTGGCGGCGCTGCTGGTTCTGCACCTGATATCTGTCGTGATGTGAGCATGCCGTTGCTCAGTTTGCCAGATGTGGAGCACACTCAACTTTTTCATGCGTTATTCCAAGTGGGTTTGAACATACTTTCAATCACAACTGACTGACTGCATTCGTGTGTGCGTGTGCGCGCGTACATGCGTATTTGCATCCGAACATGCATCCATGCATGCATGCGAGCGTGTGTGCGTGACTGTGTGCATGTGTGACTGTGTGCAGACATGTGAGAGGCTGGTGGCCTGCCTGCCAGCAACCTGTGGGCGAGCATTCACGGAGAGGGAGGTGGCAGGGGCGTTCGTGGACTGTGCGCGCATGTGCATCGTTGCACCCTCCTCCATCACTACCTATGCCAACTCTTCCTGTCCCATGGTGAGCTTCCTGCCCCATGGTGCGCTCCATGCCCCATGGTGCGCTCCATGCCCCATGGTGCGCTCCATGCCCCATGGTGCGCTCCATGCCCCATGGTGCGCTCCATGCCCCCTGGTGCGCTCCATGCCCCATGGTGCGCTCCCTGCCCCATGCTGCGCCCCTTGCCCCAAGGTGCGTTCCTTGCCCCATGGTGCGTGCGATTATTCTGGTAGTTTTGAAGGACAGCTGACACCTGCCTCATGGAGCGCTCTGTGATTCGAGTACCTGTATAGAGCAACCTGCTCTGCCCGCGCCAATAATTCCTTTCTCTCCCTGATGATGCGCTTCATAATACATTGATGGCTTCGGGAACAGGCTACTCTGCCCCATGCTACATGGCACGCCAGCCTGTCGGGCAGCCCTCGTGTGCCATTGCATTGCAGTCTTACTCAGATGAATTCGCGTTCACCCTCCAGTGGCTAGCACAGTGTGCTTCAGATGGTTAGGCTGCCTTCTACCAGTGTTCTACCAGTGTGCCCAATGGCTTGTTACTACCAGCCATCAGATCTTCTGTTCCCATCCCAGGCCAGGGCTCTTCTCATTCTCACTGCCCGTCATCCCAGACCAGGGCTCTTCTCGTTCTCACTGTCCGTCATCCCAGGCCAGGGCTCTTCTCGTTCTCACATGCTCCCTCGCTCCCCTATCCGCTGCCGCCTGCAGTCTGACATCGCAACACTCTTCTCCAAAACCCCCTGCAACGTTTCAGGTACTGTCCCCTCTGCATCCTGCTCTCACTTGTCTCAGATGTTGTCTGTGTGAACACGTGTGCAAGCGTCGCATTCATGAGTGCACGCTTTGCCATTGATTCTTTCTTGAGCACTGTCTGCCATCCCCTCATTGCACACCACCCTCTACCATCCAGCAGTCAACGCCACGGCTCACATCTCTCACCTCGCCCGCCGCAAGGTGCTCCCACCCCCATCGCTTGCTGCCCGCCCTTTGCTTGCTATTCCTTGTGGCCTCCTGCTCCTCTTTTCCTCATGCTCCCTTCACGTTTGCTGTTCGCCTGTTGTTCGTGTGTGTGCATTTCTTGCGAATCCCGCCTTGTCGTGGTCTCTCCGCTGACCCACAGCCTCCTACATACTTATTACCCATCCCGTCTCAGGCCCAGTCACATCACCGCCTCCTGCACGCACACCGCTACAGCGATTGGACCTCTGCTGCCATGCCCGCTGCTGATGCTGCCTTGCCCGCTGCTGATGCTGCCTTGCCCGCAGCTGATGCTGCCTTACCCGCGCCACCAGTGCTAGGCATACCGGGAACAGCAGTTGAATCGCCGCCACTACAAACGCCTCCAGCATCGCTACCACCACCACCACCACCAGCACCAGCAGCAGTCATGGCAGCAGCAGCCATCGCTGCAGTGGGAACGGCAGCCATGGCAGCAGACCCCACGCAGCCCTCCCTGTGGTCGCTCCTGGGCGCCACGGATCGCCAGCGACTCACAGCGCTGCAGGTGGCGGTGTCGCGAGCACTCTTCACCATGGCCAAGGACCGCTGCCTGGCCGGCCGTGCTCCGGGAGCAGAGGCGAGGCAAGTGGCAGGAGAGAGCAAGCACACGCTGAAGGGGCCGGGCAGCGTGAGGTGGCGGATAGTGGCATGCCTGTGCACGATGCTGGGGGGCCCTGCCACAACTTTAGATGAGTGCCGATTCACGGATGAAGCAGGGGAGAAAGTGGTGGTAGACGGTGACATGTACGCGTACCTGCAGCGCACGCATGTGAGCGGCGGGCGTGTCATCTCAGCGCAGCACATGCGGCGCTTCGTGCAAACCATGGTGGCGGCTCTGCGGTCCGTGACGCCCATGGCGGACGCGGCTGCTGCTCGTCTTTACACGCTCATGCACTCCTTCGACGATGCCATCGTCACCTCCGACACTGTCGGCTGCTCGCAAGGTGCTCATGGCCGGTGGTCCAAGTGGTGGGTGCATGCCCATGTGCATGCATGCATGTGTGCGTGTGTGTGTGTGTGCGCGCGCGCGCGTGCGTGCATGTGTGTGTGTGTGTGTGTGTGTGTGTGTGTGTGTGTGTGTGTGTGTGTGTGTATGTGCATGTCTGAGTGTTGCTGTCATTCATGGCACCACAGACGGATAATGTTTGACTGAAGGCACTTCTTTCGCCCTCTTTGTCTCCCTCAGGCGGAGCGTGGCTGCCGTGGCGGGCGGGTGTGAAGCACAACACGACCATCCATGTGGGTGACAAGGTCACCTGGGTGTGGGATGACGACCTCCCACACTCACTCCGAGGTACACCTTTGTCTTGAAAACTCTGCCACTTCTCATTGGTGCTACTATACGTCCTCTGTGCATATGTGCCTATACTGCTCCGTAGAGGAAAAGAGTATTTCTGTTGAGCCTTTGTAATGACTTTACCACTTCCCATTCAGTGGTCCGCCCTGCCTCATGTCCCAACGCTCCTGTGCTTCCTCCACCACCACCACCACCACCACCACCACCACCACCACCACCACCACCACCACCACCACCACCACCACCACCACCACCACACCACCACCACCACCACCACCACCACCACCACCACCACCACCACCACCACCACCACCACCACCACCACCACCACCACCACCACCACCACCACCACCACCACCACCACCACCAGTGTCCGGGATGGGTGACGCAGACGAACCGCTGTTTTTCGGATTCGGAGGGAACCGCTTCACCGTGTCACGGCAGATGGCATGCACTTTCATGAATGTGGGCGCTGGCGACAGGAGCGACGACCCCGTGCCGTGCGTGCTAAGTGAGTCCCGATGGTGCGGTAAGTGAGCAATGGCCCGGTGCCGTTTGGCTAAGTGGGTGCGGGTGTGCGGAGGTTGACGTATACACTCGAGTTTGGAACCTGGCTTGTGAGCACAAGGCTACCAAGCACTGCATGATAGGCGTGAGCACGGATCGAACTCAAAATGTGACATGTAGGGGTTCGAGCCGAACTGAATCGGGACCGGTTCGAGTTTGATTATCCATTGGCATCAGTTAAAATCTCCTATTGTTAGGTTGGAAATTCTAGGTGATCACCTTTAAGTTAGGTTTAGTCGCAGAGGTTGACCATCCGTGTCAGCGACTATGTCACTTGAGTGTGCTGTCAGGAGAGGACAGGTCGGCTGCAAAGGCCTTACTTCCATTAATCTCGTGTTGTACTAGACCAACGAAACAAACTCCATGAAACAATGGCGGAAGGAGCCTGGGTGTGCGCTAGCTTAGAGTGTAATCGAGAGAGCCAGTTTGAAACAAATCTTCAATCAAGAATCAGGGACATTTGCAAACTAGTTTCGGCATTTGACAGCCTTCATCAGTACAAAGCGTGAAACAAAAAATTCAGAAATGAAGCAGACTGACTAAAGTTCTCTACGCTCGAAGCAGGCTAGCCAGGAATGATGGAATGAAATGGCGAATGGCGAAATTCTAGGTGATCACCTTTAAGTAAGGTTTAGTCGCAGATGTTGACCATCCGTGTCAGCAACTATGTCACTTGAGTGTGGGGTGGGATAAGAACCTCCTCGCTCGCTCAGAGATATGTCATTCTCATCCCATTTGCAGCAGCCCAGTGGGCCGTTGGCCCAGTGACTTCATCTTTTGGTAGGTCGCGCAGTTGTCACATATGATGCACGTCCGATGGCACGGCGTGTCGGGCCAGTAGTAGGTAGTTGCTCTGTATAGTTTTTGGCATCTTGTTGATGCGGACATGCTTGGAAAGGTTGGAGTCATGAACGTCCAACCTCAGCAATTCCCGTAAATTGCGGTAGGAAAGAATCCGAACTTGGTCAATTCCAGCTTTTACGTAGTACTTTCCTTGTGTAGCCTGACGATGTCGACCACGCTTAAAAAAAAAAGGCCAATCTTGTTAGCCTGTCGGCAGCGGGTTGGAGTGGGCAATTAGCACTGCTGCTGTCTGTACCGAGCGGCACAGTAAGATGTCGGCGATGTTGTTTGCCCCTTTCTTGTACGTGATGGTATAGACGTTGGGTTCAAGAAAGTTCAACCACCAAATTTGTTGCGCGTCAAGTGTCGGATGCGCTCGTAGGTACCATAGTAAGTTGTGATCCGTCCACACTGTCGCGTCGACACCTGTCAGGTAAAAGCGCCACGTTAGGTAAAAGCTCCACGTCTGGTAAAAGCTCCACGTCTGGTAAAAGCGCCACGTTAGGTAAAAGCTCCACGTCTGGTAAAAGCACCACATTAGGTAAAAGCTCCACGTCTGGTAAAAGCGCCACGTCCGGAAGGCATACGTGATGGCGAGTATCTCCTTGTCGTGTGCCTAACAGTTGCGCTCGGTTGGTTGGGACTTTGTGCTGTTGCACCCAATTCACGAAAAGTACGTCTATGTTAAACCAGGATCTTGAAACAGTACAAGTTCAACAGTGGGATCGTAGTGTTTCTTCAACTACTGGCCACCTAAGCAGGGCTGCTATCCGTTATCTTTAACAAATGAGTGACGGAGTGTGTGGTGACTTCTGGTTTGGCCATTCGTGTCACCAAACGATGTCTAGCCTGCTTCATTCAACTCAACATCTTGGCCTGTTGCTGCTCATACATCACCCTCGCCTCGCACCCCATCACTCCTCCCACTATCCTCTACAACCCCACCCTCCCCTCCCCCACCTTGTACCCCTTCTCCCACCAGGGATGGATGACGAGCCTCCCGGTTCCTTTGCGTACAGCAAGGTGTTTGCAGAGCCCATCACCATCCACTACCAGGACGGCTCCCTGTCAGGCACCACTGCCGAATTCCTCTCTTCCTCCGCCTCCTCCTCCTCCTCCTCCTCCACCCCCACCCCCACCTCCATGTCCACCAGTATTCTCACAGTGCTGCCTGCCAGGGCTGCGGTGGATGCTGCTGGTGAGCACTGCATGTGGGACTTTTAGCCCTCGGATGCACTGCATGTGGGACTTTTAGCCCTCGGATGCACTGCATGTGGGACTTTTAGCCCTCGGATGCACTGCATGTGGGACTTTGAGCCCTCGGATGCACTGCATGTGGGACTTCGAGCCCTCGGATGCACTGCATGTGGGACTTTTAGCCCTCGGATTCGCTTTCCCTTTCAGTTTCCTCCACTGCTCCCACCTGATTCATCCCACTACACCTTTCTGCCTTCACCTCCCTGTCCTCCCTCCTCCTTCGCCGTTCGTCCCTGTCTTTCTATCATCTTCCAACCATTCCTCCCCACATCTCCTGTCCGTTCCCCTTGATTTCTTTTGCACGCAAGATATTGCAGGTTTTGTCAATGCCACCACCGCTGCCCCCACCAACACCACCACAGCCCCCCCTGTAGCCGTGGCAGCGCACGAGTGCTCGCCGGGGTGCCGGCTGCAGCGGCTGGCGAACGGGGTGTGCGATGCGGCGTGCAACACGCCCGCGTGCGCCTTTGACGGCGGCGACTGCGCGTGTGTCGACCCGCTCTTCGGCCCCGGCATCTGCGCCTGCCCGCCCGGCCACACCCGCCGCGACGATGGCTGTCAGTCACCCCTCTCCCCCCTCCACCCGCCCCTCTGGCTCCTTTTCTATTCTCCCTTTACTCTTACTTGCTTTTTGCCTAGCCCTTTCTTTCACTGCATCCTTAATCTCTCGTCTCCACTCTCTCTTCCGCATACCCCTCCCTTTCCTCCTCTCTCTTCCTCCCCTCCCTCCCTCCCCATTCCCCAGCATGCTGTCTATCCACGGCGGTGGGCGCCAATCTCAACTTCCCCTTCTCACTGCAGCGCTACGGCCCCAACTACACGGAGAGCAACTTCGCCTTTGCGGCAGAGAGGGGTTTTGCTGCCAACCGTTATGTGTCACACCGCAACCGGTGTGCTCCCGTGCCTCCCTTCCTCCCATGCTTCCTTTCCTCCCTCCTGTGCCTTCCTGCCTTGCATGCCCTATTGGCGCTGCAATTGTGCACTGCTGTGCCTTTCCATGCCCTTCTTACCCTTTCACCCCACCCCCGCCCCCCCCCCCCCCCTCGCCACACATGGTCACGCACATCTCTTCTCCGCCTCACATTGCAACCGGAAGGGCGGCATGCTACACCTCAAAGTACTGCCCTGCTCTGTGAATTTCCGCTTGCCCATCAGGGGCACCGCTCACCACCACAACTGGCTTCTCACTCTCCTCTGCTATATCCCCTCCTCCTCCCCCCCTCCTCCTTTCTTCTCCGTGGCAGTCTGCTGATCGGCATGGTGCTGCATCAGGAGCGGTGGGGCACGCAGCAGTGCAGCGGACCTGGGTGAGTCGTTTTGGTGACTGCAAGGTTCAAAATGAGGGCCTTTTCTCTCTCTCAAACGGTCCTTTGTATTAATTCAGCAGGGGTACAAACATGCGGTGCTATCCATGATAGCCTCCATCCCTTAAGCCCCAAAGCTCACCACTCTTCACCCCCCCCCAGAGTGACCCTCTAGCCCTCCAGCGTGTGGAGGATGTCCCCCAGGTGCAGCGGCCAGGGGTCCGCTGCCATCTGGGGGTGCGCTGCCTCGATCCCAGCCCTGGCCTTGGTGTGCAGGGCATTCTCTCTCTCTCTCTCTCTCTCTCTCTCTCTCTCTCTCTCTCTCTCTCTCTCTCTCTCTCTCTCTCTCTCTCTCTCCCTTTCTCTCTCTCTCTCTCTCGAACGGCCCTTTCATTTATACGCCTAGGACTTACAGGCATGCAAGGAGGTAGCTATTGTCAGAATGGTGCAAAAAAGGGGCTCATACTACTCCCTTACCACAACACACAACCCCCCCCCCCCCCCCCCCTTCTAAGCTAGGTCCAGTACAGGATCAAGGACCGTGAGGCAGTCCCCTAGGGACGGAGCCTCCCCCACTGCCTCGAGCAGTGGGTTTTCCACTGCAGCCGCTATGCTGCATTTTTCCAAATAACCGATAGACTGCCCCCTTTGAAGAGCCACCGACCACCGCTGCCGAAATTGGTGTAAGAGCTTGGCAGCTTGGTAGGAGGTTGGCTCGGCGTTAAAGAACCGCTGTGCAGCCGTCTCAGCGAGCAGCTTCTGGAAATCCACTGTCTCGGGGCATGGGCACCCATAAGTTTCGACCGTGAGCGGGAAAAACTTTACCCACTCGGGGCGGTCCCTGTAGAGGCCGTGCTTTTTATCTGCTGCTTCCCGAGCCGCCCACCCCCGCCCCTTGGTTGCATTCTCGTCACGGGTGCTGATGGGGTCCGTCACCCTGTCACATCACAGATGTAGACGGCTCCTGTTGAGCGGCAGCGGAGGGCCAAGTCCGCCTTCTTCTCCTCCACTGGGCTGAAGGCGGCCGTTTCAATGTGCACCATGAAGCCCACGTCGCGCGCCATTCGCGCACACTCATCCCTGAGTTCATTGTGGGTGTTTGTGCGCCCCCCCCTGTCCCGCACCGTAACAGGTGGTTAGGGAGGCGCTTGTCGGGGATTTCCACCTTCTTCGAGCAGTTGCAGGCCCCGGGGGCCGCAAAGGGGAGCCCCAGGCGAAACTGGAGCGCGTTGGCGTAGTGCGGGGCCTCGAGGTGTAGCGCGCGGTGCAGAGGCACCGCATTCAACCAATCCCCCGCCCCGTACCCCGACAGGGATAACAGCCGTTGTGTGTGACCATTGTTTGGGTTCGGGCTCATCCCCGGCACCTCCTCCACCTGGACTGCGTAGCGGTGGCCCTGGATAGCCGTGGCTAACCCGTGCTGCAGCTTCCCCGCGGTTGGGGCTGTTCTCTCCGCTTGCAACGCTTCCTGGGCCGGCAGTGGAAGCTCCCCCTCGCATTCCGCCAACCACTCGGTCAAAGGGGATGACTGAGTGTAGGGGCCGCGCATCTGCTCGCGGATGACCTCCAGAGGGCCGCTGCAGTCGCCCTCGAGGGAGTCAAGGAGGAGATGGGCCTGCGTGTAGCTGGCGAGGAAGCTGTAGCTTCCTTCCACGGACGGGTCTGTCAGCCCAAGGCCACCGAGCGATACAGGGAGCGAGGCCTGCGCTCAAGTGCGCGCGGTTTCCTTGGTCCCCCGCGGGTGTATGATGCCACACGCTGTGAGCACAGTGTTCAGCATCTGCCTCCCCCATTCGGACCACTCCTCCTTGGGCAGGGACGGGAGGGGAGTCGTGCGGGCCAAATAGGATAAACGGCGCGAGACGCACCGAGACAGTAGCAATCCCGCCAGCTGCGGCTCCATCCGCTCGATCAAGCCCAGCGGCTCTCTCTCTCTCTCTCTCTCTCTCTCTCTCTCTCTCTCTCTCTCTCTCTCTCTCTCTCTCTCTCTCTCTCTCTCTCTCTCTCTCTCTCTCTCTCTCTCTCATTCTCTGTTTCCCACGGTGCTTGCCTGATTCTATCGCTGTGTGACCTCGCACCAATTTCCCTTCGTGCAACGCCTGCACTGCACTTCCTCCCTTCCATCACAGCTGCATTCTCTCTTCTCTCCCCCAACCCCCCTCCACTCCTCGCTCCCTCCCCAGGCTGCTGCACCTGGCGGGGTGGTGCAGCAACGGCACGTCCAGGGAGTCGTTTGGAGTGAACCCGCACTTCCTGCCCACATCGGCCATCTACGACAGCGCTGCCAGCGCCAACATGAGCCAGCTCGACAACAGCAACTTTGGCTTCCAACTGCTCTTCAATCCCCAGGGCCTCCCCTACGGCTTCATCTACCCCATGGTCAGTCATGGCCCGTTTGTCTACCCTATGTTGGAATATACGTGTTTAGTGTACAGGCGCATATCGTATATATGCTTGTGTATACACGCTATACGCTAAGGGGTCGGTTTGGATATACACTTTTTCTGGCAGGGAAAAGGCTCTCCTGTGTAGGGCATAAAAAACCGCCAGTGGCTGTGTTAGGGGGTGGAAAAGGCTGTACGTTGTATACACGTTAGGAATGGGCGGGAGCTCTGTTGGGAGGCCGGGATGTAGCTGACTTGTGCAGTTGGGCTGGCTGGTAGGAAGCGTGAGGTTTGTTAGGGGGACGTTTTCGACAGGCTGGAGATCGTAGATGGGATGGGTTTCAATGCGGTACTGATTCAAAATTCCAAATTTGAACTCCAAGTTTGAAAACTTTGCATTCTAGCACCGCTGATTTGCATTTCAACGTCTGCGAATTTCACCGAGAAAATCCGCATCTATTTCGCATGTGCGAAATTTTCCAGGCAGCCCTAAAACTTTCTGAATTTGTATAGCATATTCGCTAGCGTATAGCGTAGAGGGTATATACGTTATGCTCTTCAGAGAGTGGGCGTATACCCCTGTTGAGGCGAAGCCCTGCATGCTCCTGGGGCGTGAAGGAGCCCTATGCGAAGTAGCAAGGCTTCGCATACAGTATACCGGAGCATCGGAATTCGCCAAGTACACTCCAATCTGTGAATTCGGTATGCACATTTCAACATTGGACCGAATTGGAGGGAAGTGACCACACTGCACAAACGAGTATGTGCAACTTTTCGTACTTTGAGCACCTACGCAAGTAAACCTGGGCAGGTTGAAAATACATGTGACGGTATTTTCACTGGATGGTATTTTCACCTGGCGGTGCTAGCCTGGAACCGCACATGCTAAAGTAGTTGCTTGCACGTTCTCTTTGAACAACGTTCTTCATGAACAACGTTCTCTTAGAACGTTCTTGCACACGTCACTATGTTTCCTATAAGGTTCATGTTGTTTCCCTTGTAATCTATCAATCAACCAATTTCGTTCCTTCCGTTACTAGATGCCAAGCACACGGTTTCTGAATACCAGCATCCGATTTCCAGCAAAGTCTGTATACGGTTTAGAGCAAGTATCCGGTTTGCAACTCCGCACCTAAGCTCTCCCATAATCGCATATTTTCCGCAACATCATGGTCAGTGGTGACCGAACAATGCCATCGCACAGAGCTAGTGACGTGCTTGAGAGGATACAGATCGCAAGCAACGAAGATGACTCATTCCTTTTCTGTGCTCCGTGTCTTGGTCACCTAGTGCACTGGTGCCCTCGTGCCTTGGTGCCTTGGTGCCTTTGGCGTCTTGGTGTCTTGGTGCGTTGGTGCTGTGAAGTGTTGACAACTTGGTCGCCTGGTGCTCCTCCATGTCGTTCTACGTTGCTGCCATGCTGCGTTCTTGCCTTGCTGCCTTGCCTTGCTCTCTTGTTCTCCTGCTCCCTTGTGTCTTGTTGACATGGTGAGTTAGCAACGTAAGCAAAAATAGCCAATGATGCATTCTTGATGATAATGTTCACCATTACCCTTTAGCAGGAGTCACTAACCACCTACCCTTTGGTGTTTGACATTAATCTCGATAATGAAGCGGCCACAAGGCGCCTACAGTACCTTGTGGATGGCAGCTACATTGACAATGGCACGCGCAGCGTCGACATCAACTTCATCACCTTCAACGGTAATGACTCGCAATCAACCTTCATGACCTTGTGACCTTGTGGAGGCAATGGCCCTTAGACACATATAGTCGCTCAATCTGACTCGCATTCCTGATACTGCGTTCCTCTCACTGCATTCCTCTCGCTGCATTCCTCTCACTTCATTCCTCTCACTGCATTCCTCTCACTGCATTCCTCTCACTGCTCGCCTCTCACTGCATGCCTCTCACTGCATGCCTCTCACTGCATGCCTCTCAGTACCGTCCCCCTTGACTGTGACGTCCCACGTTGGCAGGCGAGACGCTCACGTTCGTGCTGACAACTGTGAGGTGCACAATGAATGCTGGAGGCAGCATGACTGTATCGATCAAGTCCCAGCCGGCAGCCATGGCGATGTACGATGCATCGGCCGACAACATCGCACGGCTGGTGCTGGAGGTGGTGTATCTGGTGGGGCTGCTCTGGAATGTGTGTGGCGAGCTGCAGGAGATGGCCGACTGCGCTGCCAGGGATGGCTCTGTGCTCAGCTATTTTGGGCAAGCATGGAACTGGGTCGACATGCTCTCTCTCTCGCTGCAAGCCATCGCCGTCGGCCTTTGGTGAGACAGCAGCTCTTTTCTGTTACGCTTGCTCGTCATCCAGGCTATTTTTGTGATGAGGGTAAATAAAAGCCTCTTCTGGCCTGGCCTCCCTGCTCCTCTGCCTATTCCACACGCCCTACTTCTCTCACTTTCCTCCACATGTGTGTGTGTCTGTCCGCGTGGGCAGGGTGGTGCTGTGGCGGTACGTGGAAGCATTTGACATGCAGCCACGCTACGACATCTACTACACGCTGCTCGAGATGCCACGCTACTGGGCCGTGCCCAACCCGCCCACGGGCTTCATCAGCGCCACTCAGGCCTTCGCTGATCTGCGCAACATCATCAACCTCCGCGCCGTCTACTTCGCCCTCCAGGGCATCAAGTGAGCCCTCTTCCCTTCTAGGGCATCAAATGAACTGGCTTCGCTCATCCTAAAATTACAAGGAGAAAAGTAAGCATGCATTTTTCACTCCTGGGTACCCATGGCCGATCATGTGCGCCACACTCCCACACTCTTTCTATCACGGTTTTAGGTCCAAACGCACACAATCACGTGACACAATGGAAGAAAAAATTCTCGTTCCGAGAGTTTTCAACCCCAAAATGCGAAGAATCCGCACAGGTGTAGAAAATGAAACCGACATTTTTCACTCGTAGGTACTCGTGACCAATCATCCTCGCCATATTCTCGCACTCTTTCTAGCATGGTTTTAGGTCCAAACGCACATAATCATGTGACCCAACAAGTAATAATGAGCAAGATTTGTACCCTAACCGGTTCGAGTCTTGAACCGACGGCCGGCAAGTCGAGCCGAACTGGTTTGTCTCGGGCCGAATTGGTTTTCTTCTCAAACATGTTCGCTTCGATTTGTTAACATCCGAAAATTAACATCCAATAATTCCCCAACCCCCAATCCCATCAGTGTTTTCTTCATGATGACACGCCTGCTCAAAGTCATGGACTTCCAGCCGTACCTTGGAGTCATCACTCGCTCTCTTGCCCTCGCCACGCCCTCGCTGCTGCACTTCTTCCTGCTCTCCTTTACGGTCTTCTTCTGCTTCAGCATGTATGCCTACCTCGTCTTTGGAGGCGCAATGGAGCTGGTATGTGTGGGGCTCATGTGCTTTTGCAGTTTGAATCAAGTCCAAGTGAACACCAGATAAGCGCCGTGCGACAAATAAAGCCGTACGGGGAAACTAGTTACAATCACTTTTTTTTTCAATAGTGGAGAGGTATGTGTGCAGAGAACAAAACCAAGCAAAACAAAACAAAGTCAAACGCAAAGGAATCCACATGGCTTGTGTGCAGTCTATGTTAGAATTGAACCGATGGTTGGATTAGAAATGACAAGGGTATACATAGTTGGAGTTAGGAAAGGGGGGTAGTTGGTCACCTAGCCAACATTATTGGGCCCCACCAATAAGTTGGGTTGAGAAATTATTGGGGGGTCCGAATAATGTTGGTCAAATTAGGGCCAATAATCTCCCAACTCAACCTTGGGGGCCAAATAATTGGGCCAACGTTGGGTCTCAACCCCCAACTAGGATTAGCCCTAGTTGTACATCCAAACATAGTTTGGGTGCTTATCTCTATCCTAGATTTATAGTATCAATGCAGGATACATAAGAGTAATATAATCTAACAGTCTACATACAGTACCTTTTTTGTTTCAACCATGTATACTTCACAGGTTCACCATGCATCCGCTCCTGGTTTCCAACTTTGTGCATCTTCTCCTCCATTGCCCCACAAACAATCCCTTCCCTGCCGCCCCCACCCTGTGCAGTTCTCCACAGTACTCAACTCCATGTTCTCGTGCTTCCTGCTACTGCTCAATGACAACGGGTCGGCCTACTTCTTGCAGCGCCTGGAGTCGTGGGACCTGATCGCTGCGATGCTCTTCTTCTTCATGTTCATTGTCTTCATGGTCTTCATCCTCCTCAACTTCCTCATCGCCATTATCGTCGATGCCTTCATGGATGTCAAGGATAGCAACATTGTCGCCACCTCTATAGCCACTGACCTCGCTCACATCATCAAGTACAAGTGGAACTGCTGGCGCGGCCGCTACTTGCCGTACCGCATCATTCTCGACCGCCTTGTGGAGTTGGGCGCCAGGGACACCCGCGTGAAGGAGGTCAGTGTGTACTGAGGCGTTTGGTGCAGGGTTTTGTGGGTAATTCATGGGATGAGTGAAGTGAAGGTGTTTGGTTGTCGGCCAGTCGGTTCTGGAGCTGCTGCATGCCTGAGCTATGCAGACATGAGGCGATTGATCCATTCCCACGCAGGTTAAGCTGACGCCTTGCCACGGACCCTTAACCGCCATCTCCCACCCATGCCATTCCCCACACGCGCTTGTGTTTCAGGCGGACCCTCGGATGCAGCGCGTCAAGTCCATCCAACGGCGGGTAGGCTCTGTGATCGGGGGGAAGCTTGGCAGCGGCCACAAGGCGTCACCCTTCGCCCGGTCAGACAACCACCCCGCCTTCCCGCCCGCCGCCAGCGAGTCCCGGGCGCGGCGGCAGCACGTGCTGACAGTGAGGGAGAAGCGCATCGACGCCATCTCACTCGCCATGATCCTGCAGCGCCGCCAGGAGAACGAGGTGCGTCTTTTCGCATGTTTTTTTGAATACTCTTCATGTCATGCTTGTGGCGACTGATGTGGGTACTGCCATGACAAGTACTTACTCTCCCTGTTTTGGCCACTATCCAGGTTTTGCCAATATTTCTCCCTGCCTTACTCTGCATCTCTTCTTAACGTTGCTCTCAACTACAGTCAGCCTTCCAATCCTCCTTCCGCCCCCCCCGCCGTTCCCTCCCTCCACGGTCCACCTTCTCCCCCGTCACCACTCCCCTTTCCCCCGCTCTTCCTCAGGCAAAGAGGATCCGCCAATCCGCACCTGCCACGTCATCCAAGGCGGCGCTTTGCTTCTCCCCATCCACGTGTGAGAGTGGAGGCATCTGGGGGGCTGCCCCCTGGACTGCAGACGAGGAGCAGCTGGAGCAGCTGTCGCAGGCGGTGGTGCTGCAGTGCGGCGAGGTGGTGAAGCAGGCCGCCCTGCCCGTCAAGAAGCCCGTTCAGAAGCTCAGCCTCGCTCACATCAAGGTGGGAAAGGAAGGCGGTGCGCGGTGTGTTGTGAATGAGTGTGCGAGGGGGTGTGTGCGGGTACAGCGGTGCAGAAACTGAGCCTGGCGCACATCAAGGTGCGCATGTGCGTGTGTGGGAAGAGGGGTCTTTGTGGAGACAATCAGGAATGGCGTGTGTGGATACATCATACAAGGGAAGGAGGGTGAATGTTGAAGCTAGAGCTAGACGCATTGCTCATGCTGCCCTGCCGTTATGAGGCAGTCGCAAAACACCTGTGTCCCAAACGTCCCATCTCTCCCGTGTGCAGCATGCCATGCATGGGGTGAGCAGGAGGAGGTGGTGCGGTGCCAGCAGGCAGTGGAGGAGCTGAGGGGCATGATGGTAGATATGCAGAGCGACATGCGTGTTCCGTGTCCCATGTGTCCCGTGTGTCTCCTCTCCCCCATGAGGCAGTGCTGACCGTCCCTGTCCCGTGTGTCCCCTCTCTCCCGTGTCCTGTGCGAGGGTGTGTGCGAGCAGGAGGAGGTGGTGCGTGGCCACGAGACAGCGGAGGAGCTGAGGGGCATGATAGCGGACCTGCAGAGCGACATGCGCTCCATGATGGCCCTGCTCGACCGCGCCCTCCCCTCCTTGCGCGCTCAGCCTCAGCTCCCCACTCCCCCCTCGGGATCACCCCTGCCGGGGCAGCGGCCGCTGGTGCAGCCGTGCTTGCAAGTGTCACAAGTGGAAGAGGAGGGTGAGGGGCTGGGAGCGGTGGAGGCAAGTGAGATGGGTGTGGGGGAAAGAGCCGTGGTGGATGAGGGTGTGAGAAGCGGTTCTGGCCGGTTGAGTGGGAGAGTGGGCAGCAGCCGATCCCCATCGTCGAGACAAGTGTTGGGGAGACGGGTAGTGTTCCAAGACGAGGCAGTGGACGGCGGTGAGGGTGGTGCGAGCACGGAGGATTCATGGCAACAGCCGTTGATAGTAAACCAAAGAGACGTTAAAGGTTACCGAGACCCTGAGAACAACTGAATTGCTTGACTGATTCTCTGTTGTAATGTTCGGCCCAATCTTGGACGGTGTGCACTGCACATCTCAGCATTGCACATGGTCTGGCTGGAACCTCAGGAGGACCGACCGATGTACCTGCACCCGAGCCTAACAACAGGGCGCCTCCAGAGGCGGGATGGTGATCCCATGTGGCTGGACCATCGTGCCGCCGTGTCACCAGTTGTGCTAACCGGGATGGTGGACAACAAGTGAATAAAACCCTCTGGCATCTTGTTCATCAAAGCGGGTTGGCACAAGATGCCAGAAGGTTTTATTCTCAGAGCACCTGCACGTCCATTCCATTTGCAACTAATAAGTTGTTAGAATCAAGTCATTATGGAGGTCCTTGAAGTGAGGCACGCGAAACAGCTTCAACCAAATACGAAATCCTGTCGCTTCATCATATATGTCGCATATGTACGTGCCAAAACTAGATTCGCACTCTCATGGCCAAAACTACAGTCTGGTTTTACTGTACAGAAACTACAGTAGATTTTGGACTTTGCGGGCACCGCCGAATGGTGGGTCGCATCGCATCCCAACCATCAGGCATGCTTGAAGTGTATACCGCATCCAACCAGATAAAAACACATCCTTATCGCCCTGAACCACGTTTCTCATCTCCTTTGTTGTGCCGCACCATCGTCCCCTTCCTCACACTTCCTCAACAAGATCAGAGAGCACAACACAACACAGGTATCAACAGTTGGGAATGCGTGGAGCAGCAGCTCTTCCACATTCTCTCTCCTAGCTCTTGTGCTCCTTTGACCAGCTGCACAGCTGCTGATGTTGTCTCTGACCAGCGTCACCCCCGAGCGTCACCCCAGGCAAAACGGAGCGTCACCCTCGATTCCGTTGAGAGATACAGCAGGAAAGTACTTCACGCATGTTTCGTTGCCCTTAGACATGCTCGTTATTAGGAACTAGTAGCGGCAATGGCGGAGGCGGTTGCGGTGCTGCGCGCGAAGAAGCAGGCGGAGGAGGAGGAGGAGGGTGGCGAGGCGTCGTTTTCGCGGTCGAAGAGTTTGCTGGACGATAATTTCGAGGCGTACGAGGCGGCGAACTACCGCATGTGGGTTCGGTCCAAGTCCAATACTCCATCCTGGTGAGCCGACCGCCATGCTCCGGGCTTGCTTGCTCCTTATCGTCAATGCTTGCTTCCGAAAGGGGTTTCTGACTGCTGTTTGGTTCTTAGCAAATCACGCGTAGTGCCGACTTGCTAATCCAGATTCTTTTACGCTCCGCCCATGCCCAACTCCCCCATTTTCGTCCTCGCTTCGAAGTCGTAAGCCTTCGGGGTCTCGCAGCGTCAAGACGCACAACTTAGATTTCCTCGATATCGACGGCAGGTTCACGCCGCAAAATCCGGAGCCCTTGTCACGTCTTGCGTCAAGCAATTCGCTCAATCCGTCCATCCCCGTCGACCAAGACGAGGAGGGGCAAGGATATTGCGGGGATGAGGCTTGCGTGGAGATCCGCGCGGAGGGCGGAGCGGAGAGGTTGGCGGAGGAAGGGAGAGCTGGCGGAGAGTTCGCGGGGAGTGAGGGAGCGCGGGACAGCAGCGGCAACAGCAGCGGCAGCAGTCACGAGAGCGCGGCGGATGACGAGAGGGGCAGGCGCGCAAGCAACACGAGCGCCGACTGCGGGAGTGGAACGGATGGCGCGGAGGGCGGGGAGGGCGGAGAGGGGAAGGCGACCGCGGCGGGGGGTTCGCTGAAGCGCAGCTTGACGGAGGATGCGACGGGGGAGACCATGACGCGGAGCATGGGCGCGGCAGGGTCGTTGAAGGGCCTCACAGGGGGGGCGAGCTTGTCGCGGTCGGCGAGAGACGTTCTGCAGGACGCGGAGATGGACGAGATGGATGGAGAGGTGCTGCAAGGTGTGGCCTGGTTCAGAGCGGTGCTTCACTGCTGGGGCTGCGGGTTTGACACGCGCCCCCCGCGTCCACGCCTCTTCTCGCGTTTCTCTGCCGCACCGCCTCGCGCTCCGCGCCATGCGCGCCGTTCGCCGTTGCCTCGCCGCTGCTCTCAGTCACCTCAATTCCTCAAGACCCCCTTTCCCACTACCACCGCCCCACCCCACCCTCTCCCCCTCTTTCCCCACCTCCCCCCCTCCCCCCCCCCCCCCCCCCCTCTCCCGGTTGCGCGCGTGGCAGAGGCATTCGTGCGCGTGGTGGCGCTGCAGCAGCGCGTGCAGCACTACCGCCACCTGGGCGGGTTCGTGGTGCTCATGGCGCTCTTCATCACCATCCTCTACCTCCAGGCCGACTCCTCCCGCAGCTACGAAATCACCGCCGCGCATGCTGTGCTCTTCCCCCCCGTACGCTTCTCACCAACTTCCGCTCCTCCTCTCATCCATGTTCTGTCCCATATGCTTCCCACAACCCCCACCCCCCCAAGCCCCCTCCGCAGTTTAACCGCCGGAACAATCCCCACTTCTCCACCGCGCATGAGTTCTTGTGTGCATCACCGCCGTGCCATTGCCTACCACCTTTGCCGCCTCTCCACTCACTCGCCCCTTCCTCACCATTCGCCCGGCTTGTGTCCCTCCTCGCCCCAAGAGCAGGGCATGCGTCAGGACGCCTCCAACACATTCAACGGACCAGATGACTTCTACAGTTGGCTCAACACCAGCATCGTGCAGGTGCGTTGCGCTCTCCCTCTCCCCTCCCCTTCATCTCTGCGTTATTGCTCCTCATGCGCTTGTTGGTTGTCTCCACTTTTTCTGTTCACCCAAGCCTGGTCCGCCCAACTATGGGGGCACCACAGCTCTCTCTTGCCCACATCAACGCCCGCAGGTTTGTCGGATTGTCCGCTCCTCCCTGTCGCTCCCCTCCTCCCTGTCGCTCCCCTCCTCCCTGTCGCTCCCCTCCTCCCTGTCGCTCCCCTCCTCCCTGTCGCTCCCCTCCTCCCTGTCGCTCCCCTCCTCACTGTCGCTCCCCTCCTCACTGCCGCTCCCCTCCCCCCGACCATCCCGGCAGAGTCTTTGGACAGACCCCTCGTGTGGCACAGGCGAGTGCGAGCGCCCCTTCCAATTCCCCGCGTTCGGTCGCTTTGGCTGTGAGGCGGACTGTGGCAAGTTCCCCAACCTTACCTCCATTTTCATCCGCCTCTCCTCTCAGCTCGACACACAGCAGGCTGCTGATGAATCTTCCTGGAACCTCTGCATGGTCAACCCGGTCTCCCTCTGCTGGTATGCTCGCCCTCTCATCACACACCAGCCCTTGCTGGGATGGAATGCATGTTCCCTCACCCCGTGTTTCTCTGCTCTTTAGTGTCTCGTCCTGTGTACTCTCTTCCCAGGCCATTTCATCCCATGCCATTTCATCCCATCCTCCATCCTATCCCATCCCATCTCACCGCATGCCACCCCATGCATGGGGTGCAGGTACGAAACATTCCAGCCGTTTCCTCTCGGCACGGCAGACGTGACAATAGATGTGGACATTCCGGACGGCGACTGGGTGGTGGTGCTCAACGCGCCCGCGGGGGGCATCCGCGGCACCGTGCACGCGCCCCCTCCCGGCACGCGCCGCTTCTCCGTCGTTGGCGCCGCCTCCTCCATTGAGCTCGCCGCCTGGGGCTACTGTGAGCATGATGATGACGTGGACGCAGCCAATCAGACGCAGCCAGGTGGCGGCGTCAGTGGTTCTCCGCCTGACGTCTGCCGTGATGTGAGTATGCTGTTGTGCCGCGTGCCTGCCTCTGCTGTGGAATGCACTCAGCTTCCTTCTGGTGTCATTCCGAACTGAGTGTGTGTGTGTGTGTGCTTCGAATATTACATGATGCCAACTCTTTGGTCATGCATGCATGTGTGCGTGCGGGTGTGCATGTGTGTGCTGGTGCATATGTGCACTTGTGTGTGCGTGTGTACGCTCGTGCGTGCGTGCGTGCATGTGTGTGCTGGTGCGTGCGTGCGTGCGTGCATGTGTGTGCTGGTGCGTGCGTGCGTGCGTGCGTGCATGTGTGCGTGCAGACATGTGCAAGGCTGGCGCTCTGCCTGCCTGCAACCTGTGGGCGAGCATTCACGGAGAGGGAGGTGGCAGGGGCGTTCGTGGACTGTGCGCGCATGTGCATCATTGCACCCTCCTCCATCACCACCTATGCCAACTCTTCCTGTCCCATGGTGCGCTTCCTGCCCCATGGTATGCTCCTTGCCCCATGCTGCGTCCTCTGCACCATGCCGTGCCCTATGAGCCATATTTGTATAGAGAAACCTGCCGTGCTGCATACAGCCACCTGCTCTGCCGCACCGGGCTACGTCACCCCTGCCCCCATGGCCTTTCTCCTTGCTGCCCTCCTTTCTCTTCATCTGCTCACTTCAGCCCTGTTCCTCTCTCCTGCCACACAACTCCCCCTCCGACGTCCCTCCAACGCCCCTCCCCTCCGCATATTCTCTCCAGCCAGGGATCGCATCGTTGTTTGTCAACACGCCATGCAACGTCTCAGGTATGCACTAGCTGCATGTGGCAGCCAGCATACAACCCCCCCCCCTCCTGTGCCTCCTTCCACTGTTGCCACACACCGGCCTCCTCACATGTGCTCTATGCCTCACATGTGCTCTATGCCTCACATGTGCTCTATGCCTCACATCACATGTGCTCCATTCCTCTCCCTGCTCTTCTCATCCCACGCTGCGACTCCGCTCGGTGCACCCCCCTCTGTCTCCGTCCCATCCCAGGCTCAGAAGCAACAGCTCATTTATGGCACAGCAGCCGCCGCAAGGTGAGTGTCTTCCCACTTCTTGCCACCCCCTACGTGTGGTTCCCTTGTTGTCCCTCTCTCTGTGTGTTGTTTCCTCTTTGCAAATGCGGATCCCGACTGCTCGCCGTTACTCTCCCCTCCTCGCTTCTGTGCTTGCACCTCCAGTTGCACCTCCAGTTACCTCTCTTTCCTCTCCCCCACTCCCCCAATCCGTGGTGCATGGCTGGTTGCTCTCAGGCGCTCCACCGCTTCCGCCACTTTCACAGCTATGGCCATGGGCCTGCCTCTTCTGCCTCTGCCCCCACCAAGGCCTTCTCCTCCCTGCCCACTGGAGTGGCAGTTCGCTCTCTTGCCGGCCCTGCTGTCCACTCTCCTGCTGCCTCTGCCTCTGCTGCTGCCACACCACTCGAAGCAGCACAGCCGCATGAACCACAGATATCGGAGTTGGCACCAGCATCAGCATCACCATCATCGTCAGCACAAGCAGCAGCAACAGCAGCAGTGGCAGCATTTGGAACAGCAGCCGCGGCAGATCCCTCAGAGCCGTCCCTCTGGTCCCTCGTGGGCGCCACGGACCGCCAGCGACTGACAGTGCTGCAGGTGGCGGTGTCGCGAGCCCTCTTCACCATGGCCAAGGACAGGTGCCTGGCCGGCCACGGGCCGGGCTCCAAGCGATCCCACACGCTGGGAGGGCCGGGCAGCGTGCGCTGGCATGTGGTGGCCACCCTGTGCACCATTCTGGGGGGGCCTGTGACGACCATGGATGAGTGCCGCATGTATGGTGCGGACGGGAAGCAGGTGATGACGCTGGCAGACATGTTTGCTTACCTCAAGTTCCGCCATACCGGGCATGTGATCTCGGCGCAGCACATGGTGCGGTGGGTGCAGACGGTGGCAGCGGCTGTGAGCTCAGTCACGCCCGTGCCGGATGTGGCAGCGGCGCGCCTCAACACGCTCTTGCACTCCTTTAATGATGCTGTCGTCTCCTCCGATGCTGTCGGCTGCTCTCAAGGTGCGCACGGCCGGGGGGTAGTGGTGCGGGGTGCGTGTGCATGTGCGTCTGCATCTGCATGTGTACATGTATTTGTAAGTGTAGGTGTGTGCAATGTGCATATATGTGTAGATGTATGTCCGAGTGTTGCTGTCACCATGGCACCTCAGAAGGATCACATTTGACTGCTGGCGTTTCCTCCTCTCCTTGCTGTCTCCTGTCAGGCGGAGCGTGGCTGCAGTGGCGCGCGGGAGTGACGCACAACACGACCATCCATGTGGGCGACAAGGTCACCTGGGTGTGGGATGACGACCTCCCACACTCCCTCAAAGGTACTCCCTTCGTTCCTTGCAACTTTACCACCTTCGTTGGTGCACCAATGCTTCTATGTTCTCTGAAAAAACTGAGTGCCTTTGCGATGCCTTGGCATAATCTTCCTATCTATTTTGCTCCCACTCTACTCCGTGATACCTCTTTTTCCTTGTTTGCCTGCACTCCTTGTTCCGCAATGCTCTCTTGCTCCACTGCCACCACCAACAGTGGCGGGGATGGGGGAGGTGGACGACCCGCTGTTTCTGGGCTTCTGAGGGCACCGATTGGCCGTGTCGCGCCAGCTGGCATGCACTCCCCTGAACGTGGGCAATGGGGACGCCTTTGATGAGCCCTTGCCATGCGTGCTCAGTGAGTGGTGGGGGGGGGGGGGGATGCACTCGCTCTCTTCTTGTAGAACCAGCAAGCGAGGGATGAACTAAGCATTTTCTTATATTGTGCGTTCAGACTGCCGGGTTGACCAGTCCTGGAGCGTCCAATCCCATTGTAGCTGTCTCCTACATGCACACATGTTGTCCTGTCTCGTCCACCATCTCACCCTGCTGCTGCATCCTCACACCCCATTCCTCCTCCCACTGGCCTCCACTCTCGCCTGGGTCCTCCCTCTCTCCTCCCTCCCTCCTCCCTCCCTCCAACAGAGATAGACGATGGGTCCGGTGTCTCCTTTGCGTACAGCAAGGTGTTTGAGGAGCCAATCACCATTCACTATGAGGACGGCACTCTCTCCCTCGACGACTCCTCTTCCTCCTCCTCCTCGCCTTCTACCTCGTCTGCGTCTCTTCTCACTGTGCTGCCTGCACGAGCAGGAGCTGAGGTTGCTGGTGAGCCCTGCATGCCATACCACATACTATGCGCTGCATGTCATACCGCTTGCCATGTCATACCGCTTGCCATGCCAAACCGCTTGCCATGTCATACCCCATGCGATTCCATACCGCATACCATGCTGCGTGCCATGCTTCATGCGATATTGCATGCCTCTCTGCATTCATGACTTCCTTCTGTGCTTGCATTCCTGCCCGGTGAATAACCTTTTCCACCCTCACCATTCCCGCTTCCTGGGCGCCTACTGCATCCATTTCTCTTCCTCGTCCCTCCTGTGCATGCATGGCAGGTGTTGCGAATGCCACTGACACCAGCACACTCTCTAGCACTGCACGCGTCACCTCCACCAACACCACCACACCCTCCGCCTCCTCCTCCTCAGCAGCCTACGAGTGCTCGCCGAGGTGCCGACTGCAGCGGCTGGCGAACGGGGTGTGCGATGCGGCGTGCAACACGCCCGCGTGCGCCTTTGACGGTGGCGACTGCGCGTGTGTCGACCCGCTCTTCGGCCCCGGCATCTGCGCCTGCCCGCCCGGCCACACCCGCCGCGACGACGGCTGTCAGTCTTCCCACTTCTCCCCTCCACCCGCCCCTCTTGCTGCCTGCCTTGCTCCACCATTTCTGTCTCCCCTCCCGTCCTCGCTTCACTCCTACTCGCTTTCTGACTTGCACTTTCTTCAAGTGCCTCCTTGACCTCCCGTCGCTGCTTCTCTCTCGTCCTCACACCTTCCCCTTCCTCCCCTCCTCGTCCTCCCTCCCCCATTCCCCAGCCTGTTGTCTGTCCACGGCGGTGGGAAGGGATCTCAACTTCCCCTTCTCACTGCAGCGCTACGGCCCCAACTACACCGAGAGCAACTTAGCCTTTGCGGCTGAGAGGAGCATTGCTGCCACACGCTACGTGTCACGCCGCAATCGGTACGATATGAGCTCCGTGCCTCCCAGCCTTCACTGCCTGCCCTGTTGGGCGCCACGCGTGCGCAGTGTCCTACACTTCCATGCCCCGCGCATCACAGCATCTATCCAGCCGCCAACACCTCTCCTCCACCTCACATTGCCACCAGAAGGGCGGGTGCTACGCCAAGCAGTACCGTCTTGTATTGTGAACTTCCGTTAGGCCATCGCACCCTCCGCTCAGCTCACCACCACAGTCAGATTCTCACTCTCCTCTGCGGAACCCCCCCTCCCTCCCGTCTTCATCATCATGGCAGTCTGCTGGTCGGCATGGTGCTGCAACAGGAGCGGCTGGGCACGCAGCAGTGCAGCGGACCGGGGTGAGTGCCTCTCGCGAATGTGGGGCTCACATCACTTGACCGGGGTGAGTGCCTCTCGCGAATGTGGGGCTCACATCACTTGACCGGGGTGAGTGCCTCTCGCGAATGTGGGGCTCACATCACTTGACCGGGGTGAGTGCCTCTCGCGAATGTGGGGCTCACATCACTTGACCGGGGTGAGTGCCTCTCGCGAATGTGGGGCTCACATCACATGACCGGGGTGAGTGCCTCTCGCGAATGTGGGGCTCACATCACTTGACCGGGGTGAGCAAGGGTTTGAACTAAACCAAGCCACATGCCGCTCGTCGTATCGGATCAGCTTCCACGAGCCACGGACTGAGAATTCTCAAACAAACCCTGCACTGCACCACCGAGCCAATGCGCTGGGTCGCGCATCCATGGTCGCGCATCCATGATGAGCCGCCAGTCGAGCCAGGTCAATGAGCCGGGCCGTCGTCTTTTGACTGTTGCTCATGCCTACTCTTCCGTGCGAGGGTTTCACGATGCTCGCCTCATCCCGTCTTACGTGTGATGTTGCCACCAATTGACCTTCTCTCAGCGTTGCCTGCACTTCGCTCCCTTCCTTCCTCACACTCTTCCCTCCCCCAAAACCCCAATCCCATGCGCTCCCTCCCGCCCCTCCCTCCCCAGGCTGCTGCACCTGGCGGGGTGGTGCAGCAACGGCACGTCCACGGAGCCGTTTGGAGTGAACCCGCACTTCCTGCCCACGTCGGCCATCTACGACAGCGCTGCCAGCGCCAACATCACCCAGCTCGACAACAACACCTTCGGCTTCAAACTCAAGTTCAACCCGCAGGGCCTCCCCTACGGCTTCATCTATCCCACGGTCAGTCATGCTATGGCCCCTCTTTTTCCGCCACCGTCAGTCATTGCCCAACACTCTCGCTGCTTAGAGTCCTCCAGTGCAGTGCTTGAGTGGATGATCCCAGGCCCCACATGAAGAACACGACTCTTCTGTTGCCCAAATGCTGTGCGCCATGTCTTGCTGTCATGCTGCCTTGCTGCCTTGCTGCCTTGCTGACTTGCTGGCTTGCCCTTGCCCTGAACTCTCATTACCCTTGCCCCACGTCCTTTACCCATTTTTTAGCAGGAGTCGCTGACCTCCTACCCTTTGGTGTTTGACATTAATCTTGATAACGAAGCGGCCACAAGGCGTCTACAGTACCTGGTGGATGGCAGCTACATTGACAATGGCACGCGCAGCATTGACGTCAGCTTCATCACCTTCAACGGTAGGTACTTGCCTTGTGGGACAACTGTTAGTCCTTTGAGCACATGTCTCCGCTCAACATATGCGCTCGTGTTTCGTGCCATTCAATGTCCCTCACTGCACCCGGCGTGCATCTGCCCCTCACTGCCCGCCCCTCACTGCCCGCCCCTCACTGCTTTCCTCCTTGACGCTCCGCGCTGGCAGGCGAGACGCTCACGTTCGTGCTGACCACAGTGACCTGCACGCTGGACGCGGGCGGCAGCATGGCAGTGAGCTTCAAGTCGCAGCCGGCAGCAATGGCGATGTACGATGCATCGGCGGACAACATCGCACGGCTGGTGCTGGAGATGGTGTATCTTGTGGGGCTGCTCTGGAATGTGTGTGGCGAGCTGCAGTAGATGGCCGACCGTGCTGCCAAGGATGGATCTGTACTCAGCTACTTTGGCTGTTTCTGGAATTGGATCGATATGCTCTCCATCGCGCTGCAAGTGACTGCGGTTGTTATCTGGTAAAAAACCAGCCAAGCTGTGTCGGTGGTAGCCTTTGCCATCCAATGCATCCGGTGCTCATCGTCTCTCATTGTCTCATTTTGCAACGCTTATGCCTCCGTCTTCTCTGCTCATCCGCCCACCCCACGCGCCCGCATTTATCACTGTCCTCCACATATGCGTGTCTGAATGGGTGTGTTGTGATCAGGGTGGTGCTGTGGCGGTACGTGGAAGCATTTGACATGCAGCCACGCTACGACATCTACTACACGCTGCTCGAGATGCCGCGCTACTGGGCCGTGCCCAACCCGCCCACGGGCTTCATCAGCGCCACTCAGGCCTTCGCTGATCTGCGCAACATCATCAACCTCCGCGCCGTCTACTTCGCCCTCCAAGGCATCAAGTGAGTGAGCCGCTTGCCTTGCTAGTAGGGCATCAAGTGGGCCGCAACCAAACTGGGTCGAACGAAATCTGAGCACAGGCTGGTCCGAAGTTGAAGTATTTCCTGTCCCCCTTCCCCCCCCTTCACACAAGCTTGGTTTTGTTTACATTCACCATCGTTCCCGTCCCCCTTCCTCCCCACCCCCCAACCCCCCCAGTGTCTTTTTTATGATGATTCGTCTACTCAAGGTGATGGACTTCCAGCCTTACCTCGGGGTCATCACGCGCTCGCTCGCCCTCGCCACGCCCTCGCTGCTGCACTTCTTCCTGCTCTCCTTTACCGTCTTCTTCTGCTTCAGCATGTACGGCTACCTCGTCTTCGGAGGCGCGCTCGAGCTGGTATGTGAGCAGGTCATGTGCTTATCCAGTGCAGGCTATGTCCAGTTACCATCACCTTGCTCTTTTCAGAAAACAGAACGACAACAAAATTACAAAAATCACCTGGCTCATGCACTCGTCCAGTCCACATTACCATTTTTTTTTTGTCACGTGGACCATGTCCATCCTTAGTTATTTTTCTCAGGTCCACCATGACCCCGCTTGTGGCTTCTTCTTGTCCATCATGACCCCGCATGTGGCTTCTTCTTGTCCACCAACTTCGTTTGGCTTCTCCTTTCATTGCCCCACAAACACCCCCTTCCTGCCTCCGCTCTGCAACCAACCCTGTGCAGTTCTCCACGGTATCTGAGTCCATGTTCTCCCTCTTCTTGCTATGAGTTTACTTTTAAGAATCCTCCAAAGCAAACCTCCACAACACTCCCTCTCCCGCCTATCCGTTTCCACCCTGTGCAGTTCTCCACAGTATCGGAGTCTATGTTCTCGTTGTTCCTGCTTCTCATCAACGACAATGGGTCGGCCTACTTCTTGCAGCGCCTCGAGTCATGGAACCTCATAGCCGCGATGCTCTTCTTTCTCATGTTCATCGTGTTCATGGTCTTCATCCTCCTCAACTTCCTCATCGCCATCATTGTTGATGCCTTCATGGATGTCAAGGACAGCGACACCGTCGCCACCTCTATAGCCGCTGACCTTGCTCACATCATCAAGTACAAGTGGAACTGCTGGCGCGGCCGCTACCTGCCGTACTGTGTCATTCTCGACCGCCTTGTGGACTTAGGTGCCAAGGACACTAGAATAAAAGACGTGAGTGCGAAGTAAGATGCTTAATGGAAGGTTCTGTAGTTGTTGGATGGGGTGAGTGGAGTGAAGGTATTTGGTTGTTTTCCTAGTGGGTGAGGAGCTGCTGTATTTGAACGAACCATTACCATTACCATTGCCATTACCGTTATCATTATCATTACCACTACCACTACTATTATCATTATCATTACCACTGTTATTAGCATTACCATTACCATTATCATTACTATTACCATTACCATTACCAATACCAATACCATTACCAGTACTGTTATCATTACTACTATCATTATCATTACTACCACCATTACCAATACCAATACCAATACCAATATCAAAACCATTACCATTATCATTTTCACTATCATTACCATTACCACTACCATTATCATTACCATTACTGTTACCATTACCGTTACCATTACCATTACCGTTTCCATTACCGTTACCATTATCGTTACCATTACCATTAACATTATCATTATCATTACCATTACCAATACCTTCAAACCAACACCAAACCATTACCATTGTCATTACTACTACCATTACCATTACCATTATCATTACCATTATTACTACCATTACCATTACCATTACCACTACCATTATCATTATCATTACCATGATCACTACCATTAGCATTACCATTATCATTACCATTATCATTAGCATTACCACTATCATTACCATTACCATTATCATGATCATTACCATTAACACAACCATTACCATTACCATTGCCACTGCCATTATTGCCATTATTATTCCCACAAAAGGTTAAGGTGGCGCTTTGGTCATTCTGTCACCGTTGCCACCGTCCCCTAACAGCCATTTTCCAATCACGAAATTCCACGCACGCACTTTGTTTTCAGGAGAACCCTCGGATACGCCGCTTCAAGGACATCCAACGGCGGGTAGCCTCTATGCTCTCGGGCAAGCGAGGCAGCGGCGACAAGCCGACGCCTTTTGCCCGGTCAGGCAACCACCCCGCCTTCCCGTCCGCCGTCAGCGACTCTCGGGTGCGGCGGCAGCACGTGCTGACAGTGAGGGAGAAGCGCATCGACGCCATCTCGCTCGCCATGATCCTGCAGCGTCGCCAGGACAGGGCGGTGAGTCATTGCTGCCATGCTCGTTCCCATGCATTTCCATGGTTGTGTGGGATGCTTTCTTGTCATGCTTGTGTCGGCTGATGTGGGTAGTGCTACGACAAGTGCTCATTTTCCCTGAATTGGCCGATATCTACGACACGCCAATGTTTCTCCCTGCATCCCTCGGCCTTTCTTCTTAGCCTGACTCTTAGTATATTCAGCCTTCCCATCCACCATTCTCTCTCTGCTTTCATTCCCACCCTCCACCTTCTCCTCCCGTCAACCTTTCCTTGCTGTTCTCCAGGCCAAGAAAGCCCGCCAATCTGCTGCTGCCATGTCATCAAGTACGCCTCGCTTCTCCCCGTCCCGGTGTGAGAGTGGCACGCAGTGGGGGGCTGCCCCCTGGACCGCAGACGAGGAGCAGCTGGAGCAGCTATCGCAGGCGGTGGTGCTGCAGTGCGGCGAGGTGATGAAGCAGTCCGCCCTGCCCGTCAAGAAGCCCGTGCAGAAGCTCAGCCTTGCCCACGTGCAGGAGAAGGTGGTCCAAGTGCAGGAGGATGTGATGCGCAGCCACGAGACAGCGGAGGAGCTGAGGGGCATGATAGCGGACCTGCAGAGCGACATGCGCTCCATGATGGCCCTGCTCGACCGCGCCCTCCCCTCCTTGCGCGCTCAGGCTCCGCTCCCCACTCCCTCCTCGGGACCACCGCTGCCAGGGTCGCGGTGGCCGGTGCAGCCATGCCTGAAAGTGCCGCAAGGGGAAGAGGAGGGCGCGGGGCCGGGTGGGGAGGCGGGTGGGATGGGCGTGGGGAAAGGAGCAGCGGCGGATGCGGGTGTGCGAAGCGGTTCTGGCCGGTCGAATGTGAGAGTGGGCTGCTTCCCATCGCCATCGTCGAGACGAGCGTCGCGGCGGGTTGTGTTTCAAGATGAGGTGGAGGAGGGCGGTGAGGGTGGTGCAAGCGCGGAGGAGTCATGGCAACAGCCGTTGATCGAAAACTAAGACCAAGTTTCACTGAGAGGAACTGAAATGATTGACTGTTTCCCCTGTTACTCCATAAGGCCCACCCTCAACCTTCCTAGCTGAATTGGTGGGGATGCAGTGCTGATCCGAAGTGTGATGTACCTGCATCCAGTACGTAAAGCAAAGGAGCGCTTGTGGAGGGAGGGTGGTGGTGGTCCCAAGCAGCGGGACCTTTGTTGCTGTGCTACCAGCAGGGCCGACCAACATGATGGATAGACAGTGAACCGTTTGACGTCCCGAGCATAAGATGATGTCAGTTGTCAGAAACGGAATGATGTGCATATTACTGTGAGTTGGGGTACATATACCTAACCCTAACAACTGTACCCCACATGATATGCCTCACTACAGGCTACAACATTTGACACCAGTGTACGCTATGTTGCACATGGTTGCTCCTGAACCCTAAGACTGTTGTACCCTCCCTAATAATGGAGTACCGAGGCACGATGTTCATCCCGGGAACCTGGGCCATCGTGCCACCACCACCGTTTGTGCTAATGGATTATTGTTCCTGTCAGTGGAGACGGTTGCGGAAACAGAGTACCGGAATTACCCTAGATTGACAGTTCATTCAGAAAGATACACGACAGAGTATAATACCTACACCAATACAACAATAGTATGGGAGACTAAAAACATTTACACGCACCTGTGCCTGGTGGATCCGAGATTTGACAAACCCCGCGCTGGCTGGCACCCCCAGTTTCTGATAAGCAACCGTCAATGTTTCTGCGTAACATGAGCGATTGTTAGAAGTCCCTTAATTCCTGTGGCGAAGTGACAACAGCTTGCGAAACTCACAGCTCACATTATTCCGTTGGTGCGAATGATATGGGGCATGGTGTGTACCAATCACTGGACAGCTGGGGTGGGTGTCTTGACCAGTGTTCCGGCCCGGAAACGGCTAAAGACAACCAAGGAGCACCCCAACATGGCGAGTAATAAAAAACGCCACTCCATCCTGCCGCGGTGACAAGCGCCGAAACTGGCCGATTGCGAGGATCCACACTTCACTGTACACCCTGCCACGGTCCTTAGGGCGGGGTGCATCATGCTGTTTCGCAGGATCGCGATCCCAAGCGATCCTTGTTACAGTGTTTTGTCCGCTATATACAGTGATTACTGTACACTTGCCGCACCGCGATCCCAGAGGGTCTCGAAAGGTTGGTCAGCCACCTACCAAACAGCCTTCGATCAGGCTAGATCCCACAACCTGCGATCAGCAGCGATCAGGCGTTGTAGGTGCACCGCGTGCACACCGACCCTTACTGGCGAGTTCTTCTTCGTCGCATAACCAGGAAACGAAACATCTGCGAGGGCATTGCGAACGAATTACCAAATTAACTGCGACAACTCACTGTGAATGGCCGCATCTCATTGGTGGTTGGGGATCGGGGCAATAAAATTGCTGGTGGTGCATCAAAGAAGGGGCGCCGTTGGATCGAAGGGTCCCCCGAGCACATCCAACCCAACCCGAAACCATACGATTGCAGTGTTAGCATCGCGATCACAGGCGATCAAGCAAAAAAGCCATGATGCACCCCGCCCTTAGGGTTTGCATTGCATTTGTTGTTCACTCGACATCCGGACACCACCGTCGTATGATGATGTTTCGCTCATGTCACATCCACCTCAATGTTCAAGAGTTTCACGCCGTATGAAACCGAAGTAGATCAAAGCTAAATCTCACCAAACCACGCCGCTTGAAAATTATTTCTTGCGGATTTGACTGACCATATTCCTTAGCTGGCATGCTCACCTAAAAAAGCAGCGGAGAATGGGGCGGTGATAAGCTGGTACAACACAACTTGGCTGAACTTACTCCTAGGCAGTACGGAAACAACTGCCGCAGCTCCTGTTTCTTACAGCATCATCAGTAAGGAAGTAAGCCGAACAACTCTCATAGCCCTTATGTATGCCCAGGAGTAGGAACTCCCAGCAGACCCTTTTTTCCGCTTTTCCGCCTCTCACTGGTAGCGGGGATGGCGGAGGCGGTCGCGGTGCTGCGCGCGAAGAAGCAGGCGGAGGCAGAGGAGGGCGGGGAGGCGTCGTTTTCGCGGTCGACGAGTTTGATGGACGTATGAGGCGGCCAACTACCGCATGTGGGTTCGATCCAAATCGAAGACTAAATCATCCCGGTGAGCCGATCGCCATGCTCCGTGCTCGCTTGCTCCTTAACATCCATGCTTGCCTACGAAACAGTTTTCTGATTGCTGTTTCTTTGCAAAACACGCGTATTCCAGACTTGCTAATCCAGCTCCCCCATTTTCATTGCTTCGAAGCAGTAATCCCTTGGGGTCTCGCAGTGCCAAGAAGCACAACTTAGATATCCTCGATAGCGACGGCAGGTTTATGACGCAGAATCCGGAGCTCCTGACACGTCTCGCGTCGAGCTCGGCTCTCAATCCGTCCATCCCCGTCGACGAAGTCGAGGAGGGGCAAGGATGCGGCTCCGACGAGGATTACGAGGTGATTCGCGCGGAGGGCGGAGCGGAGAGGTTCGCGGAAGAAGGGAGAGCTGGCGGAGAGGTTCCGGGGACTGAGGGAGCGCGAGACAGCAGCGGCAACAGCTGCAGCATCAGCAGCAGCACCAGCAGTCACGATAGCGCGGCGGACGACGAGTAGGGGCTGCTCGCCTTCCTGCGGCATTGCCGCCCGCGAGGCAGGCGCGCACGCAAGACGAGCGCCGATTGTGCGAATGGAGCGGATGGCGCGGAGGGCGGAAAGGGCGGAGGCGGGAAGGCGGCCGTGACGGGGGGTCCGCTGAAGCGCAGTTTGACGGCGGATGCGACGGGGAAGACGATGACGCGGAGCATGTGTACGGACGCGTTGAAGGGCCTGGTGGGTGACACCTTGCCGCGGTCGGCGAGCGACGTGCTGCGCGACGCGGAGATGGACGAGATGGACAAAGAGGTGCTGCAAGGTGCGCCGCCTCGCTTCCCCGCCTCTTCCTCGCGTTTCTCTCCGCCGCACCGCCGATTGGCGTTCAGCGCCATCCGCATCGTTCTCGACGATGCTCTCACCCCCCTCAACTCCTCAACATCCCCTTTGTTGGAGTGGTTCGTAACAACCACCCACGACTGACGGTTGGAGATAAGGTTATTTGTGTTTCATGAGATGGGAGTTTTTGTGCTTTACGTTTGGGCGTTTGCGGTTCGTGAATCGCCCCAGCGGTTCATGAATTATGTGCATTTCCGTGAAATTTTGAGTTTGTGAGAGTTTATGTGTGTTCGTGTGAGTTCGTGTTATTTCATGTGTTCTGCGAGTCACAAGTTTTCGTGTAAGTGTCGTGAGTGATCGTGAGTCTGTTTCGTGAAGTGTTCGTGTAATTGTCAGAATCCCAACCACTAGACCATTGGGATAAAAGGGCTTGTTTCAGTAGCGGGTCAGTGCGCCCATAACCCCCCAGGCGAACGCACCTGTAACCCTCTCCAGGATCAATCGGGCATCCACAGTGCAGACCTACTGACAGTAATTCCGTGTGAGTTCATGACTTTTCTGGTAAAGTTTGTGAGGTGCGTTTTCCTGTGTTTTCATGAGTGCGTTCGTTAATTTGTGTTTGTTCATGGGAATTATGGGAATTTCGTCCCTAGTCAAGATATTGAAGGGTTGCCGATGACTGTACTGATTCTGGCGAAATTATGGGAGTGGCGCCAAGTGGTAGGAGTGTGCCAGCATGTGCACACGCGAGGCCTGAGGCTGCAGATGGGTTAGCCACACGCGCAAGAGGGGTGTGCAGGTGGCGCGAGGGAAAAAGCCGAGAAATCGTGGGTCCAGGTTGGGTTTCGTGGGGCCCTCGAGTGTTTTGTCTGCATTATCCGAGGAGAGAATTCGCCAGGGTGTTTCACGAAGTGCGTGATTAATTTTGACGCAGGTGCGAATTGTGCGAGGAGGATTTCGACGACTTCGTAATTTCGTCACGTAACTTCGCAAAATCGTCAGGTGTTTCCGTGAGCTGTCACGAGCTGTCGCCATGAGCGTCCACGAGTGTCCACGAGCGTTCTTGAGCAAGTATGGCCCATAGGAACAAGTATGGGCAAGCATGTTTCAACTGATTTCGCATGGTGAAAGCTGGCATTTCGAAGTATGTTTCCAGCTATTATTTCGGTGGGCTGAATGCTTTTGATTTCGGTGGGTTAGTATAAATCTTTGCTTGTTCTTGTTTGTTATCAACCTTTTGAAAACCTTTTGATCTTAAACGTTCATGAGAAAGGGTTCCTCTTTCATCGTATTGACGTGAAGAGTATTTGTGGGGACGAGATAGTTGATGAACAAGACGCTGCGCATTTAAGTGTGGGACTACTCTAGTGCGTAAACACTTGGAGAACCGTGGACCCGAGGACGAGACCCGGTGGAGATCACTTAGTGTGACTTAAGTGGTGCGCATAAGAGTAGACTAAGGGCTAATAGTAACTAACACCCTTTCCCACTCCCTGTCCTTTACCCGCCCCCTTCCCACTTCTGCGCGCGTGGCAGAGGCGTTCGTGCGCGTGGTGGCGCTGCAGCAGCGCGTGCAGCACTACCGCGACCTGGGCAGGTTCGTGGTGCTCATGGCACTCTTCATCACCATCCTCTACCTCCAGGCCGACTCCTCCAGAAGCTACGAAATTACCTCCGCGCACGCCATGCTCTACCCCCCGTATGCGCCTCCCCTTACCCCACCCCGTGCCCTTGCCCCCCGTATGCTCCCCCCTTACCCCACTCCATGCTCTCCCCTCCCCCTCCCCCCCCCCCCCCCTCGCGTGCTCCCCCATATCCCCCACATTCCCACGGCTTCTTTCGCCTCCCCTACTCGACTGTGTGCTGCACACCTCTTGTGCGTATGGTTTCTAGCGCTCATGCATTCCAACGTGCGTTCATTTTAGCGCACCCTCGTTCATTCTAGTTCGCATTCATGCAAGCGCGCATTTACGCGAGCCCGCATTCATGCCAGCGCGCATTCATGTGGTGCGGCAGGACGGTAGGCTGAACAGAAAATGTTTGGTTGCTTCCTTTCTTACCACTTCATGTAAATGCACTGCAGCCAATCAGATCCCGTCCGATTTGGTTCAATCGACATTCTGGGCTGCCCAGAAAACAGCAATGTTGCAACATCCCTGCACGTTCCGACGACGGCATCTGCCAGGAGCAATAAGCCGGCCTTTGATAGGGCAACGTTGTGTTGGGGATTTCCCTTCAAGGAACCCCTCCGCAGGGCTTGTGAGGAAGGCCCCGCAGGCTTGTGCACAACAGAAGGCAGCAGCCAGGCGCCAAATGGACTCGACTCCCTGCGAGCACGGGAAATGGTAACTTTGTGATGCAGAAATCAAAACCCACACAAACCATAGCTCGAGAAGGCCAAATTTCGGAAATGTCGTCCCTCCCCGCGTTGATTCGACTTGGGCGACTCAAATTCATCCCGTACTCGTTCATCCTCGCGCTCTTGGGTGCGCTCTCCCGTGACATCGACCATCAGCCGCACAATCACGATGAGCTCCAGTTCCACGTCGAAAGCTTCTTACCCGTGGCGCTTTTCGTGGCGTGCACGCACGTCATGACGCACTACTTTAACGAGTATTTTGACTACGAGGCCGACCTCGCCAATAAGCAACGCGGCAAGTGGAACGGCGGATCCGGCGTGCTTCCCGAGGGTTTGCTGCCTCCGTGGGTGGCGCTCGCCGCAGGCAACGTGTTCCTCATCGGGAGCATCGTCACACTCGCGTTCCTCCGAACCCCCGCGCAGTACGTCGCGTGTGCGACCGTGTTCCTCTCGTGGGGGTACACCGGGCCGCCCTTTAAGCTCCATTATCGCGGTTTGGGCGAAGTGGTCGTGGCGATCGTGCTCACTTGGTGCGTGCCCGTGATGGGCGCGCTACAGCGCCGCGGCGATGGCGCGTTTTTGCTTCCGACGTCGCTCCGCACCATCATCCCACTGCTTTTCGTGCAGCAGTTCGTGCGGATGATGGTCATGAATCTACCCGACATCGAGTCCGACTTGCAGTGCGGCAAGATCACGCTGACTGCGCAAATGGGCCCGAGCGGGCGGCACGTTTATATAAATTCGTACAACACGCGACCGGCATCGTAGCCGTGGGCTTGTTCGCTTCTGGTCACATGACGTGGCCCGTGCTGGTCGCGTTTCTCATCGCCGCGACGAAGGGGATCAGTCTGGCGCGTCGCTTGGACGAGATCGTGTTTCCCGCTGGAACGAGGACTGATGCACGCAAGAAAAAAGACGATGATGCATGCACTACTGCAGCAAAGGTCCAGAACAGCATGGTCTTTGGAAATCTCCCGTACCACGCCACGATCCACGTCGCATCGACGGCGCTGATGCTGGTCATCGCGCAAACCGTTGTGCAAATGCTAGTCATTTCACCATCCTCTTTCCGTTCTCTTTCTTCCTCCTTGTCTTCAACTCTTCTTACCGCCACCCCTCTCTCCAAAGCAGGAACATTGGCAGAGCAGGCCTATAGGTCATACGCAGCCCCTATGATATCAGGGTTTTCCCCCTGAAATTCCTGATTATCAGCCTTCTTTTGTGTACCTACACTGATTTTTCTGAGTTTTTATTTTAGTGACAGCGAAATTTCAGCCTTAATTTCATACCTAACACTTATTTTTCAGACTTTTTTTCTAGGTACACTGATTCCATAGCGTTGTTACAAAAGTAACACTGAATGCGATTCTTACAAGTTTAGCGTGGATTTGCTCGGAATTACAGGGAATACCGTATGTGATTCCCGCGGTGACAGCAACGCATGGCGATGAATTCTCCCTCACATTCACTTTGAGGGCTGCTTTGTTGGTGCGGCTTGTCAGTTCATTGGCCGGTTTTGCTGCAAGTTATTGGTTGACCAATGAGAAGGTTGCTACACAGTGGCGCTGGCAGGCTGCGAGGGTTCCTACCTACACCTTTGCTTGCACATGTGGCGCGGTTTGTCTTGGTCGTGCTGGCAAGCACCCATGATGGGATGCATCCACGCCGTCCAACCACCGTTTCTGCCATCCAGGGTCCCCGTCTGCTCCAAGCTTTTCCTCCGAAAGGGGTTTCCCTCTTAAGTTGTGTTAAATACCTTGCTTGCTATGTGTTCTAGTGTAGCTGCAGTAACTTGTTGGTGGTGCACCACTACGCTCACCTTCTCTTGAACTATATCATGTATTTTGCTCATTAGTGAAACATCCCTCTTGCTCACGCTACCCCAAACCCTAATGCTACTATTCCAACATGGTATCAGAGCAAGCAGTTCCTAGGCCTAGTTTCATGCTCGTTATGGCGACGCCTCGATTCCCTGCTGATCGCCACGGCGGCGAGCTGCGCAATGGCGAGATCCATCGCCATGTGCCCGTTTCGTCTTCCCGTTCGCTCCCGTTGCGCCCTGCTCGTCGCCTCCCGTCCGCGCCTCTCGTCGCGCCTTCCGTCTGCGCCTCCCGACGTGCCTCCCGTCCACGCCTCCCGTCGCGCCTCCTGTTGCGCACCTCTCGTCCGCGGACGCCAGCGCCCGACGCCGACGCCGACGCCAGCGCCAGGCGCCAGCGGAGTCGCCATCGCGAACGCATGCGCCCGGCGCCAACGCAGACGCCAGCGCGAGGCGCCAGTGCGGACGGCAGCGCCTGCGCTAGACGCAAAGCGCCGGCGCCTACGCCAGTGCAGACGCGAGCGCCTGCACCTCCGTACCCCCCCCCCCCCCCCCCCCCCCTTTTCCTTCCGCGGCTTCTGCCTTGGGGGGGGGGGGGGGATGTGGGGTTGGCGGGGGTGACCAGCTAGCAGCCCATCCCTCCCCTCTCTCTTCCTGCAGGGCTTGTCACTGTGGAGAAGAGGTGGGGGGGGGAGAAATGGAAAAGGGTGAAGGGGTGGCGGAAGTAGAAAGGTGCGGAGGGTGTGAGGTTCAAGGAGTTGAGTGACAAGGGGGGTGAGGACTTGGGGGTTATTAACGGGGGGGGGATCGCTATGAGCGTGCGCGCTCATGCCCACCTAGCCCACCTCCTCTCCTCATTGGGACTTGGGGGTTATTAACGGGAGGGGGGGGGGGTCGCTATGAGCGTGCGCGCTCATGCCCACCTAGCCCACCTCCTATCCCTTTCCTCTCTCACCTCCCCCTTTGCAAAAGGAGGTTCGTAAGCGGGTACCCCGGGCATTGAGCGTGCGCCCTCATGCATGCCCCCCACCTCCTCTCCTCTTCTCTCCTCTCGCCTCCTCCTCCTTACCTCTCTACCCTCTTCTGCTGTGCCACATGTACCTGTACAAGTTCTTACGGCAAGCAGGTTAAAGGGGTGTGTTAAGTTGTGTTGAATACCCTGCTTGCTATGTGTTCTAGTGTAGCTACAGTAACTTGTTGGTGGTGCACCACTCTGATCACCTTCTCTTGGAACTATATCATGTATTTTGCTCATTAGTGAAATCCACCCTTGCGGCCATCTGTGATCACCCTCTCTGGCTGGCGATCTGTTTCTCACGAGCCTGGAGCAAGGGCTCCAGACATTGCGGAATGGCGATGCGGGAACTTCTTCCCAACCCACTCAACCGGCCCCAAACGGCCAAAACTCCGCCACGCCTGTATGCTCCCAATTTCCGGGCTTTTCCCCACCTCTTGCGCGCATGTACTTTTGCGCGCATGCACCCTTGCGCGCATGAACTCTTGCGCGCATGCACTCTTGCGCACGCATCCACTCTTGCGTGCATGCACTCTTGCACGCGTAACCTCTCTCAGTGTGCCCCTGCCTCTCGCCCTCTCCGCTCAGCTGACCCCTTTGTGCATCTTCCCCGCAACTCCCCTCACTCGCCTCTCCTCACCTCTCGCCCTGCTTGTGCCTCTCCCTGCCTGAGAGCAGGGCATGCGTCAGGACTCGTCCAACACCTTTGATGGCCTGGATGACTTCTACAATTGGCTCAACACCAGCATCATTCAGGTGCGTTCTCTTACCTCTCCCCTAAATCTCTGCGTTATAGCTCCTTGTGCACTTGGTGCGTGTTTCGTCCCGCATACCCACGCCTACCTTCCGCCCACCCACGCGGCATCACAGCCCTCCCTTCTCTGCATAAAAGCTCGCACGCTCATCGGCTCGTGTGCTCCTCACTGCCCGCCGCTCTCCCCCCCGCCCCTGCAGAAACTGTGGGTGGATCCGACGTGTGGCTCCGGCACATGCGACCGCCCCTTCCAGTACCCCGCGTTTGGCCGCTTTGGCTGTGAAGCGGACTGCGGCATCTTCCCCAGCCTCACCTCCATTGTTATCCGCCTCTCCTCTCAGCTCGACACACAGCAGGCTGCTGACGAATCTTCCTGGAACCTCTGCATGGTCAACCCGGTCTCCCTGTGCTGGTATGCGCGCCCTCCTCCCGCCGCTCTGATCTTCTTGCTGTCCCCGTCCTGTGTACTCATCCCACCCTACGCCACCCCATGCATGTCGGCCATGCGGTGCGGTGCAATCAGGTACGAGGAGTTTCAGCCATTCCGTGTGGGCGATACAGAGGTGTCAGTGGCGTTGGACATTCCGGACGGCGACTGGGTGGTGGTGCTCAACGCGCCTGCGGGGGGCATCCGCGGCACCGTGCACGCGCCCCCTCCGGGCATGCGCCGCTTCTCCGTCGTCGGCGCCGCCTCCACCATTGAGCTCGCCGCGTGGGGCTACTGTACACACGACGATGACGTGGATGCAGCCAATCAGGCGCTGCCAAGTGGCGGCGCTGGTGGTTCTCCGCCTGATGTCTGCCGTGATGTGAGTATGCCGCTGCTTCGCGTGCCCCTTGCTGTCCGACACACTACCGCCGCTAGGAACAGGGGGCTCACTAATGTTGGGGATGGCACCTGGGTGCCGTGCTGTTGACCACACTCAGCTTTCACCGTGTGTTATTCCGAGCTGAGTGTGTCATTCCGAGCTGAATGTGTCATTCCGAGCTGAATGTGTCATTCCGAGCTGAGTGTGTCATTTCGAGCTGAGTGTGTGCATGCTTTCAATCACATGTGCCAATCGAACTTTGTGCATGCGATTGAGTGAGTGTGTGTGTGTGTGTGTGTGTGTGTGTGTGTGTGCACATGCATGCGTTCGTTCGTGCATGCGTGCGAGCATGCAAGGGTACATGTGTGTGTGCATGTGTGCATGCATGTGTGCATGCATGCGTGAGTGCATGTGTTTTTGCATGCAGACATGTGCAAGGCTGGTGCTCTGCCTGCCAGCAACCTGTGGGCGAGCATTCACGGAGCGGGAGGTGGCAGGGACGTTCGTGGACTGTGCGCGCATGTGCATCGTTGCACCTTCTTCCATCACCACCTACGCCGACACTCCCTGCCCCATGGTGCGCCCCTTGCTCCATGCTGCTCCCATTGCGTGCGCCCCGTGTCTCTGATGCTTGTATAGAGCAATTGGTCCTGCCCCCTGCAACACTGGATATTTCATTGACTTGTGCAAATCAACCAGCCGTGCCCCATGGTATGCCAGCAGTGGTGTCGCACAGCCCTCGTGCCCTGCACTGCCTCTCTGCCCTGCGCTACCTCTCTGCCCTGCGCTACCTCTCTGCCCAGCGCTACCTCTCTGCCCTGCCCTGGCATGCCTCGACATCCTTGGGTGGCTGCCAACAGTGCACCACATCAGACTGCCAAGCAGTGCACCACTTCAGACGGCCTGCTACCTGTCGCCCCGCGGGCTACTTACCGCCAGTGCCTCCTATATTACCAGGGCGCTTCTCTTTCTCACTCGTCCCCGCCCTCCTCTATCCCCCGCTCCCTGTAGCCTGAGATCGCAACACTCTTCTCCAACATCCCCTTCAACGTTTCAGGTATCGTCCCTCCCGCTCCTGCATTTTGTATTGAGTTGGCTTGAGTGTCGTCTCGTGTAGCATGTGTGTGCGTTCGACTCACGCAAACTTGCTGCACGCTGTGGCGTTCATTCGTGACTCACCACTCTCTGCCATCATCTTCTCTCACGCCACAACACGCCCTCCCATCCTCTCTTGCCACAACACGCCCTCCCATCCTCTCACGCCACAACACGCCCTCCCATCCTCTCTCGCCACAACACGCCCTCCAAACGAGCAGTCAACTCCACGGGACACCTCTCTCGTTTTGCCCGCCGAAAGGTGCTCCTCCCATCCCCATCGCTTGCTGCTCACCTTTGCTTGCAGCTCACCCTTTGCTTGATGCTCACCATTGCTTGCTGCTCCGTTCTGCTTGTTGCTCGTTTTTTCTGGATCCTCGCCCTTAGCTTGCTGCTCCTTGTGGCCTTCCTTCTCCGCTTTTTCTCGTGCTCCCTTCACGTAGCTGTTCACCCTTTGTTCGTATGTGCACTTCTTGAAAATCCCACCTTATCATGCTCTCTCCGCTGAACCATAACCCACTACTGATGGCCCGTCATTTCTCAGGCCCAGGAACAACTCCGCCACCTACACCCACGCCGCCGCCTGTACCCACACCGCTACAGCGATTGGACCTCCTCGGCCTTGCCCACTGACGCTCCTCCTGCATTTGTTTCGCTGGCTGCTTCTGCTGTGTCTGCTGATGCCGCTCCTGTGGCTCTGCTTGCTCTGCCAGTGCAAGGCGCACCAGGAGCAGCAGTTGCAGCCCTGCCACCGCCAGCAGCAGCACGAGCAGTAGCAGCAGCAGCAGCAGCAGTAGCAGCAATGGCAGCAGCGGGAACGGCAGCCACAGCAGACCCCACACAGCCCTCTCTCTGGTCGCTCCTTGGTGCCACCGACCGTCAGCGACTGACAGCGCTGCAGGTGGCGGTGTCACGTGCTCTCTTCACCATGGCTAAGGACCGGTGCCTGGCTGGCCGTGCTCCAGGAGCAGAGGCGAGGGTAGCGGCGGGAGCGAGCAACCACACACATGGAGGGTTGGGCAGCGTGCGGTGGCGTATGGTGACGTGCTTTTGCACGATGCTGGGGGGCCCTGTGACGACGCTGGATGAGTGCCGATTCATGGATGAAGCAGGGCAGCTGGTGGTGGAGGGTGGCGAGATGTACGCATACCTGCAGCGCACGCATGTGAGCGGTGGGCGCATGATCTCAGCGCAGCACATGCGGCGCTTCATGCAAACGATGGTGGCGGCTCTGCGGTCCGTCACGCCCATGCCAGACGCGGCTGCGGCGCGTCTCAATACGCTCATGCACTCCTTTAATGATGCTATCGTCACCTCCGACTCTGTCGGCTGCGCACAAGGTGCTCATGCCAGGTGGTCCTGGTGGTTGGTGTGTTCGATGCGCTCTTGTGCATGTGCGTGTGCGTGCGCGCTCGTGTGTGCGCGCTTGCGCATGCTTGCGTGCGTGCTTGCATTTATACGTGCATGTCTGAGCGTTGCTGTCATTCATGGCACCATAGACGGATCATGTTTGACTGAAGGCACTTCCTTAACCCTCTCTGTCTCCCTTCAGGTGGTGCGTGGCTGCAGTGGCGGGCAGGCGTGTCTCACAACACGACCATTCATGTGGGCGACAAAGTCACCTGGGTGTGGGATGACGACCTCCCACATCTTTGTCTTCAAATCTCTATCACTTCCCATTCGCGCCACTACCTCGTGTGTACATCCGTGCCTATATTGCTTCGTAGAGAAAATGAGTTTTTGTGGTTATTTCTGGAAGTCCTCTTTGTGCCCCATGCGACCTTCCCATTCACTGGTCTAAAATGCCTCATGCCCCACCCTGTGCCTCCACACCCCTGTGCCTCCACGCCCCTGTGCCTCCACACCCCTGTGTCCCCACCACCATGCCACCACCACCAGTGGCGGGGATGGGCGAAGCAGGCGACCCACTGTTCGTGGGCTTTGGGGGGAACCGCCTGGCCGTGTCACGGCAGATAGCGTGCACTCCCATGAACGTGGGCGCTGGCGTCATGCGTGACGACCCCGTGCCCTGCGTGCTACGTGAGTGCCCTCCTCATGCCATGGTCAGTGAGCTATCCAGTGCAATCCAGTACTGGGCGCTGGTTAACCATTCGTTTCACCAAGCTATGTGTAGTCTGTTCCGTTTCATCTCAACATCTTGGCCTGCTGCTGCACATGCATCACCCTTGCACCCCATCACTCCAATCACGACCCTGTACACCCCCCGCCACCCCCTCCACGTCCCAACCCCTTCCCCCACCAGGAATGGACGACGAGCCGTTGGGTTCCTTTGCGTACAGCAAGGTGTTTGGAGAGCCCATCACCATCCACTACACGGACGGCTCGCTGGCAGGCACGGCTGGGGACGCCGTGTCTTCCTCTGCCTCTCCCTCCTCCTCCCCCACCCCCACCTCCATGTCCGCCAGCATTCTCACAGTGCTGCCTGCAAGGGCTGGGGCGGATGCTACTGGTAAGCACTGCATGTGTGCGTTTCATTTCTCTTGTGCCTTTCAGCTATTCCATGCGCTCTCCCATGCGCCCTCTCCCATGCGCCCTCTCCCATGCGCCCTCTCCCATGCGCCCTCTCCCATGCGCCCTCTCCCATGCGCCCTCTCCCATGCGCGCTCTCCCATGCGCCCTCTTCCATGGGCCCTCCCTTTCAGTTGCATTCACTCGCCCTCCGTTCATTATCTCCTCAACGTTCCCAGTTGCTGCATCCCAGTACACCTTCCTGCCTCCATCCTCCCCATCCTCTCTCCCTCTTCACAGCTCGTCCCCTCTCTTCCATCATTCTTCTACCCCTCCTCTCCACATCTCCTCTCCCTTTCCCTGGCTTTCCATCGCATGAAAAAAAATGCAGGTTTTGTCAGTAACACCGCGGTCGTTACCAACACCACAAACCCCACCGCTGCCAACAGCACGACTGCTGGCCCCACCAACACCACGGCAACCTACGAGTGTGCACCAGGGTGCCGGCTGCAGCGGCTGGCGAACGGGGTGTGTGATTCGCCCTGCAACACGCCCGCGTGCGCCTTTGACGGTGGCGACTACGCGTGTGTCGACCCTCTCTTCGGCCCCGGCATCTGCGCCTGCCCGCCCGGCCACACCCGCCGCGACGACGGCTGCCAGTCACCCGTCTCCCCCCTCCACTCGACCCTCTCGCCCCCTGCCCTGCTCCACCGTGCGTCTCTTCTCTCATGTTCTCACTTCACGCTTGCCCTCCCATCCTACTCTCTCTTCCTCATCTCCCTCCCCTTCCTCGTCTCTGTTCCTCCCCTTTCTCCTCCAGCATGCTGTCTGTCGACGGCGGTGGGCGCCAATCTCAACTTCCCCTTCTCACTGCAGCGCTACGGCCCCAACTACACAGAGAGAAACTACGTGTTTGCGGCTGAAAGGGGCTTTGCGGCCACACGCTACGTGTCTCGCCGCAACCGGTATGCCGCCCCCTACCTCCATGCCTCCCCAGTTGGCCGCACTGTTGGGCGACACTTTTGTGCAGCGCCATACCTTTCCACGACCTTGTTATGCTTTCATTCATCCCGTCCTCGCAGCAGCACAGGACATATCCGTCAAAACCTTGGCTCGCCACCACAGTCGACTTCTCGCTCTCCTCTGCCTTATCGCCTTCCTCCCCCTCCCCTCTTCCATCTTCTCCATGCCAGTCTGTTGATCGGCATGGTGTTGCAGCAGGATCGGTGGGGCACACAGCAGTGCAGCAGAGCGGGGTGAGTGGCTCTCATGCATGGGGTGAGTGGCTCTCGTGAAGGGGCATGCATGCAGGCATGCGCAAGGGTGGTAGCCGAGCTAGGTGCCACTCGTTGGACCACCTTCCACAAGCGAAGGAGCCAACGCGTGCTGGCCGCGGCTTGATGGGGCCGGCCCAACAAGCCGCGCCATCATGCTTTGACTCTTGCTCCATGTCTACTATGGCGTGCAAGGTTTTCACAATGTTTGTCGGATCCTGTCGCTGTAACAAATCCTGTCGCTGTGACATCGCCACCGACTGCCCTTCTTTCAACACCTGCACTTCACTCCCTCCATTGCTCACAGCGGCACCCGCCCTTCTCTCCCCCAACCCCCTCTACTCGCCTTCTCTCCTCCCTCCTCTCTCCCCCCAGCCTGCTGCACCTTGGGGGGTGGTGCAGCAACGGCACGTCCACAGAACCGTTTGGAGTGAACCCGCACTTCCTGCCCACATCGGCCATCTACGACAGCGCTGCCAGCGCCAACATGAGCCAGCTCGACAACAACACCTTTGGCTTTAAGCTGAAGTTCAACCCGCAAGGCCTCCCCTACGGCTTCATCTACCCCATGGTCAGTGCCTTTAAAGATATGTTCTCCACATTATCTGCCATTGTCAAGCAGTGCAAGCGTGCTACTTATCCATATGGTTAGTACTAAGAGTAAGTGCATTTTAGTTGGTGCCAAGAGTAAGCAAGATATTTACCAATATGGTTGGTACTAAAAGTAAGCACGTTACTTACCCATATGGTTGATACTAAGAATAAGTGCGTTAGATACACAAATGTTTCGTATTAAGAGTAAGTTACTGATATGGTTGGTACTAAAAGGAAGCGCGTTACTTACCCATATGGTTGGCACTAAGAGTAAGCGCGTTACTTACTCATATGGTTCGTATTAAGAGTAAGTGCGATATTTTTTCATATTGTTGGTACTAAGAGTAAGTGCATTATTTACCTATATGGTTGGTAGTAACAGTAAGTGCATAAATTACTCATATGGTTAGTGGTAAGAGTAAGTGCTTAAATGTTCCATATGGTTGATACTAAGAGTAAATGGCTTCATCTACTTCATGATGAGCCCCTTCAAAGTTTATGTTCCGCATTAGTGCCTGGCACTGCCAGCCAGTATAGAGAGGTGCGGTGAAGTGCTCCAGTTCACAAGCAAAACAAGTTGTGAGACGTCTCAAAACAAGCAAGGCAAACGACCGACTCATCCGTTTCGTGTGCTGTCCTATTGCCTTGCTGCCCTAGTGCCTTGTGCTCCTCCATGTCTTGCTGCTGTGCTGCCTCGCTGTCGTGCTGCCTTGCCTTCGCGCTGTCTTGCTGTCTTGTTTCTTGCATTTGTGGTGTGTTATTGATGAAGCCAATGATGTCTTGGCGAAAATAGTGTTCACCCGTACCTTTTCCCGCAGGAGTCTCTCACGACATACCCTTTGGTGTTTGGCATTAATCTTGAGAACGAGGCGGCCACAAGGCGTCTACACTACCTGGTGGATGGCAGCTACATTGACAATGGCACGCGCAGCATAGACGTCAACTTCATCACCTTCAATGGTATTCAATTACCTTGTGGTAACACCAACCTTCGAGCAATGTATCTACTCAACACATCCATTCGTTTCTTGCAACATTCTGTGTACACTGCCTCTCTCTCAATGCACACCTCTCAATGCACGCCTCTCAATGCACGCCTCTCAATGCACGCCTCTCACTCGCCTCCTTGTGGCCCCCCCTGTTGGCAGGCGAGACGCTCACTTTTGTGCTGACAACTGTGAGGTGCACAATGAACGAGGGGGGCAGCATGGCAGTCACCTTCAAGTCACAGCCGGCAGCTATGGCGATGTACGATGCATCGGCGGAGAACATCGCACGGCTGGTGCTGGAGATAATTTACTTGGTGGGGCTGCTCTGGAATGTGTGTGGCGAGCTGCAGGAGATGGCCGACCGCGCCGCCAAGGATGGCTCAGTGCTCAGCTATTTTGAGCAAGCATGGAACTAGATCGACATGCTCTCTCTCTCTCGTTGCAAGCTATCGCTGTTGTCCTCTGGTGAGAATTTTCAAGATTCGTTGCCCTCTGGTGAGGCAAGAGCTGTTTTTTGTCTCACTTACTCGTCATCCAGAAAATTTCTTGAGGCGCCTAAGGAATGACCTCATCTGGTCATGTTTCCCTGCTCCTCCGCCTTGCTCCCCATCCTCCACTTGTGGGTTTGTGCGTGTGCATTGGTATGCTCAGGGTGGTGCTGTGGCGGTACGTGAGCACGTTTGACATGCAGCCACGGTACAACATCTACTATTCGCTGTTCGAGGCGCCGCGCTACTGGGCCGTGCCCAACCCGCCCACGGGCTTCATCAGAGCCACTCAAGTTTTTGCTGATCTACGCAACATCATCAACCTCCGCGCAGTCTACTTCGCCCTCCAGGGCATCAAGTGAGTGAGCCGCTTGCCTTGCCGTCACGGTTTCAAGTGCGCTGCCGTGCTTTTCAGAACAATATAGTGAGCCATTTTCACTGTCTCTACGGCTTCCCAGATTGAGGGTACATTCTGGGCTCTGGGCAACCTTCTGGTCAGCCGTGCTTATGGCCTTAAATCGCAGCTATTTCTCACCGATTGTGCTAATTCCCAGGTTGAGAAGCATTGCCGTCTAGAAGTCTGACCAGAGTCCGGAATTTACCCTGAGCAAAAGTCAAACCCGAAATGGTTGAGCCGAAGCCTGAGCAGAGGTCGGTCCGAGGTGTGACTGTTTGTGTAACACAGGATTCGCTCAGTCAGCTGACATCCTACATTTAACATCTTTCCCTTCCCCCTCCTCCCCACCCCCCTATCCCCTCAGTGTCTTCTTCATGATGATACGCTTGCTCAAGGTGATGGACTTCCAGCCGTACCTCGGGGTCATCACGCGTTCCCTCGGCCTCGCCACGCCCTCGTTGATGCACTTCTTCCTGCTCTCCTTCACGGTCTTCTTCTGCTTCAGCATGTACGGCTACCTCGTCTTCGGAGGCACAATGGAGCTGGTATGTGTGGGGTATGGGGCTCATTTACTCATTCTTTGTATATCAAATCCAAGTGAGCACCATAAATGTGCGGTGAGGCGAATAACCAGTTACCATCACTTTTTACTTAATGTATATATAAATATGTATGTGTGTATGCATATATAAATTTACACGTATATATATGTAAAAACATATACATATGTAGATGCATATATGCATATATACGTATATATATACACACCAGAAAAAGGAACCAAACAAAACAAGATAATAACAAGCAAATATCACATCTCTCATGTACTTGTGCAGTTTACAATACCATATTGTTCCAACCAGATTGGTTCACCATGCCGCCTCTCCTGTTTCCCAACCTTGTGGGCCTTCTCCATCCAGTTCTCCACAAACACCCCTTCTCCCTCCTCCCCAACCCACCCTGTGCAGTTCTCCACCGTACTCAACTCCATGTTCTCGTTGTTCCTGCTTCTCATTACCGACAACAACTCGGCCTACTTCCTTTCGCGCCTGGAGTCGTGGGACCTGATTGCTGCAATGCTCTTCTTCTTCATGTTCATCGTCTTCATGGTCTTCATCCTCCTCAACTTCCTCATCGCCATCATTGTTGATGCCTTCATGAGCGTCAAAGATAGCGACATCGTTGCTACGTCTATAGCTGCTGATCTCGCGCACATATTTAATTACAAGTGGAGCTGCTGGCGTGGCCGCTACTTGCCGTACCGCGTCATTCTCGACCGCCTTGTGGAATTGGGGGCTAAAGACGCGCATAAAAGACGTGAGTGTGTGGTGAGGTGTTTGGTGCAGCAAAATTCTGTTGGTATTCCATGAAGTGAGTGAAGTGAATGTGCTTGGTTGTTTCGCAAGTGGTTGTTGGGCTGCTGTGTGTTCCAGCCATGCAGACATGAAGCAATTGATTCCTTTCACGCAGCTTTGATGCGGCGCCTGAGCCATGCTGCAACGGCTACCGTTGCCACCGACCCTTCACCTCCGTCTCCCACCCACTCACGTCATTCCGCACACGCGCTTTTGTCTCAGGAGAACCCTCGAAAGCGCCGCTTCAAGTCGATCCAACGGCGGGTCACCGCAATGCTCTCCGGCACGCGAGGCAGCGCCGCCGACAAGGCGACGCCCTTCCCGCGGTCCGACAACCAACCTACCTTCCCGTCCGCCGCTAGCGAGTCTCGGGTGTGGAAGCAGCACGTGCTGACAGTGAGGGACAAGCGCATCGATGTCATCTCGCTCGCCATGATCCTGCAGCGTCACCACGACCACGCGGTGCGTCCCTTGCTGGCGTGCTCGTTCCCATGCTTTTAGTGCCTTTTTTACCTTCTCGTCATGCTTGTGATGGCTGATGTGCGTAATGCCATGAAAAGTGTGAATTGTGGCCGATATCCAGGGTCTGCCAATGTTTTCCTCTGCATCACTCTGCCTCTCGTCGTAACCCGACTTTCAATGACATACAGCCTTCCCATCCGCCATCCCTCCTCCGCCTTCCAATCCCACTCCACCTTCTCATCATATCTGCCTTCCCTTGCTGTTCTCCAGGCAAAGAAAGCCCCTGCCACGTCATCCAGTGGAGCGTGTTTAGTCTCGTGGAATGCGGAGGAGGATCGGCTAGAGCAGCTGTCGCAGGCGGTGGTGCTGCAGTGCGGCGAGGTGGTGAAGCAGGCCGCCCTGCCCGTCAAGAAGCCCGTTCAGAAGCTCAGCCTCGCGCACGTGCAGGTACGTGGGGAGGGGGAAGGGTGCATGTGGCGATGTGCAAGGACACGGGTTAGGAGGGATATGTATGGATGCAAGCGAGGGAGGCGGGAAGGTAGTGCTACGAGGCATGGCTCAGTCTGCCGAGTCGTTACGAGTCAGTGGCTGCCATCCCTGACCCATGCATCCCGTCCCGTCCCTCCCGTGTGCCGTGCATGGAGCGAGCAGGAGGAGGTGGTGCGGTGCCAGGCAGGAGTAGAGGAGCTGAGGGGCATGATGGCGGACATGCAGAGCGACATGCGAGCCATGATGGCGCTGCTCGACCGCGCCCTCCCCGCCTCACGCGCCCACACGCCTCGTGTATCCCGCTCCTAGACCCCTCCTATTCCCCCCTCGGGATCACCCCTGCCGGGGCAGCGGCCGCTGGTGCGGCCGTGTCCAAAAGTGCCGCAAGTGGACGCGGAGGGTGAGGGCTGAGGGGGTAGACGGGTAGGATGGGTGTGGGTGAAGGAGCAGGAGTGGAAGGGAGTGGGAGAGGCGGGCCTGTCCAAGCAAGTGGAAATGGGAGAGTGGGCAGCAGGTTGGGGCGACGGGTTGTGTTTCAAGACGAGGCAGTGGAGGGCGGTGAGGCTGGTGTCAGGGCAGAGGACTCATGGGAGGAGCCACTGATTGGAAACCAAAGAGACCCTTGAAAGTCTCCGAACCTAAACACTGTTTTCCGCTGTTGCACCTTATGGCCCACTCTCAGCGGTCACATACTGGGGATGCAGTGTCTGCCGCCCAATTCACCATTGCATGTTGGTGTGGCTCACTGTGTCCTGTAAATCTAGCAGAGAAGCAACTGTGGAGGCAGGTGGTGGCTGAACCAAGCGGCAGGAGGGACCTCTGTTGCTCTGGCACCAGTTGGTTGGGCCAACCAGCATGATGGACAGACAGGGAACTTACCTCATGGCATTGTGTGCATCAGAAGATGCCACAAGAGCTCCTTACGGCTCCAGAACATACAGGAAGCTGCATTTGTGAAAGTTGTACAGGAAACGATTGCAAGGCCTTCGTGTTGAAAAGATATGATTCAACATTTCAACACATAAAACATTGTATCTTACACTGTATTAACCCAAAACGTTAGTATACCGTATTCCCCCGGATAAAACACCCTAGGGTATTATAAAAACCACTGGAAAAAATGGGGGGGGGTCTCCTCAAAGGAAAATCCTATATAATGCCCGGGTCTTATGATATGGTATATTTTTTATAAAACAGAAAAGATGTGAAACAAAATCAAGGGTCTGACTTCACTTCAAGATTGTTGATCAATGCCGCAAAACCGAGTACGAGGATATTGTGGGCCACTTGAGCCACTTCACCTCTTGGACCACTTGCATTGGAAGATTCGTCAGCGTGGCGACAGCGAGATTTTGGGATTCACCAGCATGGCGACAGCGAGATTGTGGGAGGGGGGATATCTCGGCTAATTCTAAGGGCATATTCCTACAGCCTCCTATCAAGACCACCTCCTATCAAGATTGTACTTTTGCCTGGGAAAAGTAGCGAGAGGGTTGGGGTTTAGGGGATTTTTCAGTGTGAGCTTGATATAAGGTCAGGTTGATAGGAGGATAGGAATACGTCCTAAATGAAAGTACATGCGAAATTTTTTCTAGGGAGTGATTTTCGCGATATCCTCCCGTAAGGAATCGGACTCGATAACAGCTATAATAGGAATCTATAAGAAAAGGGGGGTGTTATAGAGAATCACCCCAAAAAGGGGGGTATAGTACTAACGGGGTCGGATATAACACCCACCCCGTATAAGCTACCCGGGGGTGTACAATTACGGGGGGGTGTTTTATCCGGGAGAATACGGTACCTCACTCGTTACCATGCGAGTCGGTTAGCACTGGTTACCAGCATGCTCGAGCCAATCAAAGCTTACTTCATACGATTAACCAAACCTTTACACCAGGAGCTGTTACTGCCACCCCTCTGTCCTGTCCCTTTTTGCCCCTCTGTCATCTTGCCACGACACTCGCCTGCCCAACGCCCGCTGTGACGCCTGCACCGGGGTTCTGCTCAAGCCCCCTCCTGCTATACTCAACCCATCTCTAGTGTCACCCGCTCGTCTCCCTCCCTCAGCTGCCCCCCCAGGTGAGTTTTGAGCCGACTCAAAACGCACGGGGGTTCTGCTCGAGTTCCCTCCCGCAGGGCTCCAACCATCTCTTGTGCCCCCCACTCTTTTCTCTCCCTCGACTGGTCCCCCACCTGCCCCACTCTCGCTGAACCTTCTAGGCACCTCTCTCCTACTGCCTGCTTGCTCCAGTGGCGGCGGGGAGTCTGTGAGGGACATGAGACGATGCGGGGGCTCCGTGAAGGCACGTGGCATGCTTGACAATGCTGGCAGCCCCCCGGGGGTACCCGGAGAGTGGGCAGTGTTGCCTAGCGGGGGCGTGCGGGCGAGGAGGTCGAGCATGAGTGCGTGCATGTCCGTCATCATGGCACTCAGCTCCTCCACCTTCGCCTCGCTGCGCGCCAGATCCTCCTGCTCTCACAGGCACAGGATGGAGGGTGTTGGGGAGGGGGAGGATGAAGGGATGTTGGGAAGGAGTCGTAAGAACGCATGGCAGGGATAGGAAGCCTGGATGGTTGATTGCGGGCGCTTTTCATTCCTCGGCCAATCACTGCAACCCCCACCGTGTTACCACTCTCCCTCGCGCATATTTGCAACGCACCCCCGCACCCTTTTCCTTCCGCACCTTGAGGTGAGCGAGGCTGAGCTTCTTTGCACTCTTCTTGACGGGCAGAGCGGCCTGCTTCACCACCTCGCCGCACTGCAGCACCACCGCCTGCGACAGCTGATCCAACTGCTCGTCGTCCGCACACTCTCTTGAGGCTGCCCTTGCAAAACACTTGTACGGTGACTCAGCCTTGTACGGCCCCACTCGCTGAGGAAAGATAGTGAAACACGGTGAGAGTGGTGGAGAGAGAGATGTGCGGGCGGGGCAGATTGATTGTGAGAACATCATGCATAGAAGTCGGCACATCACATTTACTATGCCTGCATGTCACAATACATGGCTTGCCACAGCGCATGACCAAACACATGGCGAAACATATGCCCTGGCACACCCACATGGCTTGGCACAACGTACAACATATGCCATAGCAGAACCGCATTGCATGCCACAACACATGGCACGCCCAAGTACTCATGCCGACAACCACGCCAGCAAGAACGCACCTCCCTGTCCTGGCAGCGCTGCAGGATCATGGAGAGTGAGATGACGTCGATGCGCTTCTCCCTCACTGTCAGCACGTGCTGCAGCCGCTTGCCAGTCTGGCTGGCGGGCGGGAAGGTGGGGTGGTTCTCGGCGCAACCGAGGTGCGAGGGCTTGCATCCGCCGCCACAGCTGCAGGAGAAGATGGCTCGCGTGCGGCGCTTCATTGACTGCATGCGACGCATCCCCCGATCCGACTGCAAGAGGGATTGCTGGATTGAGGTCAGTCAAGAACGGTCAAGAGGTCAAGAACGTATTGTGCCAGTTATTGTTGGATTGACCAGCCACAAAAGTTTGTGTGTGAGGGCTCCACTAGACATGCACAGTGTAAAAGTGCACCGCACGTGCGTACAGCCGACCCGGTGTCCAAACCGGTGGACACGCACACTGGTACTGCATGAATGGCGGATGGGCCATTCAGTGAAAGGTCATAATTGACCAATTTTTCGCCCCCTGATCTTGCCCAAGCGTGTGAGGTTGGTTCCCAGCTCTCACCTCGTCTACTCGTGTGTCCTTAGCGCCCAACTCCACAAGGCGGTCAAGAATGAGCGGATACGGCAAGTAGCGGCCGCGCCAGCAGTTCCACTTGTACTTGAAGATGTGAGCGAGGTCAGTGACTATAGAGGTGGCGACAAGGTTGCTGTCCTTGACGCTCATGAAGGCATCGACGATGATGGCGATGAGGAAGTTGAGGAGGATGAAGACCATGAAGACAATGAACATGAAGAAGAAGAGCATCGCAGCTATGAGGTCCCACGACTCCATTCGTTGAAAAAAGTAGGCGGAGCCGTTGTCATTGAGAAGCAGCAGGAAGCACGAGAACATAGACTCCAGGACCGTGGAGAACTGCATAGGGCGGAAGGGGGAGGCAGGGGAGGGGGGTAAAAATTCTTAATGATGATGATGATATTAATAATAATAATAGTAATAGTAATAGTAATAGTAATAGTAATAGTAATAGTAATAGTAATAGTAATAGTAATAGTAATAGTAATAATAATGATTAGAATAATAATGATGAGAATAATAATGATAAGAATAATAATAATTATAGTAATAGTAATTATAATAATAACAAGTAAACGAATGAATGAATGAATGAATGAACGAACGAACGAACGAACGAACGAACGAACTAACGAACGAACTAACGAACGAACGAACGAACGAACGAATGAATGAATGAATGAATGAATACATAAACACACACACGCACGCACGAACTTGGTAAACTTGAACACAAAGTTGTGCTCAAGCAAAAGAAAAAAAAGGGTGACGCGACACATTCTTAAAAAAAAAGGTAAGTAATGAGCCCCACACATACCATCTCAAGTGCTCCTCCGAAGACAAGGTAGGCGTACATGCTGAAGCAGAAGAAGACCGTAAAGGAGAGCAGGAAGAAGTGCATCAGGGAGGGCGTGGCGAGGGCGAGGGAGCGAGTGATGACTCCAAGGTAAGGCTGGAAGTCCATCACCTTGAGTAGGCGAATCATCATGAAAAAGAGACTGGGGAGGAACAGGGAGCAGGGAAGGGAATTAGGCGGGGCAAAAGAAAGAGTGTGGTTGATTCCGGATGGATCATCAATGGGTGATCGACAGCTAGACATGAGAAAACGAGCCAAGCCAAAAGGTTAAGTTGTTTTTTACTGATAGAAAAGAGAGTCAACACATGCACGCACGCACACACGCGTAGGCGGCTCACTCACTTGATGCCCTGGAGGGAAAAGTAGATGCCACGGAGGTTGATGATGTTGCGCAGATCAGCGAAGGCCTGAGTGGCGCTGATGAAGCCCATGGGCGGGTTGGGCACGGCCCAGTAGCGCGGCATCTCGAGCAGCGTGTAGTAGATGTCGTATCGTGGCTGCATGTCAAATGCTTCCACGTACCGCCACAGCACCACCCTGAGCACACCGACACACACACACGTGCGTGCGCATGTGTAGGAAAGTAAGGGGAATTCGGGCATCTGGAGTGGACAGATGAACGGTGAGATCGGAGCCGCATACATTGCACGACAATGGCTACTATTGCCGCACCTTAGCTGGTTTCTTACCAGATAACAACTGCGGTCACTTGCAGTGTGAGAGAGAGCATGTCGACCCAGTTCCACACGAGGCTGAAATAGCTGAGCACAGAGCCGTGAATCGCGGCGCGGTCGGCCATCTCCTGCAGCTCGCCACACACATTCCAGAGCAGCCCCACCAGATACACCATCTCCAGCACCAGCCGTGCGATGTTGTCCGCCGATGCATCGTACATCGCCATGGCTGCCGGCTGTGACTTGATCGATACTGCCATGCTGCCGCCCGTTGTGACTATGCAACTAACAGTTGTGAGCACAAACGTGAGCGTCTCGCCTGGCAACGTGGGCGAAGGTGGTGGACGCATGAGACGGAGAGAGAAGGGGAGGGGCAGAGCAGAGAAGCCCGATAAAAGAGAAAAAACATACATCCATTTGGCATTCACCAGAAAATTCACCGTAATTGGTCTAAAACAACTTCAAAATTAAGTACCGTTGAAACTGATGAAGCTGACGTCGACAGTGTGAGTGCCATTGTCAATATAGCTTCCATCCACCAGGTAGTGCAGGCGACGCATGGCCGCCTCGTAGTCAAGATTGATGTCAAACACCAGCGGGTAGACCGTGAGGGAGTCCTGTAGACACAAGGGTGCACAGAGGAATTCAGCATTCACAAGATAAATCAGAGGCAGGATTTACAGAGCAGAGATATATGAAGGGGCCATGCCATGGGTAACTGACCACGGGGTAGATGAATCCGTAGGGGAGGTTCTGCGGATTGAGGGTGTTGTTGTCGAGCTGGCTCATGTTGGCGCTGGCAGCGCTGTCGTAGATGGCCGACGTGGGCAGGAAGTGCGGGTTCACCCCAAATGGCTCTCTGGATGTGCCGTTGCTGCACCACCCCGCCAGGTGCAGCAGGCTGGGAGGGGTTAGGAGGGAGGAGGCAGAGTTGGTGGAAGGGAGAACGAGAGGGTGCAGGTGTGAGGAAGGGAGGAATGAGAAACTGGTGGCTGCACACGCAGAGACAGGATCAGACAAGCATCATGAAAGCCTGGAATGTCACACCTCACCACTCACCCCATTCCCCAGGGCCACTCACCCCGATCCGTTGCACTGTTGCGTGCCCCAGCGATCCTGCTGCAGCACCAAGCCAATCAGCAGACTGCCATGGAGAAGAAGGGGAGAGGGGGAAGGGGGGAATGGAAGAGAAGGGTTAGAAGCTCATTGTGGTGGCGAGCGGATCATAGGCTCTGGTGGGAGAATGGAAGCTGACAGAACAATGCGGTACTGCGTGGTGCGGCATGGCGCGTTCCGGTTGCAGTGCGGGACGACACGGTTGACAGTGGTGCGAAACGGTGTGATACTATAACCGAGAGGTGTACGCGACCTGATGAATGCTGTGTGTGAGGAAGCACAGGGGCATACCGGTTGCGGTGTGAGACGAAGCGGGTGGCAGCAAAACCCCTCTCGGCAGCAAAAGCAAAGTTGCTCTCTGTGTAGTTGGGGCCGTAGCGCTGCAGTGAGAAGGGGAAGTTGAGATTGGCGCCCACCGCCGTGGATAGACAGCAGGCTGGGGAAGGGGAGGGAGGGAGGGGGAGGGGAGGGGAGGAGGAAGAGGAGTGGCTTGAGGAAGAGAGATCAGCAGGGACGGGAGGTCAAGGAAGTACAGGAAGGAAGTGCAAGTAAGTAAGCGAGTAGAAGTGAATCGAGAACGGAAGGGCGGGCAGGGGATGGAAGAGCAAGGCAGTGGGCGAGAGGGCCGAGCGGAGGGGAGAAGAGGGATGACTGACAGCCGTCGTCGCGGCGGGTGTGGCCGGGCGGGCAGGGGCAGATGCCGGGGCCAAAGAGCGGGTCGACACACGCGCAGTCGCCACCGTCAAAGGCGCACGCGGGCGTGTTGCACGCCGCATCGCACACCCCGTTCGCCAGCCGCTGCAGCCGGCACCCCGGCGAGCACTCGTAGGTTGCCGCAGTGGTGGTGTTGGTGGTGCCAGCGATGGAGGTGTTGGTTGAAGTGAAACGTGCAGTGCTCGAGAGAGTGGTGCTGTCCGTGGCATTCACACCACCTGCTATGCATGCAGTGCATGCACAAGCGGGATGAGCAAGAGGGAATGGTGAGTGTAAAAGAGATTAATAATAAACGGGAGGGGGATGAGGCATGAAATAGAGTTACAAATGCAGAGTGGCATGCAGTGTCGCATCGCACAAAGCATAGCACGCAACATGGTATTGGCATGCAGCATGACATTCGGTATGGCATATGTTTTTCATGCAGAGAGCTCACCAGCAACCTCAGCTCCTGCTCGTGCAGGCAGCACAGTGAGAAGCGACGCGGCAGAGGTGGCAGGCGAGGAGGAGGAAGAGGAGTCGTCGACAGAGAGCGTGCCGTCCTCGTAGTGGATCGTGATTGGCTCCTCAAACACCTTGCTGTACGCGAACGAGCCGGGGGCCCCGTCGTCAATTTCTGGTGGGAGGGAGGACCAGCAGTGGGGGTCAGTGGGAGGAGGAATGGCTGTGAGGATGTGGAAGCAGGATGAGATGGTGCATGTGACAGGACAGCCATGTGTGCATGCGGACAAAGGGTGCGTCAGATCCGTTGGCCGGATCAATCCGGCCGGCCGGATCTAGCGAAGGTTACACATTCACGACATTCGTAAGGTATTTTGTGAATTTCGCACAATCCGGCCACTTGCTAAAATTTTGATGGCCGGTTTGATGGCCGGTTTAGCAGTCGACAACTTTCCGACGTGCAAACGAATCGAGAGTCGACCACTTTGTCGACTCGTCAGCGATACAGTACATATGCGACTTGGCCAACATACCCAAGTGACTCAACGTGTCACAAGGACGCCTCGCACGGCGCTTTCAGCGCCGTTGAACAGACCGCTTCCGAAGCGAAGGAGCACAAGAGCTACTTGGAGAGCCACCTTGCATGCATGTTTGCCAGTGCTGATGAGGTGTTCAGACCAGACGCGGCAGAGGTAACCGAATACGTCACGATCAACTCGCAGTGTTTCGTATAGGTGGTCTGGGGACATGTGCAAGAAGCGCTCCATCCAACGCGCTCGTTGAATACTTCGGTCATTTCGCCAGAACACCTGGTAATCGCTCTCGTCAGCAAAGTCAAGGAGCAAGGGCACCATGACACCGACTGCAGCGACCAAGGGGATGAGCACGACGTGTGTGAGTCCGATTGCTAAACGTCGTGCCCATCTGGGTGTGAAAGGATCCGCCATGTTATATAAAGGGTATAGTGTAGGGACGTTCCGGTTTTTGTATGCTCTCGTCACACTCAGTTCGGGTAGACGACACGATCTTGCCGAGCCGGGTTGTAAATGGAGCCGCAGCTCACATCTTGACTCTCTGATCGTAGTGCGCACAATAGCGGTTGTGTCACTTCAGTAACAATACGTGCGACTCCGTCGCACAATCCGGCCAGCTGTGCGACCTGCAAATCTGACACTTTTGCAAACCGGCCTGTAAATCGGCCACCAAATCTGTCAGATTTCAACACCTTGTAAATGTGGCTGGATGGTGGTCGGTTTAGCATTCGACCATTCGGTCGACTTTGGCGAAAAAAGGAGTCGACCAAAAGGGCGACAAATTTGCAGCCAAATCACATTGTAGCGGATCTGACGCACCCTAATGAAGGATTCGAAACGAAGCAAGCCGTGTGGTCGCCGTTGAAACTTTCAGCTAAGTATGGGTGGGTTGCTTCGTAGGACTCGGAAAAAGGTATGAATGAGGACTTGATAAGTCTCATAGTAAAAGTACTAAGTAGGCGTACGCGTTTCGGCCTGTGAGGCCTTCATCAGCGCCAGTTAGAATTACAAACAAGACCCTTCTAGTCCCATATCTACCATTTCTTCCCGTTATCCTCTCAACCCCCCAAAATTCCCTATATCTAACCACTACCCAGGCGAAATCTGCCCGAACCATACAAGGCTACCAACTTGGATCAGCATGGGACCACTCAAGAAATTCCCGAAGGCCCAAGGGAACTTCACCGCAAAACAGTAGGTGAGTCCGCTGTAATGGGATTCGCTGTAGAAAAGCGAGCCCTAACCAAACGGTTTTGTAACCGTGTAGGTAACTTCCAACACACCAGAACCGGAGGGATTTGTAGGCCAGCTATATTGGAGTGACTTTTGAGAATTCTCAAAAGTCACTCTAAGATCGGCTGGACGCTCCAGGACTGGACGAAGGGCTCTCTGACCGTCAATCGCGTCCCTCTGTCAGGGCCAAATAAAAGGTGCTGGAGCAATTTTTTTTCCTTTGCTTGGTTCATCCTTGGTTGGTTGCACGAGGAGAGAGTGTGCAGTGCACCCCCCCCCACCACTCACTGAGCACGCATGGCATGGGCTCGTCAAAGGCGTCCCCATTGCCCACGTTCAGGGGAGTGCACGCCAGCTTGCGCGACACGGCCAATCGGTGGCCTCCGAAGCCCAGAAACAGCGGGTCGTCCACCTCCCCCATCCCCGCCACTGATGGTGGTGGCAGTGCAGCAAGAGAGCATTGGGGAATAAGGAATGCAGGCAAATAAGGGAAAGGCAGTACCATGGAGTAGAGTGGGAGAAAGATAGCTTCAATCAAGATAATAAGCAAAGGCATGGCGTCGGCACTCGTTTCCTTTCAAGGGTAGTAAAAGCATGGTTGTGCACAGGAGCTAGTGGCATCAAGGAAGGTGGTAAAGCTACAAAGAGGAAAGGGCGTACCTTTGAGGGAGTGTGGGAGGTCGTCATCCCACAACCACGTGACCTTGTCGCCCACATGGATGGTCGTGTTGTGCTTCACACCCACCCGCCACTGCAGCCACGCTCCACCTGAAGGGAGACAGCACGGGGAGGAATTGCCAGATTTTTAAATATGATCCGTCTGAGGTGCCATGGTGACAGGAAGACTTAAACACATACACACACATTGCATCCACATGCACGTGCAGATGCACATGCACTGCACATGTCTCATGCATCCAGCCACCACCAGGACCAGCGGCCATGAGCACCTTGCGAGCAGCCGACAGCGTTGGACGAAATGATGGCATCATTGAAGGAGTGCATGAGCGCGTTCAGTCGCGCCGCTGCCACATCCGGCACGGGCGTCACCGAGCTCACAGCCGCCGCCACCGTCTGCACCCACCGCACCATGTGCTGCGCCGAGATGACATGCCCGGTATGCCGGTACTTGAGGTATGCATACATGTCCGCCAGCGTCATCACCTGCTTCCCGTCCGCACCATACATGCGGCACTCATCCATGGTCGTCACAGGGCCCCCCAGAATGGTGCACAGGGTGGCCACCACATGCCAGCGCACGCTGCCCGGCCCTCCCAGTGTGTGTGATCGCTTTGATCCGGGTCCGTGGCCGGCCAGGCAGCGGTCCTTGGCCATGGTGAAGAGGGCTCGCGACACCGCCACCTGCAGCACTGTCAGTCGCTGCTGGTCTGTGGAACCCAGGAGCGACCACAGGGAGGGCTCTGTGGGGTCTGCTGCAGCTGCCGTTCCTTCTGCTGCCATCGCAGTTGATACTGCTGCTGCTGGTGAACCTGCTGCTGTTTCTGCTGCTGGTGACGGTGGTGCTGACGCTAGTGTCACTTCAGGCCACTGTGCTTCCTGCTGCTGCACTTCTGCGAATGTTGTGGCAGCACCAGAGGCGGACGCAGCAGAAGAGGAGGCAGCAGGGGCAGCAAGAGCGTGCACTCCAGCAGCAGCGGGCGGGGAGGAGGCATCAGGGGGCCCAGTGGCAGTTGAGACAGGCCAGCGCTCATAGCTGTGAGAGTGGTGGAAGCGGTAGAGCGCCTGAGAGAAGGAGAGAGAAGGAGAGCGGTTGGGAAGGAGAGGTTCGAAAAGGCAGGGTGGCAGTGCAAATATGTGAAGCGAGGTGATTGCAGGGGCAAACGGTGGTGCGAGGGCAGAGTGAGAGCAAGCAGTCAAAAACCGCACTCACAAAACGGGAACCCAGACTGAGGGATAACAAGTGAATCACACACAGAGGGATGGCACGAAGTGGGGATGGCATCACCTTGCGGCGGCTGCTTTGAGGCAAACGAGCCGTTGCGTCTGAACCTGGGATGGGACAGAGAAGTGGGATTTAGTGGGGGGGGTGGTAGCAGCGTGCGGGGAGGGGAGGGGCAGTCAGTTAGATAGAACGTGTCAGCAGAGCAGGGAGAGGCACGGAGAGATCACGTGGAAACACATTTATGATCGGTGAGAGGAACACACTTAAGGGGGCGTGAATGTGGCAAGTATGGAAGGAGGCACACGATGAGGAGCATGGGATGCTGGCTCATGCAGGTGGTGCATACCTGAGACGTTGCATGGTGTGTTGGCGAACAATGATGCGATCTCCGGCTGGAGAGGGTGGGTGGGTGGGTGAAGGAGCATTGGAAGAAGATTTGTGTGGCAGGCAGGAGAGAGGGAGAGACAGGAAAAGTGGGCTGAGGACGGGGCAGAGAGGAAGAAGAAACGCAATGGGCTACATGTATAGGAATCACGGTGTGCACCATGGGGCAGGGAGCGCACCATGGGGCAGGGAGCACACCATGGGGCAGGGGGCGCACCATGGGGCAGGGAGCCCACCATGGGGCAGGGAGCGCAGCATGGGGCAGGGAGCGCAGCATGGGGCAGGGAGCGCACCATGGGGCAGGGAGCGCACCATGGGGCAGGGAGCGCACCATGGGGCAGGGAGAGCTGGCAAAGGTGGTGATGGAGGAGGGTGCGACGATGCACATGCGCGCACAGTCCACGAACGCCCCTGCCACCTCCCTCTCCGTGAATGCTCGCCCACAGGTTGCTGGCAGGCAGGCCACCAGCCTTGCACACGTCTGCACACACGAACACACACATGCATGCATGCACGGGTGCATACATTCCGCGCGCGGCATGAGAAATTTGAGCATATCCTACAGAGGTAGCACATCGAGCAACGGCATGCTCACATCGCGACAGATGTCAGGCGCAGCACCAGCAACGCCGCCACCTGGCTGCGTCTGATTGGCTGCGTCCACGTCATCTTCGAGCGCGCAGGACCCCCAGGCGGCGAGCTCGATAGTGGAGGCCGCACCGACGACGGCGAGGCGCTGTGTGCCTGGAGGGGGCGCGTGCACATTACCGCGGATGCCCCCTGCAGGAGCGTTGAGCACCACCACCCAGTCGCCGTCCGGAATGTCCAACGCCACTGACACCTCTGCCTCGCCGCGTGGAAATGGCTGAAATGACTCGTACCTGATTCACCCGCATGGGCACCACGCATGGGGTGTCGCGGGGTGGGGTTGGGTGGGGTGGGGTGAGGTGAGGTGGGATGGGATGGGATGGGATGGGATGGGATGGGATGGGATGGGATGGGATGGGATGGGATGGGATGGGATGGGATGGGATGGGATGGGATGGGATGGGATGGGATGGGATGGGATGGGATGGGATGGGATGGGATGGGATGGGATGGGATGGGATGGGATGGGATGGGATGGGATGGGATGGGATGGGATGGGATGGGATGGGATGGGATGGGATGGGATGGGATGGGATGGGATGGGATGGGATGGGATGGGATGGGATGGGATGGGATGGGATGGGATGGGATGGGATGGGATGGGATGGGATGGGATGGGATGGGATGGGATGGGATGGGATGGGATGGGATGGGATGGGATGGGATGGGATGGGATGGGATGGGATGGGATGGGATGGGATGGGATGGGATGGGATGGGATGGGATGGGATGGGATGGGATGGGATGGGATGGGATGGGATGGGATGGGATGGGATGGGATGGGATGGGATGGGATGGGATGGGATGGGATGGGATGGATGGGATGGGATGGGATGGGATGGGATGGGATGGGATGGGATGGGATGGGATGGGATGGGATGGATGGATGGGATGGATGGGATGGGATGGGATGGGATGGGATGGGATGGGATGGGATGGGATGGGATGGGATGGGATGGGATGGGATGGGATGGGATGGGATGGGATGGGATGGGATGGGATGGGATGGGATGGGATGGGATAGGATGGGAAGAGTACACAGGACGAGGCGGCAAGACGAGCAGAGGAGCCGGGAAGGGCGCGTGCATGCGGCTAAGGTTTGGTGTGCAGCAGAGGGCGAGCATACCAGCAGAGGGAGACGGGGTCAACCATGCAGAGGTTCCAGGAAGAGCCGTCGACGGCCTGCTGTGTGTCGAGGTGGGAGGAGAATCTGACAACTACGGTGGTGAGGTTGGGGAACGTGCCGCAGTCCGCCTCACAACCAAAGCGGCCAAACGCGGGGAACTGGAAGGGGCGGTCGCACGAGCCGTCTCCACATGTGGGGTCCGCCCACAGACTCTGCAGGGGCGGCGGGGAGAGGAGAGGGAGGGACAGTGAGGAGAGGAGCAGACGGACGGGAGGATGAGTGTATGTGCTTTGATGCGTGCAAGGGAGAGCTGTGGTGCTGCATGGAGAGTGAAGAGCAGGCTTGGGGAGCAGGAGGAGGCAACACGCCGCAGGTGCGGCAAGAACGAAGATGCGAGATGGAGTGGAGAGGGAGGGAGGGGGGCGCACCTGCACGATGCTGGTGTTGAGCCAATTGTAAAAGTCATCAAGCCCAGCAAATGTGTTGGCGGAATCCTGGCTCATGCCCTGCTCTCAGGTGGGGAGAGACGCACGCACGGAGGAGGGTGAGGCGAGGAGACTAGGAGGAGATGCAATGAAGGTGTGGGGAGCTAGGCAAGGGCACAGCTGAAGTGATCACACACGAACGCAGGCATGCTAGAATGAATGCGCGCAAGATTGTCTTTGCGCTGGAATGAATGCGAGTTAGAAAGACGGTGGGGAAGAGCACGCCGGGGAGGAGAGGGGGACCGTACGGGGGGGAAGAGCACTGCGTGCGCAGCGGTGATTTCGTAGCTGCGGGAGGAGTCGGCCTGGAGGTAGAGGATGGTGATGAAGAGCGCCATGAGCACCACGAACCCGCCCAGGTCGCGGTAGTGCTGCACGCGCTGCTGCAGCCCCACCACGCGCACGAACGCCTCTGCCTCGCGCGCAAATGGGGGAAGGAAGGGCGGGGGTGGAGCCGGAGAAATTGGGATTACACCGTGCGGAGCTGAGGTGGTTACGAGCAGAAGCAAGAACGGCGCGGAACGGCAGGCGGTGCGTAAGCCCCGCAGTCAAGCACCGCTCTGAACCTGGGCGCACCTTGCAGCACCTCTTTGTCCATCTCGTCCATCTCCGCGTCCTGCAGCGCATCGCTCGTCGACCGCGCCAGGCTGGCCCCCCCCATGCTATCCGCCGTCATGCTGCGCTTCCAAAAAGCCCCCGCCGCGGCCGCTTTCCCCTCTCCGCCCCCGGCGCCCTCCGCGCCATCCGCGCAGCTCTCGTCGGAGCGCGTGCTACTTGCCCGCCAGGCCCGCGGGCGGCACTGCCGCAGGAAGCCGCGCAGCCCCCTCTCGTCGACCGCCGCGCCCTTATGGCTGCTGTTGCCGCTGCTGCCCTGCGCTCCCTCAGTCCCCAAACCCTCTCCGCCAGCTCTCCCTTCCTCCGCTCCGCTCTCCGCGCAATCCCCCCCAAATCTCCCATCATCGTCGTCGTCTCCCTCGTCTCCCTCGGACGGATTGAAAGATGATGCTTCGACACGTGTCATGAGCTCCGCATTCTGCGGCGCGAAACCGTGGCTATCGAGGAAATCCAAGTCGTGCTTCTTGCGGCTGCGAGACCCCGACGGCTTGCGCCTTAAAGCGCCGAGGCGGAGGGCGGGAGAGTTGGAAATGGGCGGAACGGAAGGGAACTTCCCTTAAAGGCATCACTTCGCCGGGGAGCTCAATCACGTGCTTTCTTGCAACTAGCATGATGGCACTAAGAAGACCACCAAGAATCTTGAAAAGTACAATATAAGTAGCAAAACCTTCACAAGCAACATAATTTCCAGCTCATCATGCTGCATTCGTAGTAACCACAGGCAAACGTGATTGTCCGCTCACCTGGAAAAGGCTTCGGATTTGGATCGAGCCCACATGCGGTAGTTGGCCGCCTCATACGCGTCGAACTTCTCGTCCAACAAACTCTCCGACCGCGTTAGCACCGGCGCTTCCCTTTCGCCATTCGCCGCCGCCTTCTTCTTCGCGCGCATAACTGCGACCGCCTCCGCCATCGCTACTACTGCTACGACGAGAGGCGAGAAGCAGAGCTGCTCGGAATTTAGTTGCGCTGAGCTCTAGAGACTTCAAGTAAGGCCGCAAATTACCTAGGGTTATGACGATTTGGCTTTCTGAGCATGTTTGGCAGTTGGTGGAAAAAGGACATGCACATTGTTGAGAAAAAAACATCATCTTGAACGAGGGGATGGTAGCTTGGTGTCAGGAGGGGCGTGGTGGAGCAAAGACTGTAGATTGCGTGTCTCAAGTGGGGATGCCGACAAGCATTGGGAACTGTCGTGAGAGGTGTACCATCGGATACTTCACGGTCCAAACCCTGACAAATTAGCTCTCTCCATGTTTCGACGTTTATCAACGTCCCTGCTTCAGACACACACTGCTGAGACGTGGAAGGGGGAGTGTGAAGAGTTGCACAGAATGCGAGGGGGGATGACAAAACTGTAAGTTATTTGACGTCACAAATTTCTGAATTTCCTCTCAGCCGACTTTAGGTGCTTCGGTTTGGAAGCCAAACGCATCAACTGGCCTGCCGTTCTGGGTTCTGGTGAGTAAGTTACTGTACGTACGTACTCAAGCATACAGTGCTTGCCCCTACTGTTCTCTCCGTCACACGTTCTGGCATATGGGCGGTCCTTGTCTCTTACCCTGATGTACACCCTCATTCTCAGTCTTCTCACCGGCGGAAGCAGTGGCTACAGTGTTTGGACCTAGCGGGCTGGTGAGATAACTCGGTTGCGGGCCAAGTCGCACGAGGCGACGAAACCAGACTTGGGCCGTAAAATTCCATTAACGCTGAATAACTGTTTTAACCATTTAGAAAACAGTATTACCATTTCAGAACGTATAGAACCCTGACTTAACGCCCTGGGTCAAACTGTCAGTATAACGCATGTAATAGGACCTTCTTTGGTCCGCTGCGGCTACACTAAGCGTCTCGGTCAGTATAACATATGCCAGTCTAACGAGAATGAGGGTGTACAGCTTCCACATGTGTCTGATTATTTAGTGGCAGATGCACAGTTGTTGCTGATGTGTGGTTTCTGTTGTTTTAGGAAAGCCAAATTGGCGAAGGCACGAAACATATCTACAGCTAATGCTCGTTAGAGCCCCTCCCGGTTGCCTTGTAAAGGGGGTCTGTAAGCTAAAACGTCATTTCGTCGGTTCGTCAAGGGTTTCGTCAGGCTTTGCGCGTGCATTTAACGCGCATATGGTTACCACTCGCTTTGTCCGTTATGTAACAGTGTCGGGTGGCACCTGTTGTCACAAGTGCGCGTTACCGAAATCCACACGAAAGCAAAACTGAACCGTCAAGCAACATCAACATTTGTTCAACTTAGATTGAAACAGCTGACACACAAAGCCGGGCCAATCACGAACTACCACATGGCCCCTCATCCCCTCTACTGCAATTGTGCCCGTTACGTGCACAATCCAAACACATAGCAAATCCACAAAAACTCCACCATCCTAACCTTCGACTCCTCATGAGTCCACAAAACGAATTCACACATGCATCCACTCTGCCGCCTCCACGTACCCGCCCATCGCGACGCCAACCCCGGCGTCCAGAAGCTGCTGACGGCGGGACGGCTGGGTCATCCAGCCAGGCAGCACTCGGCCCCTCGGACGCGGGGTGTCAGGCGGCGGAGTTACGGTCGGCGAAAGCCGCGGCGGCGGGGCCGTGTTGAGATTGAGCGCGGGGCTTGCCCGCTCCATGCGCTCCCTGATAATCGGATTACGAATGTCGAACAGGTGGCAAAGGTCGCGCGGCGTCACGCTCACGGCGCGAGCGTAGCCGATGAGCATCTCGCTGGCCGCCCGTGCCGTGCGCCGCGCTTCACGGCCGATTGGGTTGGATTCGTCATACACGGCCTGCATCTTGGTAGGCGCCCTCCATAGCTCCGCCACCAGGCCCACGTCCGCATCATCCGGTGTCGCGCCCGCTGCCGCCTCCGCGCACGTCGGCTCGCCCTCGTCGATGGCGACGTACTCGGCGGCGGTCATCGCGCCGGTGCCGAGGCCGAGTCCGCCAAGGAGGTCGCCGACGTCGTCGATGTCGTCGTCGAGCTCAATGTCGGGGTACGCATGTGGGGTCGGCTCATCATCATACACATGGGTGAGCTCCAGGGACCACGACAGAGGCATGCAGCCCGTGCGCCAAAAGCACCTCTGGATGGTGCGCGCACCGACACTCATCCAGGCGTCTGAGAGCCACCCCAGCACATCGCGCAGATTGGGGCGATAGCGGGCCACGGCGCTTGTTGCGCCGTCGTCGTTCCACAGCGCCGTGAAGGCACGCAGCCAGTGCTGGCGATAGCGGGCCTTCGCGGTCGCGATTATCCCCTGGTCGAGCGGCTGCGTGAAGGCGGTTGTGTTCGGCGGCAGGAAGATGAGGCGCACGTTGCTGAGGCGGGTGGTCCGCATGCCGCAGACGATTTCGCTCCACGCGCACTCGTCCCGCAGCATATGGGAGCTGGCATTGTCGAGCAGCACCGCGATACATCGCGGCATTGAGCTGCGATATGAAGTTGGTGAACAACTGTTGGGGGGGGGGTCGGGTTGAGAAAACTATAAATTAACATAAGTAACATAAGAACACATGCACAAATAGAATTACACGGCCGGGTGCACACTTACCGCACTGGTCATCTAGCCCTTGGCGTTATGCCGCCAGTAGCAGACGGCTTCGGGGTCGTAGTTCGGCCGGAAGTCATGAGGACGGCGCGCCTTGCTGATGACGAGCGGCCGGAAAACATGGCTGCCGTCGGCGTTGACGAGAAACACGACGGTCAGCCGCTCCTTTGAGACCTTGCGACCCGGAATGCGGGCGTTGCTGTATGTTTTTCGGGGCAGCACAGAGAGCCACAGAGCTGTCTCGTCAAGATTGAAGGTGTCGCGCGGCTGGTAGCCGAGGTGAGTAAGAAGCGCCGGCACCTTCTCACGCGCTTCACGCACAGCAGCCATGTCGGCGCTCGCCGCCTCGCCGGTGGCGGCACGGCACCGCACTCCCTGGCGCCGCAACGCACGGCGCACCCAGCCAATGGAGCATCGAAACACGGGCGGAATGCCCATGTTGCGCGCCATAATCGCCACGTGATCGCGGATCGTTTGCAGAGTGAGTGGTACGCCTGCGGGGCCAGCGTTAGCGATCCAGCGAGCCATCGCCTGCTCAAGCTCGGGCCATGCACCACCACGACGGCGCACTTGATTGGCGGCGGCGGGGTCGGTGATTGCCCAACGATCGGCATTCTTCAAAATGCGTCCGACCGTGGAGCGGTCAGGCCGCAGGCCATACTGGGCGTAAACCCAGCGGGCCAAGTCTACGTGACGCAGAAGGGGGTGCTCGACGTGATGCGCGCATAATGCGCGCTTGATGTGCAGCGGAAGCTGCTCACGGCGATTAAGTCGCGGCATGGTGGGCGTGCTGTGGGGGATAAGGTGAAGGCGATGCTTCAGTGAATTTGCTAATCGGTTTTAATCTTCATTTGGCGGACGAGGATGATCGTTGCTGGGGCCTGTTCGGATTGACTGGGTTGAATTTGTGTGGTGGGTGTTCGTTGCATGCTCATTGCTTACAATGTCGAACATGTGGATGGGTTACCACCATAGTGCAAAGCTGACGTGGGGTTGTCGAACAACGCCTGGTTGTTAATGGGCTTGTACCCCAAAAGTGCGGAATACACGTGGCAGCGTGCACCAGCCCAGATGTCTGTTACACGCACCATGATACTCGCCTAGGTGGCGGGGCAGGTGGGCGAATGCACTTACGAAACCACTGTCATTTCGTCCATTCGTTTCGTCAGGTTGGCGCCTGGCCTAGAAACAAGGGGAAACATGGGTCGGCACTGCTTGTTGTGGTCTGCACGTGGGGGAGAGGCCGAGCCGCGTGCACTGTAGAAGGCCATCCAGGTGCCTGTACATGGGGTGCAGCAAGCAGGGGTTTCGAGTTCGGGGGCAGCGTGTCCATCCGGTGCATGGCAAATTCGCGTGCACTGGTCGGGCATCATGTGTATAAGAATTCTCAGCACTACTTATGACTTGCAGTCTAAGTTCTACGGTACTAGGAAGGTACAGACTTGTGACCTTTCTATCACCTTCAGAACGCCTACTTTTGCGTCCTCATCCCTCACACAATCATCATCTTTGTGGCTGCATTCTGCTGGTACATAAATCCGCCAATGACGCATACAAACACTGTGCTTGCTGTGCTCACAATATTTGAAGTAAATGATGGCACTGAACTTTCTTGGTGACAGCTGTGAAGGTCCCTCCCACCGGCCAAGCATTTGCACTGCCAATATTTGTATGATTATATTCATATTTTGGTTCTTGGGACCCTACAACAACTTTGGCAAGCGACCCACGCGAGCTGGTGGTCCAAAAGCGCCAGCCAATCAGAATCACCATTACAGTTTGTTAGTATACTGCACCACTACAATGCAAGACTGCTAGTCTTGGAAACCCAACACCCCAAACCAATCACAGAATGTTCACACCAGGGGCTCCTGCTGCCACTCCCCCCCTGTCCTTAAAGGGCTCTTCCTATTCGCCGCTGTGCTCTCTTTAAACGACACCCGCCTCTCAGAGCCTTGCTTTGAAGCCAACAAGCTTCTGCTTGCGCTCCCTCCTGCAATGCCCAAGCCGCCCCGTACTCCCCCTGCTCTCTCCACCCCTTCCACTGCCCCCCCACTTGCCCCGCTATCGCTGAGGCCTCGTGGCATGTCCCTCCTGCTTACCGCTTGCTCCAGAGGCTGCGGGGAGTCCGTGAGGAGGGCACAGAGAGGCGCGGGCTCTGTGTGTGCTCGCCGCATGCTTGGAGCTGTTGACGGCCCCGCGGGATCACCCATTGCGTGGGCAGCGCTTCCCGTGGGGGGCGTGCGGGCGAGGAGGTCGAGCATGAGCGCCTGCATGTCCGCCATCATGCTCCTCAGCTCCTTCACCTCTGCCCGGCTGCACGCCAAATCCTCCTGCTCTCTCTCACACACACACAGGGTGGAGAGGAGGTGAGGTTGGTGTGAGAAAGGGAGGAGGACGACGAAGGGATGCTGTGCACGCATGGCAGGGATTTCAAGCCTGAATGGTTGCATGCGGGCTCTTGCCAATTCTCAGCCATTAGGATCTGATGGCACAAACGCCAAGTGTATCTGCACACGCCCGCTCTCAACTGTGTTCCCAACACACCGATCCCCGCCTTCCTTGCCCACCTTGATGTGCGCCAGGCTGAGCTTCTGAACGGGCTTCTTGACGGGCAGGGCGGCCTGCTTCACCACCTCGCCGCACTGCAGCACCGCCGCCTGCGACAGCTGCTCCAGCTGCTCCTCGTCCACACCCTCATTTGCGCTTGCACTTGACCAACATTTGGGCAGCAGCTCAGCCGTGTGGGGCTCACCTCGCTGAAACAGATTGTGAAACAACAGATTGGGAAAAGCAGATTGCTGTGAAAAGTCATGCATAGAAGTCCGCACATCACATTCATTAATTATGTGTGATGCATTACATGGCGGGCCACAAAGCAACAACACAAGGAACAACATAAGCCATAGCACAACCACATGGCATGCTCAAGTACTCATTCCAACAACCATGGCAGCAAGGGACGCACCTCCCTGTCGTGGCGGCGCTGCAGAATCATGGCGAGCGAGATGGCGTCGATGCACTTCTCCCTCACTGTCAGCACGTGCTGCCGCCGCACCCGAGACTCGCTGTCAGGCGGGAAGGCGGCGGGCTGGTTGTTCCCCCGACCGGAGTGTGACGGCCTGCAGTCGCCGCCACAGCTGCCGGAGAAGATTTCGCGTGTGTGCCGCTTCAACGACTGCATGCGGCGCATCCGACGATTTGACTGCAACGCACACACAAATTGAAGTAAGGTTACTTGGGAAGGAAATATGGATGGAGACTCCAGAAAGCACTTGGCAAGTACATCCCAATTGGGCTGTCTTGTTGACCCTGAATAAACACCCACGTGGGCTGAGCATCGTAAATTTTGTGACAAGAACTTCATCAAATTCAAACATTAGATGTTCGGCACGGCGCGGCTAACCTTAGCTGAACCGAACCAAACCGATCGAACCAAAACCAAATGCCTTTGGATCAAACATCTTCGAGCAAAACTGAAAACGGGTTTCGGTTTTTTTTCATCTCATGCCTACATGGACCATTTGGTGAGAAAATAGCAATCAATCAACCAATTAACCTTGAGCCAACGAGGATGACCTTGCGCCCAGCTCTCACCTCTTCCACTCGGGTGTCCTTAGCTCCCAACTGCACGAGGCGGTCAAGAATGACAGGGTATCGCAAGTAGCGGCCGCGCCAGCAGTTCCACTTGTACTTGATTATGTGTCCCAGGTCAGAGGTTATAGAGGTGGCGACGATGTTGCTGTCCTTGACGCTCATGAAGGCATCGACGATGATGGCGATGAGGAAGTTGAGGAGGATGAAGACTATGAAGATGATGAACATGATGAACATGAAGAAGAAGAGCATCGCCGCTATGAGGTCCCACGACTCAAGGCGCTGGAAGAAGTAGGCTGAGGAGTTGTCGTTGAGCAGTAGCAGGAAGCACGAGAACATGGACTCCAGCACTGTGGAGAACTGCAATGGGTGGGGTGACGGGAGAGGGGGAGATTGTTGGGGTATCAGACGCAAAAGGAAGGAAGAAAGAAAGGAAGGAAGGAAGGAAGGAAGGAAGGAAGGAAGGAAGGAAGGAAGGAAGGAAGGAAGGAAGGAAGGAAGGAAGGAAGGAAGGAAGGAAGGAAGGAAGGAAGGAAGGAAGAAAGGAAGGAAGGATAAAAGTGCTGGCTTGGCAATCAGGAAGAGTGCCACGATAAACTTGAACGCTGAGCTTTGCTCAAGCAAAAAGGGTGACACACTTGCTCTATATAGAACGGTGAGAATGAGCGAGACACATACCATTTCAAGAGCGCCTCCAAAGACAAGGTAGCCATACATGCTGAAGCAGAAGAAGACGGCAAAGGAGAGCAGGAAGAAGTGCAGCAGGGAGGGCGTGGCGAGGGCGAGGGAGCGCGTGATGACCCCGAGGTACGGCTGGAAGTCCATGACTTTGAGTAGGCGAATCATCATGAAGAAGAGACTGGGGGGAACAGGGAGACGGCGAAAAATAGAGGAGAACGTGGTCAAGGCACACACACACACGCAAATACACACGAAAAACGAAAATTGACACACACAAGTACACACACACACACACACACACGCATGCACGCACGCACACACACACACACACACACACACACACACACACACACACACACATGCATGCACACACCCACGCACACACACACACACACAAGGCGGCTCACTTGATGCCCTTTCAGGGAAGACGGCTCATTTGATCCTCTTGCGGACAAGGCGAGCGCCTCACTCACACATCTTGGCAATGGAAGTCATCAAGTACACTCAGACACCCCACCAGCACTGCGTACGGACTACTGGGCTCAACCGACTCGTCAAGGACAGGAGCGGAGAGTGTATTGCCAACAGGCAGAGAAGTGGGCTTTGTGGAGGAGAATTGAAGGCCGCAACGCAGAAGGATCTTCTACACTATGTGTGACTGAATCAGCGTGATGGTGCACGCTGCTCTGTCGCTAGTGATCTGAAAGCCAAGATAGCGGTGCAGCTCACCTAGGTCAGTGCAATTGTGTCTTTTCAGCAGCTAGACCTTCATTAAGGTCGTAACAAAGAATAGGTCGTCAACATAAACGAGGATGTAGAACGAAGTCGAGCCATATAGAGCGGAGAGAAAGCAAACTTACCCGAATGGTCGAAACATCGGAGCTAAGGCTTTGGCCGAACCACCTCGGTTTGACCAACCCGCCGATTTAGGTCGGCTTGACCAGGTCCAGTTCAGCCTTGAATTTTGCTCTTTGTTTTGGTAACAGAAGACAATCACTCACTTGACGCCTTGGCTAACGGGCAAGGTGGCTCACTTGATGCCTTGAAGGGCGAAGTAGATGCCACGGAGGTTGATGATGTTGCGCAGCTCAGCGAAGGCCTGAGTGGCGCTGATGAAGCCCGTGGGCGGGTTGGGCACGGCCCAGTAGCGCGGCATCTCGAGCAGCGTGTAGTAGATGTCGTATCGTGGCTGCATGTCAAATGCTTCCACGTACCGCCACAGCACCACCCTGAGCACACCGACACACACACGCACGCGCATGTTGAGAATTTGTGAGTGAATGTGGATGTGATGTGGGGACGGGTGGATGAGCAATGAGGAAGGAGCCGTACATGTGGTGGCAGATGAGATGAAGCACCAACAGATGCATTGCATGGCAAATTCTACCCATCACGCAGCTTGGCTGGTTGCTTACCAGATAACAACCGCAGCCACTTGCAGTGCAAGGGAGAGCATGTCAACCCAGTTCCATGCTTGCCCAAAGTAGCAGTGCGAGGGAGAGCACGTCAACAGCAGCGCGGTCGGCCATCTCCTGCAGCTCGCCACACACATTCCAGAGCAGCCCCACCAGATACACCACCTCCAGCACCAGCCGTGCGATGTTGTCCGCCGATGCATCGTACATCGCCATGGCTGCCGGCTGCGACCTGAAGGTGACTGCCATGCTGCCCCCCGCGTTTAATGTGCACCTCACAGTGGTCAGCACGAACGTGAGCGTCTCGCCTGTCAACGTGGTGTGAAGGTGGTGGACACATGAGACGCAGAGAGAAGCGGACGGGGCAGAGCAGTAGAGGCTGCTAAAGACAGAAACAAAACACATGCATTTGGTACAACTCATAGTGGGATTCCGGGTGCAGCGGCACCTACCGTTGAAAGTTATGAAGCTGACGTCGACAGTGCGAGTGCCATTGTCGATATAGCCGCCATCCACCAGGTAGTGCAGACGACGCATGGCCGCCTCGTAGTCGAGATTGATGTCAAACACCAGCGGGAGGGTTGTGAGTGATGCCTGCAAGAAAATCACAGTGCAAGAGAATCCATCATCAACAAGTGTGACCGAAGACAACTACATAAGATCCTCACAAACAGACTCATCCCTCACTTACTTCACATAGATTAGAGAATCATGCTTTTGTGGTTGCTTCCATATCTCAGTGTAGACATACCCTTGAAGAATGGGTGTTACACACAAAACCCATCCAGCATTGGAAGAGAATGCACTTGGCTCAATCCAGTCCATGTTCCAATGTATTCCAGCTCATCATTCACGCAATTAAAGAGCCATAAATTGCAAAGACCAACAGTGAAAAGCATAATTGCTTGAAACAGCATACGATGGGGTAGATGAAGCCGTAGGGGAGGCCCTGCGGGTTGAACTTGAGTTTGACACCGAAGGTGTTGTTGTCGAGCTGGCTCATGTTGGCGCTGGCAGCGCTGTCGTAGATGGCCGACGTGGGCAGAAAGTGCGGGTTCACTCCAAACGGTTCCAACGAAGTGCCGTTGCTGCACCACCCCGCCAGGTGCAGCAGGCTGGGGAGGGAGGAGAGAGAGGAGGCAGAGTTGGTGGGGTGAAATAAGAGATGGTGCAGTGCAGCTGTGGGAAAGGAGGAGATGAAGAGCAACTAGTGGCTGCACCCACAGAATCAGAATCAGGCGAGCACCACAAAAGCCTGGCAGGTCACACCCCAATGAGAAGAACCACTCACCCCGATCCATTGCACTGCTTTGTGCCCCACCGATCCTGCTGCAGCACCATGCCGATTAGCAGACTGCCACGGAAAATGTGGGAGGGGGGAGGGCGGTTGGCAGAGGGATATGGCAGAGGAGGGCTGGATGTTGATCGTGGTGGTGACTCCAGGTGCTAAGGCTATGATGGGCAAACGGAAGCTGATGGAGCAATATGACACTGCGTGGGTAGTCTGCTGTCCCTCCGGTACCGATGCGAGATGACACGGTTGACAGCGGTGCCTCTCTCAGTGGTGCAAGATGGTGCTGAACAAGTGTGGCGGCTGACAGGTGGGGAGGTGCGGGAGCGTACCGGTTGCGGCGAGAAACGTAGCGCTTGACGGGAAATCCCCTCTCAGCCGCAAAGGCGAAGTTGCTCTCGGTGTAGCTGGGGCCGTAGCGCTGCAGTGAGAAGGGGAAGTTGAGATTGGCTCCCACCGCCGTGGACAGACAGCACGCTGGGGAAGGGGTGGAGAGAAGGGGGAGGAGGAGGAAAGGGAGGGGTATGAGGAAGGGAGAGCAGGGATGGTAGGATAGGCAGCTCATTGAAAGATTGCAAGCCAGGAATCAGTAAGAGTGTAGAGAGAATAGGAAGCAAGCCAGAGAGGCAGGTGACGAGGGGAGTGGGGTGACTGACAGCCGTCGTCGTGGCGGGTGTGGCCGGGCGGGCAGGCGCAGATGCCGGGGCCGAAGAGCGGGTCGACACACGCGCAGTCGCCGCCGTCAAAGGCGCACGCGGGCGTGTTGCACGCTGCATCGCACACCCCGTTCGCCAGCCGCCGCAGCCGGCACCCCGGCGAGCACTGGTAGGGTGCTGAAGTCGCGGAGGGTGTGGTAGCGTTGGTGTCAGTGAAACGTGCGGTGCTGGAGAGCGTGCTGCTGTTAGTGGCGTTTGCTACATCTGCCATGCACGCATTGCATGTACATACGGGATGGATGATGAAGTCGAATGGATGCAGTAGGGGCGGGTATAGGGAGAATGCAGGAAGATAAAATGGTGAGGGTGAAAGAACTGAAGAAACGGGAGGGAAGGCAATTTAAGGAACTCACAAATGCCATGTGGTGTGACATGTGGTATGGCATGTGGTATGGCATGTGGTACAGCATGTAGATGTATGGCTGGCGGCATCGTATGCGGTATGGCTTGTGGTACTGCATGTGTTATGGCATGTGGTATGGCATGTGGTACAGCATGTAGATGTATGGCTTGCGGCATCGTATGCAGTATGCCTTGTGGTACTGCATGTGTTATGGCATGTGGTATGGCATGTGATACAGCATGTAGATGTATGGCTTGCGGCATCGTATGCGGTATGGCTTGTGGTACTGCATGTGTTATGGCATGTGGTATGGCATGTGGTACAGCATGTAGATGTATGGCTTGCAGCATCGTATGCAGTATGGCTTGTGGTATGGCATGCAGCGCATAGTATGTGGCATGTCATGCCGAGCTCACCAGCAACCTCAGCTCCTGCTCGTGCGGGCAGCACAGTGAGAAGAGACGCAGACGAGGGGGAAGACGCGGAGGAGGAGGAGGAATCATCGACAGAGAGAGTGCCGTCCTCGTAGTGGATGGTGATTGGCTCCTCAAACACCTTGCTGTAGGAAAAGAAGCCAGGGGACTCGTCGTCCATCTCTGGTTGAAGGGATTGGGGAGGAGCAGGGGGAGTGGGACAGTGGGACAAAAAATGGGGTGCGAGGATGCAGCAGAAGGGTGAAAGGGTACGTGTGGAAGGACAGACAGACTTTTGAGTCGACTCAAAAGGGTGAAAGGGTACGTGTGGAAGGACAGACAGACTTTTGAGTCGACTCAAAAGGGTGAAAGGGTACGTGTGGAAGGACAGACAGACTTTTGAGTCGACTCAAAAGGGTGAAAGGGTACGTGTGGAAGGACAGACAGACTTTTGAGTCGACTCAAAAGGGTGAAAGGGTACGTGTGGAAGGACAGACAGACTTTTGAGTCGACTCAAAAGGGTGAAAGGGTACGTGTGGAAGGACAGACAGACTTTTGAGTCGACTCAAAAGGGTGAAAGGGTATGTGTGGAAGGACAGACAGACTTTTGAGTCGACTCAAAAGGGTGAAAGGGTACGTGTGGAAGGACAGACAGACTTTTGAGTCGACTCAAAAGGGTGAAAGGGTACGTGTGGAAGGACAGACAGACTTTTGAGTCGACTCAAAAGGGTGAAAGGGTACGTGTGGAAGGACAGACAGACTTTTGAGTCGACTCAAAAGGGTGAAAGGGTACGTGTGGAAGGACAGACAGCCAGTCAAGTGTGCTGCACACATGACAGCCTAGCGTGACATCATGCCATAAGAGCACCTCCCCCTCACCCATACCTCATTGTTAAGTTGGCAAACCCCCACTCACTTAGCACACATGGTTGCGGTTCTTCGAAGGTGTCTCCCTGGCCCACACTCATGTGAGTGCATGCCAGCTTGCGCGACACGCCCAATCGGTGCCCTCCAAAGCCTAAAAACAGCGGGTCGTCTGCCTCACCCATCGCTGCCACTGATGGTGGTGGCAGTGGAGAAAGAGAGGATTGGGGATTCAGTAGTGTAGGTAAACAAGTGAAAAGCAGTTCACGGAGTGCAGTGGGAGCACGATGGATCATAATTAACATGCAAAGGTGCAGCAGATTGCACACAGGGACTAGTGGCACCAATACAGGTGGTAGAGTTGAATACCTTTGAGGGAGTGCGGGAGGTCGTCATCCCACACCCAGGTGACCTTGTCGCCCACATGAATGGTCGTATTGTGAGTCACGCCTGACCGCCACCGCAGCCACGCACCACTTGGGACACGAGAAAGAAACGGGAGGAAAAACCCCGACAGGCAATCATGATTCGATTGAGGTGCCATAGTGACAGCAGCACTCTCGGACCTACTACACCCACACACACATGCAGACTGTACATACACCTACACATCCACACACTCATGGACACGCGCATCACATGCACACGCTCACATGAGCACGCACCCACCAGCAGGACCACCGGCCATGAGCACCCACCTTGAGAGCAGCCGACAGCGTCGGAGGTGACGATGGCATCATCGAAGGAGTGCATGAGCGAGTTGAGGCGAGCAGCAGCCGCATCTGAAATGAGCGTCACAGAGCTCAGCGCCGCCCCCACCGTCAGCACGAAGCGCCGCATGTGCTGCGCTGAGATCACACGCCCGCCCCTCACGTGCGTGCTCTGCAGATATGCATGCATGTCCGAAATTGACAACACCTGCTGCCCTTCTGTATCCGTGAGACGGCACTCATCCATCGTCATCACAGGCCCCCCCAGCATCGTGCAAAAGCACGCCACCATGTGCCAGCGCAAGCTGCCTGGCCCCCCCTGTGAGTGCTTCCTGCTTGCTCCCGGCCCGTGGCCAGCAAGGCAGCGGTCTTTGGCAACGGTGAAGAGCGCTCGTGACACCGCCACCTGCAGCACTGTCAGTCGCTGGCTGTCCGTGGCTCCCAGGAGCGACCAGAGGGAGGGCTCTGTGGGGTCTGCTGTGCCTTCTGCTGCCATCGGTGCTGCTGTTGCTGGTAAACCGGCTGCTGTTTCTGCTGCAGGTGACGGTGGTGTTGATGCTTGTGTCACTTCGAATCTCTGTAATTCCTGTGCGTGTGCTGCTGTGAGTGCCGTGGCAGCAGCAGAGGCAGACGCAGCAGGGAGTCGACAGCAGGGGCAGCAAGGGAGCGCACTCCGGCAGCAGCAGGCAGGGAGGAGGTGTCAAGGGGGCCGGGGGCAGCTGAAGCGGGCCAACGGTCGTAGGTGTGAGAGTGGTGGAAGCGGTAGAGTGCCTGAGATCAGCCATGCACCACGGATTTTTGGGGAGTGGGTTGGGAAAGTGAGGCTGTGAAAGATGACCGGATGACAGAGCAAAAATAAGAAGCGAGGTCATTGCAGCCGCAACTGGAGGTAACCGCAGTGAGGAGGGGAAAGTGACAGCGAGCAGTCAGGAACCACATTCACAAAGAGGGAACACACAGAGCAAGAGATGAGAAGTGAAACACACATAGAGGGATGGCAAGAAGCGGGGAGAACATCACCTTTCGGCGTTTGTTGCTTGATACATGAACCGTTGAGTCTGAGCCTGTGATGAGACGCAGACAGCGGAATGTAGCGCGCGGAGGGAAGAGGCACTCAGTCTAAAACTTATCAGCAGAGCAGGGAGACGCAAGATGTGGCAAGGAGATACCATGAGGACAGACTTGTACAATCAGTAAAAGGAGCGCCTGTGACGGAATTGGTACTTGGCAGGAAAGGAAGGAGGTGAGGAAGGCGAG